TGTACATAGAACTAGCAATAGTTAGAGACACCCAGGGCTCACCCCCTGGCGGCCTTTGCCCTGATCAGGGATAGTGGAAAACGTGCAAGTCACGAGCCACGGCCGTAAAATATACACACACACACACTCCTCTGCATATGGGCATATAGGTGTGTCTATATTGGTGGCGAGAGGGTGGGCCTCCAGTGATTGAAATACAGGTCAGCAACCAACAATTACTGGCCCGTTACCCTCTGCCGGGATGTCCAGATCCGTCGGCAGTGGATCAGAAGAAGACACGGTGAATTTTGTCTCTGCAAATTGGCTTGTTCCCGCAGCAAGGCTATATTCGCCTTCTTGTAACATCCTATCAACTATCCCGGACATCTTCAGTGTCAAGTACCGATACAAGAGCAATGAGCTGGGGCTATAGGCGTTACTGGTTGCTTCATCCTCCATGCATATCTACGTTTGTAGAGACCGTTGAACAAATGACCAGTAATGAGACTATGGTGATCCACCAAATATTACTTGAACCAATACCCCGTCAGCCCCTCAATCGTCCTCTTGCCTACATCGTGGTGCCGGTTCTCCTCCCAGACCTTGCCCCCCTCTCCAAATTGATTAGACAAATGGCCCAAGAAAAAGTCCAAATTCTGTTGGCATTGAGGGAAGGCGTCCTTGAAGAAGTCAAAGAGATCTTGGACCTGCGGTTTGGTCTGCGCATAGGTGACCTTTTCTGCAAAGAGGTGCAAGTATTTCTGGGTGTGCGCAATGTCGGCTTTGGCATCCAGCTCCCAACCAGGCTCCAAATGTCCTGGAATGACCTTGGCGGGCTCCAGAGCAGAGATGAGTGCGATGGTTTTATTCCATGCCTCGAGGAGGGCGGGGGTTTCCACCTCTTCCACCCTGTATCAACGAATGGTATCAGTAATTGATAGTGCGTCGAGGTATTGCAGACTCACCAAACATGTGTGCTTCGACCGTAGATAGTATCCCCGCAGACGACCGTCTTCTCAGTCGGCAGCCAGAAGATGGTGTGGTCAACACTATCTCCCTGCAAGGGCCCCAGCAGCACGACCGGGCTTTCGGGGTTTCCGTTCAGCAAGAAGAAACTGAAATTAAACTCTTCAGGCTTCTTGGGCGCTTCGGGAACATTTTCATGTCCAAAGACAGTAGGCCAGTACTTGACCTTGTCATCATATTCGCGGTTGATGCCCTCCAGGACATAAGGAGCGGCATAGAATTTGGCCGAGGGGAACGCATCCAGAATAGGATTTGCAGAAAAGAAATGGTCCGGATGATGATGAGTGACGAAGACGGCTTTAAGGGGATTCGAGGTGGTCTCCTTGATCCAGCCTACCACGGATAAAGCGTCAGGGATCAGGAAGGGCGGGTCTATGAGGATGGACTCGGAGGCGCCAACAATCAAGGTAGTGATGCTTGACAGGCCTTTGACCGAGGAGGCATGATGATATGTTTGCAAAGGCATGATGGTGGAAGTATTCTGGTAAACAACCTGGTGATATGGCCGAGCATGAATGGGAAGAAGGGTCAATTTATCTTGCCTGTTGTCATGTTTTCACCTCCCTCATGTAGCTGGTAGAGTGTGCCTATTTCCCCTCATTTCTGACTCCGCTTACCCCCGCCATCTCCCTCCAACCATCGTCGGAAATCTCCCAGCTGATGGATGTTGAATCCTTTGAATCTCAGCTCGATATCGGGGAGGATCTTGCTTGTGATGTGTTCATCGCCGGCAAAACCCCGATCCAGGACTGTCAAAGTTTTGGAAAAGTCAAGTCTTACCGTGATTCTCCTATCGCGATCCATATGATCAAGAAACCGGGGGATTCCCGTGTGCCTAGGTTGAATTTGAAGGATGATGGTCTCGTATTCATGTCCTTCTGATAAAGAGGACATGTGGAATCATCGACTGCATATATATCCACCGACTGTACGTTCCTAATCGCTTGGATACACCATAGGAAATCAATTACCATGGCTCAGTTTCATCCCACTATTACCCCCGAGTCTTTGAACGACAAAGTGATTCTTGTGACTGGTCAGTTGTGTATATACTATCCTCATCGTCTGAGGCTCACTCAGCAATAGGAGGCGCCAACGGAATCGGAGCCAGTCTGGTTGAGTACTGCTGCCAGCAAGGAGCGTATGTTTGCTTCGGCGATGTTGCTGAAGATGCTGGAAGTCAGATTGCTCGGTCGCTGTGCTCGTCCGGCTCATCTTCATCTCCACGAGCCATCTTCCAGTACACCGATGTCACTGACTACCAATCCGTACTCGGTCTGTTTGATCTGGCCCTCAGGACATATGGCCGCATTGATCATGCCGTAGCCTGTGCAGGTATCATGGAGATTGGCAACTTGTTCGATCCTGCCTTGACGCTGGAGACAGTTCGCGAGGTGCGTTTACTACTCTACTTCTCGAGATTCAGAGATACTGATGATGAACAGGCGCCCACGACCAAAGTCCTCGATGTTAATCTGACCGGCTGTCTTTATGTTGCTCGCATTGCCAGCGTCTATCTGCGCCAGAACCGCCCGGAAAATGCAGATAGGTCTATTACTCTCATCTCCTCAGTCGCTGGATTCAAGGAATCTCCCGGAATGTTTGTGTACCAAGCCTCCAAACATGGAGTGCTCGGGCTAATGCGTTCATTGCGTCTGTACCTACCTTCTTCAACTCATCGCATCCGAGTCAACGCCATCTGCCCTTGGATGACGACCACGGCCATGGTCAAAGGGGTGCAGGAAGCTTGGATGAAGGCAAAATTGCCGTGCAACACACCCGCCGACGTTGCTCACATTATCGCCGGTGTCCTGGCAGATTCATCGCTCAACGGCAGGTCCATGTACGTCGAAGGAGGGCGGGGATGGGAGATTGAAGCGAACATGGATCGATTAGAACCCCAGTGGTTGGGTGAAGAACCGTCGCGATCTCTGGCGCAGGGACAGGCAGTGCTCGGCAGTGGCATGGATTGGGCTCAATAGCGATTGCATTTGTACCTATTCGAGATAAATGACAGGATTTCATAGTTTGTATAGCGACTTAAGAAACATCCTAAACCAGTCATCATATCCGGATGATCGGCAATGGATATGAGTTTAGCCGGTTGCATGAACACAGACTGTCTAATTTCTCATTTACTCCTGTCTAGAGAGTATGCTCTTCTGCCGTGTTCCTCTCCATTTTGCTGACTCTCATCTGAAGTCATTGTCTTCTGTGGTTCTCCTCGTCTGAATTATGATACGAGACGCCTGCCATGGATCAAAAGCCAATAATCCACATTCTGGTGTTGATTTGGAGCTGGTGAACAATACAAACTCTGGCCATGTCGGACATCAAGGGGATCCTAATCATCCTATTGCTGTGCATGGGGGCACCATGTGGTGAGCTACTCTTGATTTTTATTCTTGGATTCTACACTAAAGAAAAACAATCATCCCAGGAATCATGTCATGATTGTCTGCGCCGGTTTCGCCGTCATGTTCACCACTTGCGCTTTTATCTTTGCCTTTGGCGTCTACCAGGCTCTGTACGAGGAGATGGCCCAGGAAGCGCAGTCTCCTTTCGTAGGGCAATCCACCGCTTTGATTGACCTGATTGGAACGCTAGCCATAGCCCTCATGTCTATGGGGGGTCCTCTTGCCATGTCCTGGGCCAAACTCTGGTCCCCTCAGGCAGTCATCATTGCCGGAGGCTGGGTTTTTGGTATTGCGTATATTCTGGCGAGTTTCAGCCAACGTCTCTGGCATTTTGCGTTGACCCAAGGCGTGCTGCTGGGCATCGGGACCTGCATGGCATATGTACCCACCATGTCTGTCGCCCCGACATGGTTTGATCAGCGTCGTGGGTTGGCCATGGGGATCATCATCTCCGGTAGTGGCGTGGGAGGCATGGTGTGGCCCCCTGCTTTACGTGCCATGATCACCCACCTGGGTTTCCGAAATGCATTGAGGATCTCGGGTTGCATCTCGCTCACTCTGGTGTCAGCAGCAGGGTACATCCTCCGGTGGGAACCCAAGTTCGAGGAGCAGCTTCGTGTACAAAACCAGAGTCTCAACCGACAATGGGGATGGATCAAAGTGCCCTTGGTCAACTGGCGCGTGGCACGTTCTCGACGCTTTATCGCGCAGGCCTTGGGCTGCTTTCTTCAGTCTGCTGGTTATTCGACTCCCTTGTTCTTCTATGCCGCCTATGCGAGGACGCTGGGCTACAGTGCTGCCACTGCGGACAACTTTATCACGGTCAGCAACGCCTCGAACTTTGTCTCAAGGATCTTGATCGGATACGGCGCCGACAAGTTCGGGCGACTCAACGCGTTGGCCTTTACTACTCTGGTCAGTACTGTCGCCGTCTTTGCGTTCTGGCTGCCCTCGATGTTTCAGCAGTCGACCGAGTCGGCATCCAGTGCCGATGGCTTATTTATTGTCTTTACCATTCTCTATGGAGCTTTCGCTAGCGCATACATCTCGCTGTTCCCGGCATCTTTGATCGAACTGTTCGGCGTGCAGCACTTTACCAGCGTCAACGGGGTCTTGTACCTCATTCGAGGGATGGGGGCGTTGATCGGGACGCCGTTGACTGGAATGCTGATCCCTCAGTCTACCGCGTTGGTCTCTTCGATCGTCTACGAACGCGCGGGGATCGTCTGCGGGGTTCTCCTTTTCGCAGCCACACTGGCCTGCTTTTGGGTGAGAATTGAAGCAACTCTGGGCGAGTCCGGAAGGTGGAAGGCTTGACATGATCAATTGGCTGGCAAGTACAACGTGGTTTGTCTGTATTGTTCATGGTCTTACACCTGAAATAGCACTCTTACAATTACAGCTTGACCTCTGCTGCTTCTTTGCCTGGTCGCGCAATTCCCGCCGCAATATCTACCACTGGGAGTCTTCGGAATCGCAGAAAGGCAAACGATGCCCTTCATGTTGCTGATAATGAGCGGGTTTTGACTGGCAGACAAAGTCCTTCACTCCATCTTCGCTGATATTGCTCTTATCTGCGACGATGTACGTCCTTGGAACCTGCAATGTTCTTTCTTGTAGACACTACACTTGTAGCTGACTTCTCGTGGCTCAAGTCTGGCACGGGTTTGGATAGGAGAGAAACACAGAGGCTCAGAGCATATCTATCTCGATACCTGTTCGGCTGTTAGACTCTGTCGACCTCGTTAATGGTCTTGCCCTCAGCCTATACAGCCTTTACGACCGTTTTGACATTGAGAAGCAGCCGACTGGCCATGAAGGTTTCCGCCACGTACTCTGGAAATAAGCAGATAAGACTTGAAGGAATGCATAAAAACCATGGTGCTCTGATCGACCAATGAGAAATGATCATCGAGGATAGGCAACGAAGATTGATCCGCAGGGAATTTAGTACGAGATGTGGATCCTTTAGGCACATTTCTTGTCCATTGAGAAAGAGGGCGAGAAATCCCTTAAATCTCACTTCAGATTCACAAGTAAAGGCAACCAACACTCGATCAGAAGAAGTCTTCTTGACATTCGCAATTAGCCAAAGCTTCCCAGGAATTGTATCGTTACAGGGCCGAATATGAAGACCACGGCTGGAGTGCTGGTCGTTGCTGTCAGCAGCCTGGCTGTAGGCGCCAACGCCGCAAAGGAAGCTCCACCGGCGCCCACGGGGAGCAGCTACGCCTCGGGCTTTGACATGACCCGGAGTTGGGCAAATCTGAGTCCGTATGAGGAGGCGGATGGCTTTGGCGTGCCCAAAGGATTGCCCCACGGCTGTGAGTTGTCCCAAGTCCATGTGCTGCATCGCCATGCCGAACGCTACCCGACCCCCTATCCTTTGGACGGGCAAGGGATGGAGGACTTTGCCGCCAAATGGAGCAACTACACCAAAGCTCATCAAAAAGCCTCGGCCACGGGTCCATTGAGCTTTTTGAATGACTGGGAATATATCCTGGGCGAGGACACCCTGCTGGAATCCGGCGCAGCGACCGAGGCCACCTCAGGGGCCAGCTTCTGGATCAAGTACGGACGGCTACTGTACCGTGCTAACCGTCATAACGAAGCGGCCTGGAATGCCTCGTTGAACGTGTATCCAAACGGCACGGCGCGTCCAAAGCCGGTCTTTCGCACGACCTCCCAGCCGCGGATTCTGGAGAGTGCTCGATGGTGGCTCAGTATGGATTCCTTCAAGGGGTGCAATACATAGCTAACATACACCTCAAGGTGGATTCTTTGGCAATACCGGTGCCAACAGTTCTTATGACCAATATGACCTGGTTGTCATTCCAGAGATGTCCAATTTCAACAACACACTGGCCTCGTACGACTCGTGTCCCGGGGATATGACCGAAGGGTGAGTGATTTCTTGGTAACATGTACACAATGAGGCTAAGAGGATCAGGGATGATTCCGCACAGGAATTCATTCCCCGGTATACTGAGCACACCGTCTCCCGTCTGTCCGAGTATCTGCCCAAGGACTTTAACTTGACGGCTTTTGATGTGCTAGCGATGCAGAATATCTGCGTCTACGAGTACACCGGCCTTGGGGGTTCCTCATTCTGCTCACTCTTCACCGAACAAGAGTGGAAGGATTTTGCCTATAATGTCGACGTGCAGTACTACGGGGACTATGCCTACGGCTCTCCCACAGGCCGTGCCCAGGGCATCGGCTATGTCCTTGAACTGGCGGCTCGGTTGCAGGGCAAGCTGATCTACTCAAGCGACACGAGCATTAATTTTACCTATGACAATAATCTGGCCCAATTTCCGCTCGACCAGCCCTTCTACCTCGACATGTCGCATGACGATATCATCCTGTCCGTCATCACTGCGTTGGGATTGCGCTATTTCAGATACGGACCACATGGACTGCCCGGGAATGTCGACCATGCGCTCAACCGGACTTTTGCCCTGAGCCAGATGACGCCATTCGGAGCGCGTCTCATGTCGGAGGTTTGGACCTGTCCTGGTAATGTGTCCTTTGACTCGCTGGCCCCGGTGCTATATCGTAATCCCCAGGTCGAGCGCACTGTAGACACGACCAGATTCATCCGCTTCGTTCTGAACGGAGCTCCCCTGCCGCTGGATGGACTGGTGGGCTGTGAACAGTCGCGCCATGGGTTCTGCCCAGTCGAGGATTTCTTGAGTGGTGTTCCGACGCTGAAGAAAGAGGCAGAATATCAAAAGGCCTGCTTCGGACATTACCCGACTGGAAGCCAAGTGGGCAATGGCGCTCCAGATTCTTGAGTTTTATTTATCCAGGACACCGTGTGACAGGGGATGCATTCATCTGCTTGCGCGAGTTGAAGAAGAGCCATTCAGGGAGCAAGAGAATTCATTGAGGAGTATAGTCTTGGCGTTTGACAATGTCTCATCAGTGTTAGTCTAGGCTCTTCAGGGTCAATAACTCCACAAGAGCTAAATGCACTCTACCGTTTGGGGCTGAGACAGAGACCCCTTTTGCCCGAAATTGGCTGAGAGGGCCGAGGCTAAAACGAGTAAACGCAGGAGGTCTTGGTCCCTGAATCTCAGCGTGTAACCACTGATTGTGTCCGCCGTAGATTGTCAAGTATCGGTGGTGTAGAGGCTAAAATGGTTGCTAGTGCTCCGGCGCGGATGGCTTCACAATGGCATTTACCCGAATGCAACCCCTCCTGCCTGCCCCTCCTCAGCCGGAAGCTTCAGCCTGTTGTCATTCTGCAGTGTCTTTTCGAACCACATCATCATTCATCTTTCAATTCAGCCGGATTATCATGCAGAATTGCAGACTCGAGGATACGGGCTCCCCCGCAGGTACCCCGGATCAACTGCCGGATCGTTGAATGGATGTGACAAAGTCAATCGGACCCAAACACGTTAATCCCAAGAATAGCCGCTAAGGTAGTGTCTGTGTCAGGATGTGAGGATGTGGGTTTGGCCGGCATTTGGCTCACTCCTCTTATCCCGGGACGCAAAGGTATAAAGAGCAGAGGCATCCTCGAGTACGGAATCCACCAAACACTCCGTTTGACACTCGTCTTCCAGTCATAACAATCTCCTGCGAACATCATGGTTTCTTTCTCTTACCTGCTGCTGGCGTGCTCCGCCATTGGAGCTCTGGCTGCCCCCGTCGAATCCGAGGGCGCCACGTTCAACGAGACTGCTCTCCATGAGTTCGCTGAACGCTCCACCCCAAGCTCTACCGGATGGAACAATGGTTACTACTACTCCTTCTGGACCGATGGCGGCGGTGATGTGACCTACACCAACGGCGCCGGCGGCTCGTACTCGGTGAACTGGAAGAACACGGGCAACTTTGTCGGCGGAAAGGGCTGGAACCCTGGCAGTGCTCGGTACCCAGCGCCTTCTTGCAATGTTTGGCTTGAAGACCTCTAGCTAACGGAACTAGGACCATCAACTACGGAGGCAGCTTCAACCCCAGCGGCAATGGCTACCTGGCTGTCTACGGCTGGACCACCAACCCTCTGATCGAGTATTACGTTGTGGAGTCCTATGGCACGTACAACCCTAGCAGCGGTGGTACCTACAAGGGCACAGTCACCACAGACGGTGGCACTTACAACATCTACACTGCCACCCGCTACAATGCCCCCTCCATCGAAGGCACCAAGACTTTCACCCAGTACTGGTCGGTGCGTACCTCTAAGCGTGTCGGAGGTACTGTCACCATGGCCAACCACTTCAACGCCTGGGCCCGGCTAGGCATGAACCTTGGAACGCACAACTACCAGATTGTCGCCACGGAGGGTTACCAGAGCAGCGGATCTTCTTCTATCACTGTCTACTAGGTCGACCGCAGTGAGTCTTGATTGAGGGACGGGATGGTTGAGAGTGTATGGTGTGAGATTGAAGAGGCGATGTAACTAAGCTGGGTTGTTTTGCTGGGCAGGGAATGTATGTCTGGTCACTTCATCTTTCCCAGGAAACCTGTTTTTGGGGTTGAGCTACTATATGTCAATCGAGGGTCATCCCACCGTTTACTCCATCAGCTGGAAGCCTGCTTCATTTTAGGAATGTACAACGCATGGGTTTTAACCCTTTTAAGCTGTCTGAGACATGAATTACTTTAGAATCCAATCAACTAGTTGGACGCCTTTAGCTCTTCACTCATGGCTTCAATCTCCCCATCAAAGTGATTCAGAAAGTCTTCATCTCCCCTGGATGTCTTCCATCCAAGCCGATTCCGAGCGAAATCGGCTCTTGCCCTGGAACTATTTGCGCATTAGCATTGGTATGTGTAGGTGGATCTTGCTTGGGCAACATACTTTGATGCAAGAGTGATTTCCACGAGACTCTCATCTCCCCCGGTAATTTCGGCTGCTGCTTCCTTCATACTGATCGACTCGACTTCATTGTTGTTTAAGAGTCCCTGCTTGTGCAAAGCATCAACAATGCCTTGGCTGACCTGCAGCCATGTATGCTCTCCGCTCTCGACGAAAAAGATGGCCTTGGGGCCCCATGGAAGCCAGTTCGGTTGCTCTCTCACGGCCCGGAAGAGGAGGAGATAGAAGGTCGCCAGATCCAAGATATGGACATGATTCCAGATCTATGACGGGAAATGTCAGTCAGAACCTATCTATCATATACTGTCTATCAAACGTACTCCTGCTCCGCTCTCGATGACGGCCGCGTGGCCTCGTTTCCGGGCGAGGCGTGCAAGATTGGGCACTTGTTGACTCAGAGTCGCAAAAGGGCCGGATCCTTTGCCATCTGTCGTTTTCAAGTATCAGTTAGCATTGAAGCCTCTCCCCGGTCACGGATAACATACAGATAGTGGGAGGGACGACGATATACGTCTTGACACCAAGACTCAATCCCGTCTCGACAACGGCGACATCGGTGACCCGTTGCCCATAGCGCTCGGGATGGTTCTTCTCCATTGCATAGATGTTGTCCTTTTCGTCCGACCAGATTTTCTGATTCTGCGGCGCACCGGTGTAGGGATGGTCTCCGAGGATCGACGTGCCAGAGGTCTTCATTGACGTCGGTCAGCAAACTGGAAAGAAAGTATTCAAGAGAAGAAAAGCTTACATGGATCATGTACGTATCTCTGCCGGTAGCTTTCTGTCTCTGGCTCAATCCTTCGACCAATGCCTTGGCAGAACGATCGTGGGATGCAGATGCGGCATTGATCACCACTAGAGCTATGTGTGAGTGCAAGTAAACCATCAAGATAGAATGAATCAATACCATCATGCTGAGAAGCAGCGTCTCTACAAGCGTCAAGGTCATCAAGGCCCTTGAATTCCAGAGGCTTCACCCCGAGAGACTGGAGTCGGGCCGCCTGTTCTGGTCGACGTATCAAGGCTGAGATGCTCAATTCGGCCGCCTCTGGGGATTGTAAGAGTTCAGAGAGGATTGAGCCTCCACTGTATAGCGTCAGAGCTATTCTGCGTCTGTTTGCTCTATTCAGTCGACATCACTCACATGTATCCAGTCGCACCGACAACAAGAACGCTCTTTACTGCAGTGGGAGACGCCATGGCTACCAGAATGACAGGCTTCAATTCCTGGAAGAGAATCTGCGTGTTATTTCATCTGTTTTACCTACATCATGACAGCCATTTTATACTCTATCACTGAGTTACAGCCGCCGACGCCCATTAGTAATTCCGCCGAGAGGTGACGTCGTAGATCGAAACTCTCCGGATTAGAAATCTTGCCTGAAACCCTCCCGACATGTCTCTATCAGGCAAGTTGAAGCTATTTTGCGAACCTTCTTGTTATGTTTCGTTCAAAGAGAAATAGATTGCTTAGTAATGACTGTCAAACTGCTGTCAATTTTTGGTCGAAGCGACAATTAAAACATGGAATTAGCCAGAGGAGATGGATCATCCTATACTCCGTACTCCGTACATACAGCTTCCAAGTCAGACTAATAAGTAGTCATCAGTGATACAGAGTAGGACACTGTGTATATTTATTCAGCACAGCAGCAGCAAGAAGTAAGGATGACATCCTATGATCCATAATAATATAGACCCTGGCGTTGAATCCCTTGAGCCAAACTATTCCTAGTGCGGTCAGGGGCTGCTAAGTTATTTTAGCATTAGGCAACTAGATTGTGTGGTCCTAGTGGGTCATTTCCCTTGGCAAACCCAGTCCATTGCTGTGATTGGCCCCTACTCAGGGGAGAGAATGAAAGTGGAGCGACGTGGCAGCTGCGGTGAGTTCCCATTGGCTATGAGTAATCCCTGAGACACCTGAGTCTTGGCTGCTTTTGTCCTAGTGGCGGTTTCAGGGTTCCCAAGCCGAATCATATTGAGAAAGTGAGAGTCCAAGAATGCGATGATCCAATGATGCTGGCATCTGTCTTGGTCACTGTGGCATTGGCACCCTTGGCACTGCCTCAGACACCTAGATCACCCCCTGAGAAATGATTCTTTCCAGTGATGGTGATGAAGAGGAGCACTATTATTATTACTATCATTAATTTATGATCAGTTTTCTCAGTCCACACTGCCTTAACTGCCTTGCTCCTCAGTTGTCACTCACTTCCTACCCTAACATAGTTATTACCTATTGTTCCTATTGTCCCTATCATTCTGTTTTGGTAGGATGATCCAGCTGATTCGTCGAACCTGATTTCTGCCATCCTCAGCGTTACCTAACCTGACCTACCCATTTCTTTGAGCCTCACACCGTTTCCCTCTGCGGTCAAGATGCGCCTGCTGAGTTTGCGCCAACTTTGCGGGGCCACCACTCTGCTCCTCTATGGGCAGGTGGCCCTAGCAGATCTCGGGATCCAGGCGGATAATGTTGGTATGTATCGATTCCAAGAAGCCTCTCTGCAAGGTGTACACTCGTAACCCATGCTATGATGATCAGACACCCTCAAGTCGGCCGCCAAAACCGTCGCGGCTCCCATGATGGAGTTCTACGCCAAGAACCAGACCGAAGGCATTCCCGGCAAGCTGACAGGCACTTGGTATGTGGCCGGCGCCATGTTCATGACCCTCATCCAGTACTGGCAGGCCTCGAGCGATAACACCTACAATTCCGTCGTGTCACATGACCTGATGTTCCAGTCGGGCGAGAATTATGACTTCTTCTCGGGCAATTACAGTCAATGGCTGGTCGGTTGACTGACTCTCGATCGCCTTTCTCTCCTCGCATCAATGCTAACTGATCTCCCAGGGTAATGATGATCAGATGTTCTGGGGCCTGGCCTCCATCACTGCTTCCGAGACAGGATTCCCGGAGATCTCAGACAAACCCACCTGGACCTCCCTCGCTCGGGTCGTCTTCAACATGCAGGTGGCCCGCTGGGATAACACGACCTGCGATGGCGGCATGCGATGGCAGATCTGGCCCTACCAGGCGGGTTACACGATGAAGAATGCCATCTCCAATGGAGGTCTCTTCGAACTGTCGGCCCGACTCGCGCGCTTCACCCGGAACGACACCTATGCGCAATGGGCCGAGAAGATCTGGGACTGGTCGGCCACCACTCCGCTGTTACAGACCAATCGCTGGTACATTGCCGATTCGACCTCCAATGAAGCCAACTGCAAGGATGCTGGGAACACCCAGTGGTCGTACAATTACGGCACCTATCTGTCGGGGGCCTCGTTCATGTATAACTACGTAAGTGACTCCCGGTCCAGTTGACTTGCTCGACCGGCGTGCTGACTCGATATGGCGGATAGACCAACGGTGACGAGCAGTGGCTGAAAAGAGTCAACGGGCTGCTGGACTCCCTCATCGGCACCTTCTGCCCCAAGGACAAGGGCGGCAACATCTTGTCCGAGGTTGCCTGTGAGCCCATCATGACCTGCGATCGCAACCAGATCGGCTTCAAAGGGTACACGGCCATGTGGCTGGCTCACACGGCCATCCTCGTCCCCTCGACGGCGGCCCGCATCTACCCCGTCCTGCAGGGATCCGCTCTCGCCATCTCCAAGCAGTGCTCCAAGCAGCCCGACAATACCTGCGGCATTCGCTGGTGGCAGCCCACATGGGACGGCTTCACGCCCGGTCTGGAAACGCAGATGGCGGCCCTGGCCGGCATCACGGCCAATCTGATGTACTACAAGTCGGCCGCCCCCAAGACCATCGAGACGAACCCGGACGGCAAGGAGCATCAGATTGCGACCCATGAGGATGAGGCGCCGAATGCGCTCGCCCCCATCAACACGGGCGATCGCGCGGGGGCGTGGATTCTCACAGTGATCATTGTGGTTGCCGTGGGGGGATCCGTGGGGTGGTTGATCAAGACTTGAGGATTCTGGGATTTCTTCTTGCTCATTCTTTTTGGAGACAGCATTGCTTGTTTGTCGATTGTCAGGCGTGATTTGGTGAGGGTTTGGATTGCATATTCTGTCATATTCGGGCTCCTTCCCGTTCTGTTATCCTTTCTTGTATTATTTTCCACATAGATTCGACATGTTCCGACAACATATCTGTCTTTCTGGCCCCTGGATCTCCTCTGGCTTTAAACATGCTGCTCGGACTCCATCCGAGCGTCCAATGAACATGATATCATTTGCTCCACTTCAGCTTCACCGACGCACTTGTAGTCTCTTGCCCCACCAGCACTTATAAAACAAACAACAAAGATCCTGGAATCAGGACCCAGCACATCATCCAAGTCTTGATTGAGTCTATCCAACATGGTCTACACCATCGTCGTCCGTATGTAACATCTCTTCGTAATCGATTACCTCACTCATCGCTGCAGATCTCCGCGCAAAGCCCGATCCCGAGTGCATCTCGAAGCTTCATGCAAAGCTCCTCGAGGCCTCTGCCGTCTACTCCAAGGACAAGGAGACTCTGTCCTGGTTCGTGATGCAGTCGGTCCATGACAAGCAGGACTTTTGCATCGTGGAGCGCTATCTGAACGAGGGCTCCCAGAAATACCACCTGGAGAATCCGTACTGGAAGACCTTTGATCCTTATGTTATCCCCCTGTTGGAGAAGCCCATGGATTTGAGACGATTTGAGGAGTTGGTTCCAGAGGGGAAGCAGTAGATGAATCTCTGATTTTAACATTCTGCATGACAACTGCAAGCTTCTTACACATCTTTAACCCGTATGAGTTTCTTACTCTGTTCCTCGTTGATGCGGAAGCGGGGGGATAGAGGCCTGAGGAACAAGGCATCAATTTGCTTGTTTCGCATCTCCTGTTTTGATCCTCGCCGTCTTTCCTGCATCTCTCGTCATCCAAATATCAACAACCGTGTCAAAATATCTCCAGAATGTCGAATAATCATCCCAGAGATGCTCTCATATTCCCTGATTCGAATCGCACATTCTTAGAGCCCCATCTTCCACCAAAAAGTAAAGGTTCACAAACTCCAAATTCTGATCTGCCCTTCACCACACTCACCTTTGCTACTTCCCTCGACTCTGCTCTGGCCCAGTCACCAGGCGCAAGAACCGTACTTTCAGGGCCCCAATCTAAAGCGATGACCCACTATCTCCGGTCGCGTCATGATGCAATCCTCATCGGGGTGGGCACTGCGGTTGCAGATGACCCTGGATTGAACTGCCGCATCGATGGGGTCGGTGGCTACGGTGGTCAAGGCCTAGAGGGACAACCCCGTCCGATCATCATCGATCCCAGCGCTCGATGGGACTTTACCGAGAGCTCTAAAATCCTGACGCTGGCCCGGGAAGGTCGTGGTCGAGCGCCCTTTATCATCACAGGGATGCAGTCTGCCCCGGCAGAGAAGAAAGCTCTGTTGGAGAGGCATGGCGGCAAGTTCATATCGCTGGATGTGGTGACGACCGAAACAGGAGAGCATCGCATGGATTGGATCACTCTGCTCAAGACCCTCAGAAAAGAAGGACTGGAGAGTGTCATGATCGAGGGAGGAGGGACGATCATCAATTCTCTTTTGGAGTCCTCCTACCAACATCTCATTGACTCGGTCATTGTCACCATCGCTCCAACCTGGCTCGGGCAAGGAGGAGTGGTTGTTTCGCCTAAGCGACGATTCAACGAGCACGGCGTGGCCATTCCCGCGTCCCGATTGACCGACGTGAAATGGTATCCTTTCGGAGAGGACGTTGTACTTTGCGGGAGGATCAAGTCCTGAATCTGCATGAGCCCTCCTGCCGAGATGCATCAGTCAAGGGCTTCGTACATCTGGGCCACAACAACCATCACGTCGCCCAGCGTGACGATGCTCCCCGGCGCATAGGGCTGATGGAACGTGGCATTGCCAAAAGTGACGACAATGAAGGGATATGCAGGGAACCGGCAATATGATGGTTGAGGAACCAGGGTCTCTTCTCCACATGGCAGTGGAGCGAGTGATTTTGTCAGAAGCAAGTCTTCCACTGCGAGATATTCTGCCGCAGACAGACTGTATGATGATCCCTGACAAGCTATACAACAAAAAGCTAAGCCAAACAGATTTGGGACTCCCCATCTTACTCTTACTTTCGAAGCAAAACAGTTCTCGATATCCACCTGGAGCACCTTCACTTGGTCCTAAGTGCTCTGGTGTCGAGCCTTTTCCTTCTTATGAGCCTTGAATATATTTTGTTGATAGTGGTCCCTTTATGTTTGTCCTTTTTTGGAAGTCATTGTGAGATGATCTGAGGCAATGCTCAAGATAGAGCAAGTTAGGGAACTGGGAATCTAAATTTATAAAGCCCTATGAACCTTGTAAGTCTGTCAGCTTTCACTTCCCTTTTCAAGAAGTCACCAGTCCATGGGCCTCTAGAACACTGGAATGCGAGTCATGTTAGCTCTGGCTATCGCGCCTAGCCGCCCTGAAGTGACGTGGTCAAGCAACGACCTGTGTTGTACCTCGTCCTACCTCGTCCTGCATGGTGACCCCGCCTTTGCACAACTGCTTTTGAACATCGCTGAGGCCCATGTTAACCATTGTCGCCATCCACACTCATGTCGAACTGATATGGCCAATCTCGACTTCCTCAAGGTGGTACTGAGGCAGAAAGTGGCGGCAACGGCAACGGCATTATCCGTGAAGCAGCCGTTGTCCGACACACAATACAGCGCTGGCTTCGATATCTTGGTGCGGGACTCATCATACCGTGACTTCATTATCCCTCAACTATCTCAGCTGCTAAGCCCTCTCTTCAACTCGCGTAACCATATCTCGGTGCTAGAAATCGGACCCGGCCCGAAGAGCGTACTCGGATATCTGCCCCTTTGTCTACGACAGAAAATCAGGAGGTACACTGCTTTCGAGTCTAACGGCCTGTTTGCTACAAGGGTGGAAGAATGGCTTTGCTCTACCCTGGAGACGGAGTCCCCGTTGCCCTGCTTAGAGAGCCCTGCCAACATCCGCCGGATCCCATTTATTCTAAACAGCAACAGAGGAAGCGGTACCGATAACAGTACGAGTGATAGCGACGAAAAATTCGACGTCGTCTTATTCTGCCATAGCATGTACGGCCTGAGACCCAAAGACAGGTTCATTGAACAGGCGCTGGACATGCTTGTTGAGCAACCCCAAGGCGGGGTGGTAGTTGTTTTCCATCGCGACGGGGCCCTGTACCTCGACGGATTAGTGTGCCATCGAATGGCTTCTTATCCTACCGGAACCGTTCGCGTAGCAGATGATGACGAGGTACTGGACAAGTTCGCTACTTTCGTCGCAGGGTACGCCATGCAGGATAGGGAGGCCAACAAAGCGATCCGAGATGAATGGCGTGAGGTGTGCCGCACCTTGGGCCGTCGTGAGGAAGCCCACCCAGACCATCTCTTGTTCCACTCTCCCAGTGTCATGCTGGCTTTTACCCAACATGCAACCGCATTGCCTGAGCTGACAGCTCAAGTGCCACTAGTGAAGGACAAGATGGTTAAAAATCGCGAGGCTCTCCTTCACCGTCCCGCTGCGGTTGTAAGGCCGACAGAGATCCGACACGTCCAACAGTGCGTTCAATGGGCTCTGAAGCACGGGGTTGGCCTGGCCGTCATTGGTGGGGGCCACAGCGGCCACTGTCTATGGCCCAACGTCGTCTCGGTCGACATGGGGGGCTTGGACCAATTACACATTCTCCTAGGCGGGGAGGATGGTGGGGAGGCCGATCCTGATTTTGATTCCTTGGTCGTCGCCGAGGCCGGCTGCAAGACGGGTGATATCATCCGTAAGACCATGACGGCCGGCGTGACAGTGCCCTTGGGGTCCCGCCCAAGCGTCGGCGCGGGGCTATGGCTACAGGGCGGCATCGGGCACCTGGCAAGGCTATACGGTCTCGCATGCGACGCCATTGTCGGTGCCGTGGTGGTCAGTGTGGGATCTGGCGAGGTTCTTTGCATAGGCCGTGTACCAAGCCAACACCGGCCGGCCGGCGCCGTGCGCCCAGAAAACGAAATCGATCTCTTATGGGCGATGAAAGGGGCTGGAACCAACTTTGGCATCGTAGTCAGCGTTACTTTCAAGGCTTACATGGCTCCTGTCTACTCGACTCGGGACTGGGTTGTCCCGTTGAGCGACAATCTCGAGGCGCGGCTCAAGCTTAGCCATTTCGATGAATTTGTCGCCAGAAAGCTTCCCCGCAACTGTTCTGCAGATGCCTATCTGTACTGGGATTCCGGTCAGCTGCATCTTGGCGTCACCATGTTCGAGTCTTCCACGACAAAGCTCACCTCTGAAACACCCATGTCCACTCCCCTGCCTGTAGGCACAGTCTTGGGACCGGAAGGCAATTTCAAGGCTGTAAATGGCGTCGGTTTGTTTGAGGCCGAGATGTACATGTCCAAAATGCACGGCGGGCACGGCGGCAGCAAGACCTCCTCCTTCAAGCGATGTTTGTTCTTGAAAGGCATCGGAGCAGTGAGCATTGCCAATAGCTTAGTGACGGCTATTATGAACCGTCCCACGCCATTCTGCTATCTCCATCTGCTGCAAGGTGGCGGAGCGATCACCGACGTGGCAGGTGATACCACTGCCTTCGGTTGTCGAGACTGGGACTTTGCCTGCGTGGTGACTGGAGTCTGGCTCCGTAACCAAGATGGAACCGAAGTCGCTCAAGCTGCCAAGCAGTGGGTATACGACGTCGCCGGGGACCTGTTGCCCTTGAGTAGCGGAGCTTACAGCGCAGATCTTGGGCCAGACCCCAGAGACGCCGCGCTGGCAGCCAAGGCTTTTGGTCCGAACCGGCCGCGTCTGGCCCGTCTCAAGCACAGCGTGGACCCACGCAATGTGCTGGCTTACGCCTGCCCGCTCCCGAAAACACCAATGGAACAGAAACTCATTATTCTTGTCACGGGCGAAAGCGGCGCCGGTAAGGACTATTGCGCCGATATATGGGCCTCTGTGTTTACCACGTGCGCCCACAAAAGCCTCACGGCGCGCGCAGTCAGCATCAGCCATGTGACCAAGCGAGAATACGCGGCGCATACCGGTGCCAACCTAAACCGCCTGCTTCGAGACCGTGCTTATAAAGAGCAACACCGGCCAGCGTTGACATCGTTTTTTCAGGACCAGGTACGGCATCGACCTCAGTTGCTACAGGAGCATTTCCTGAATGTGGCGTACGGTGCTGTAGATGTGGAAGTGCTGCTAATCACCGGGATGAGAGATGAGGCGCCAGTCGCAGCCCTGTCGCATTTGGTGCCAGACAGCAGAGTGCTCGAGATTCGTGTCGAAGCGAGCGAAGAGACGCGGCGGGCGCGCCGAGGATGCCACGGCGATGATGGCCGTGACAACGACAACAACAAGGGCAACAAGATTGGCAGGTTGAACCTGACGGCCTTGGACTACCGTCCCAGTCTCATCTTCGACAATGATGCGACCGGAGACGAGGCGGCAAAAAAGCTTGCCGAACAGTACCTGCTTCCCTTCTTCCACGAAGACCTGCAGCGACTGGCCAGCATGGTGCGCTCGGTACCTGACTTTCCACGCTCGGGCATCGACTTCCGCCACGTGCTCGACATCTCCCAACAGCCGGGTGGACTGGCCCTGTGTACGTCTCTGCTGCAATCTCACTTCACGGGTGATTGGGCCAAAGTCGATGTCGTAGCGTGTTGCGAGGCTGGCGGCTTTGTCTATGCAGCAGCGTTAGCCTTGCGGGTCGATGTACCGTTGGCATTGATTCGCGAAGCTGGCAAGCTGCCTCCCCCCACTGTTTCCGTCCTCAAGTCCACGTCGCATATCTCGTCGTCAGCATCTAACGATTCAAAAGCGAAGAGGATCGAAATGGACCGGGATTTAATCCCCAGAGGCGCCTCAGTGGTGGTGGTGGACGACGTGCTTGCCACTGGAAAGACACTTTGTGCGGTGCTGCAGCTATTAGAAAAGGCAAGCATCAACGCTGAGGATATTCGTGTCTTTGTCGTGGTCGAGTTCCCTGTTCACCGTGGCCGGGAATTTTTGCGGCGGCATGGCTTTGGGAGAGTCAATATTCAAAGCCTTTTGGTCTTTGGTGGTGCTTAGAAGAGGACGGAAAGGAACAAATACGATATTTCACTGCTGCTTCGATTATGCATTTGATCTGCATGAGCTATAGTTACTTGGAACATGTCCCCGTCTCAGTGCAGGCAGGTACATGCAAGGCCCCTATGTTTCTAGCATAATTCTCGATGGAAGAAACTTTGACAGCAGGGTTGCAACTGAGTAGTCAAGGCATCCAAAATCTACTGTACACCTTCAAACACTCCTCGACCCTTGAATGCCTGATCCAGCTTGGCAGGAGGCACCCATTATGCCCAAGCAGGAAGGACATAGTCGGAATTGACATCCTGAGGCAGAAATCAGTTGCACAGACTGCACGTGATTCTGTCAGGATTGACCAATCAGAAGTCAAAGTGTGCCATATGGGCCCATAACCATAAGTAGAGGGGTTGCCTGATGAGCCTGACTGCCTGGGGTATCTATCGCGATATCTCCTGATCGTATTCCTGGCGATCTCTGCCTCTCTCTCTGCACATGGCACATCCCAGCATCGTCAGGTTATTGTGGCTGTTCGAAAAGGCTGGTATCGCAATCCATGTCTGTATCCTTCCAATGACTCATCATAACACCCATCATGATTCATCCAATGAGCCTTCAACCCCCGACCCGGTTACGGTTTCTTCGGAGTATTCTACGTCATCAACGTCCTCCATCCGGGTCAGCATGAGCGCACCACCAGAAATAGTTATCAGGCCATAGAATCAATGCGCTGTCTCTATAAATCATCGAACAAGCTTTCTTTCATAAGTGATTCCTCCTCCACATTTATCATCTATCCTCATTCTACCCACTCCTACATGTTATTTCACCAAGGAGAAAAGACCATCGGATGAATTGAAGCTTACCCAAAATGACATCAAAAGGGGAAATCGAAAGCCTCTCCGCGTATGGAGTTGCTCGGTCCACCATCAAGGGGACGCCCCTGAGCGAGGACGAGCTCCGAAAGACGGATGCCTATTTCCGTGCGAGTATGTATCTTTGTCTCGGTATGCTTTATCTGCGCGACAATGCTCTTCTCAAAGAGCCTCTCAAGGTGGAACATCTCAAGGCTCGATTACTGGGCCATTGGGGTTCCGACGCTGGCCAATCCTTCACATGGATCCACATGAACCGCTTGATCAAAAAACACGACTTGGATGTATTGTTCGTCTCCGGCCCTGGCCATGGTGCTCCTGGGATCCTCTCGCAGTCATATCTCGAGGGTGTATACACCGAGGTCTATCCGGACAAGACCGAGGATGAAAAGGGCATGCAGCGGTTCTTCAAGCAGTTCTCCTTCCCCGGCGGAATCGGCAGCCATGCCACTCCCGAGACCCCCGGAAGTCTTCACGAAGGAGGCGAGCTCGGATACTCGATCTCTCATGCCTTTGGAACCGTCTTTGATCACCCGAACCTCATAACGTTGACCATGGTCGGAGATGGTGAGGCCGAGACGGGCCCTCTGGCCACCAGTTGGCACAGCAACAAGTTTCTCAACCCGATCACCGACGGCGCAGTTCTTCCAGTGCTCCATCTCAACGGTTACAAGATCAACAATCCCACCATTCTGGCCCGAATCAGTCACGAAGAGTTGGAAATGCTCTTCAAGGGATACGGATGGACCCCGTACTTCGTCGAGGGAAGCGACCGTCAGAGTATGCACCAGGCCATGGCGGCCACCCTCGAGCATTGTGTGCTGGAAATCAAGAAGATCCAGAAACAGGCGCGCGAGTCCAACAAGGCCTTCCGCCCTCTTTGGCCCATGATCGTCCTCCGCACGCCCAAGGGATGGTCTGCTCCCAGAGAAGTGGACGGCAGGCTCCTAGAGGGCTTTTGGCGTGCCCACCAGATCCCTATCACCGATGTGCAGAGCAACCCGGATCACTTGAAAGTCTTGGAGAAGTGGATGAAGGCGTACAAGCCTGAGGAGGTCTTCGACAAGAACGGTACACTGATCCCCGAATTGAAGGCGCTGGCCCCAACAGGCAACTCACGCATCAGCGCCAATCCGGTCGCCAACGGTGGTCTCCTGCGACGACCGATGGATCTGCCTGATTTCCGCGACTACGCCCTGGCCGACATCGAGCCAGGCGTCACCATCCGTCCCAGCATGGCCAACATGTCCCAGTATCTGCGTGACGTGGTGGCCAAGAACATGACCACCTTCCGCGTCTTTGGTCCCGACGAGACCGAGTCCAACAAACTGGGCGAGATCTACAAGGCGGGTAAGAAGGTTTGGATGGCCGAGTACTTCAAAGAAGACGAGGATGGCGGCAACCTGGCGATGCAGGGCCGTGTGATGGAGATGCTCAGCGAACACACCTGTGAAGGATGGCTGGAGGGCTACATCTTGTCTGGTCGACACGGGATGCTCAACAGCTACGAGCCCTTCATCCATGTGATCGACTCGATGGTCAACCAACACTGCAAGTGGGTTGAAAAGTGCCTCGAGGTCGAGTGGCGCGCCAAGGTCGCCTCGCTCAACATCCTCCTGACCGCGACCGTGTGGCGTCAGGATCACAATGGATTCACGCACCAGGACCCCGGATTCCTCGATGTGGTCGCTAACAAGAGCCCCGAGGTCGTGCGGATCTACCTGCCCCCCGACGGCAACACCCTGCTGTCGACCATGGACCACTGCTTCAACAGCGTCAACTATGTCAATGTCGTCGTGGCCGACAAGCAGGAGCACGTGCAGTTCCTTAACATGGAGGAGGCGATTGAGCACTGCGCCAAGGGAGTCGGCATCTGGGACTGGGCTAGCAACGATCAGGGTTGCGAGCCCGATGTGGTCATGGCATCTTGCGGTGACGTCCCTACGCACGAAGCGCTGGCCGCGACGGCTCTGCTGCGCCAGTACCTGCCCCAGCTCAAGATCCGTTTCGTCAACGTTGTTGACCTGTTCCGTCTCATCTCCACTATCAACCACCCGCACGGTATGTCAGACCGCCAATGGGGGGCCATTTTCACCACCAACAAACCGATCGTCTTCAACTTCCACTCGTATCCCTGGCTCATCCACCGTCTCACCTACAAGCGGCCGGGCCAGCACAACCTCCACGTGCGCGGCTACAAAGAGAAGGGCAACATCGACACGCCGTTTGAGCTCGCTGTACGGAACCAGACGGACCGGTACAGCTTGGCGATCGACGCCATCGATCGTATCCCGTCCCTAGGCAATACCGCCTCGGGGGTGCGGGAGCATTTGACCCACCTCCAGCTGGCCGCGAAGAACAAGGCGTTCAACGATGGCATTGATCCAGATTATATTCGCAACTGGACATGGGATTATCCTCGGAAGAAGTGATTAAGCGGACGGCAATCATGGCGGATCTTCCTTATTTGAGCCTACTATGTTGAAGTCTAGTTAACGTATATGCAGACATGGCGAATATCAAATTGTTATGACCTCGTATCTCAATGACTACTTGACATCTGTGTCCCAAGCCCCTTGACTTCGCTGCATCATTTTTCTTACCCCAAACTCTAATTAGTCTCCAATCTCACGTTCATCAACACATCAGTAAGCGCCCCGCCGAGGCTCCCAAGCAGGCTGAGGTGCCGCGGCTGGCTTGTGGTATCCAGACAGGAGAGGAGTGGAAGCGACAAGGTCCAAACCACCGACCAACGCCCCCTGGGGCTCGAGCGCCCAAAGCGTTATGGCTACATAGTTGACCCCGTTATAATTGAGAATACCCTCTGGAACGGGGAAGTTGGTTTGTGGGCCCAGATCATTGACTGCATCAAGTTAAGATCCTATGATAGTTTGTTCTTAATGGGAGGCCTGCATACCGTATTTCCCAAACTGATATCCATTGACAAAGAGCTGACAGCGATAGCGCGTCCTTGACCTTGCATCTGATGCGGAGGCGTTGAAGACGAAGCTCAAGGGGATATCGTATCCCTCAGGCAGATCCAAGGAGAACGAAGTAGCATAGAATCCAATACCAGGATCAGTGATCCCATTATTGATCGGGCTGGATGACTTCCACTGGGAGGTAGGGGGATTTGGAAGATGATATCCCTGGCGCTCGGCATACATGGCTCCCTCGTTGAGCGGGCCTCGCGTCCAGTCCTGGTATTGCTCGCCGCCAAGATTTCCAGTCATCTTCCATTCAAGGTCGGACAGTTCATGGCTCGATAGCGCGTAGTCGAGGATTCCTCGAGGAAACTTGATTGCGTCTGTCCCCGGTGCCTCTTCGTCCTGCCCCATGTGGTCGATCACCACTGTCAAAACGTATGATCCTCCGGCAGACAGCTCGGGGGGAAGAGAGATGTTTCTGGGATAGGTCATATTCGATCCACTCCCTGTCCATGATCCCAGGAAGGTCTGATTTAGCCATACTGAATTGGCGAAGCCCACGCCGCCAGAGGTGTTGAGGAATACCCATGACTCGTCTCCGTTGGCCTTGAAATGGCCCCGGTAGATCAGGGAGCCCCCGTGATAGCCGTAGTCGTCGGCGTACAGACATGTAGGGCCAGTGAAGTTGCGCGTGTTATTCGTGTACGAGTTTGTCAATGGCGTCCAATTCTCGTCACTATAACCGGGGGAGATTTCGGGTAGAGAGTCGAGGTATTTCCACTCGAGACGCTTCAGGTCAGGCAGAGAGACAGCCGGTGGTTGATAGTGAACCGTTGCAGCGAGATTGCCAATGTCAGAGCGAGTTGATTCCAAGGACTGGCCGTTGAAGACAATCCCATCGAGTCGATCTGCTGGCGCTGAAACGACCTCCAGGGAAGTTGTTGTGTTCACATCACCAGTCAAATGCAGTTTGTTGTCTGCAATTGATGCGCTGCGAAGCAAATATCCTCCCTTCACAATCACCGTCTCCTTGGATGGTGAGCTATAGTTGGCAATTGGCTGCGCTGCTGGTAGTTCCAAGACCCAGTGCTGATAAGCGTCGTTGCGCCAGAGGAGGTGAATCTCCAGGTTTCCTGCACGCAAAACCCGTCTTTGAGCAGTTACCTGCCACTGTGAAACCCAAGAGCTTCCCTTTCTGGAAGTCTTGACTCCGGACCCGTCAACGACTCTCGGCCGGGGAAGATGTGTTGGCACCGCAAGTTCGTGAAGTTCATCTGCTCCTCCATACAGAACGAGTACGCGCTTCTTGTTGCCTCCCTTGGCCCAGGTGAAAACCTCTGCAGAAGAGTAGATGAGATTGAATCCGCCCACATCATAGTCAGTGACGTGGAATTTGGAGTCTCTTCCGTTCAAGGACAGACTGCCTCCCAATTGAGGGATTGTCACGTTCCCAGTGCTCGTCGAAACCTGAAGTTGGTATTGGACATTTCCAGTCGAGGTAAAGTCGGCATGTCTGAGTAAATAGAAATTGGTGTTCGTCTCGTTGCCAAACAGTGGAGTGACTGCAATGTCCTTGCTTCCTGTATATGACCCATTAACCCCGTTTCCAGGCGTTGCGGTGAGGTACGCGGGAGACACTTTTAGGAAGTTGGCCTGCAGCTTCTCTTCGCTATACTTTTCTCGCCAAATCTGACGATCCTCAGTGATGGCAGCCCCATAGTCGTACGAGGTGTATCCTCCATGGTAGCCGAGATTGCCCCAATTGGTGCCCCCGTACGTCTAGGACAGTCAGCTAAGAGCCGGGGTGAGCAGGATGGAGAATGCCACACCATGTAGATGTTGAGGACGGTGACGCCGAAGCCGTAATTGTTCTTGTTCACCACTCGGACAGCTTCATTGTTAACGAGAATCGCGCATTTGTCTTCTGTGACTCCTTCCCTGATGATAATGTCTTAGTGCTTTAAACAGAGCAGTAGTCCATGATATTTCTTACCATCCACCCCCTGAGCCCCCTTGAAATTCCATAATAGCAAATGGGGTCGTAGGGCTGTGATTGCGGTGTGTCTGCTGCCAGTCTCGCGGGAATCGATATGTTGGCCACACATAGGGATTGCCACCTGGTTGTACATGAGGTACACATCATCAACTCGTGAATCATGGTCTCACAGTCATATCTCATGGGATAAGCGTCAATCCCGTAGATGTCCGTCTCGCCCAGTCCAGTACCAGGGGCAAAGTATCCCAGGTTTTTATTGTCATTGACAACCAGTGGAACAACTACTCCAGCGTCTCGAAGCTGCCTCTCGACATAGGCCATGACCTCCTGATTCATGGTTGTCGGAAACTCAGACTCTGCAACGTTGGGCCATGTCGTGTACTCATTTTCTGGCTGAACCAGGATCACCGGCCCTCCATTGGTAATTTGTGCCTTGGCAATCATCTTCCCTACCGTGGCCATGTACATATCTGTCGCCTGGAGATAATCATCGCTGTTTGAGCGGACGATGCCTTTTAGACGAAGAACCCATCCGGGGATACCACCGGCCGAGGTTTCTGCATTGATATAGGGTCCAGGTCGAGCTATCAGGTAGATGCCAGCTTCACTTGCAGCGGTAAAGAACTCGTCCAGACTCCAGATACCGTCAGCGACAACATGGCCAGGATTACCCTCCATGAGACCCCAGTCGGTATAGAAGGAGACAGTATTGAATCCCAGACTCTTGATCTTCTGAAACACATCAAGCCACAGTCCAGGAACTGGCAGTCGAAAGGGGTGAAACTCTCCAGAAAAGATCATGAGGCGTTCACCTCGGACAAACAAAGAATGCTGGTCCCATGACACTAGGTCTTGAAGAAGCTCTCGCTTATAGGCAGCATATTTCAATGAAAGGTGGTTGACAGATGGTGCAGCTACTACCAAAGAAGCAGCGGTCAATGTGACAAACCTCCTGAAAAGGAACTTCATCCTGCTCTTTGTATCGGAATGGATTCTTCTGGGTCATCCGGCCGAGGGACCTACATAAGACCTGCCGGGAATCGAACAGGCTTTATATCCGCTCTACAATGCCCCGCATCGTGATCCCGTATCGTGGCATAGATCTCATCACGGCAGAAGTCCGTATTCATCGAGGAAACGTCACTACAGGTCCTTGTCCAAGATTGGTGGAGAAACGATCGACATGCGGGGAAATCGACATTGGATCTACGTGGATTGCTGCAGCTATTTAGCCTGTATGCTTCTCAGCATTGAGAATCGGAGAAGAGTCCGAATTGCCCTCTCCCAGTTTCTCCTACAGAGCCCATTGAAGCAAAAACATGTGTGTATGGTGGAGGTATACTGTTGCTTGCGTTTCTCTGCCTCGGGAAGCCTTCCCTGGGGCAACCGGGACCATGACCGCTTGTACATGTCGAGGTAGTTTGCACAGCTCCATGAAATGTCGCGTAGGTAGGCGCTCGCTGCACTAAAGCGAGGGAAAGGCCGTTTGTTGCTCGAGCCAGTCGGTGTATATCCGGATTCGAAGCCAAGTCAACGCCAGGCTCACTTCTAATCTGATATACGTTATCGCTCTTTCAAATGCTATATCAAGGCGCATGTTATCATCATCCGACGCAGTATTATCAGCCACACGCTATGTATTAGTGTTCAATTGCTCTCGTTGGTTAATCCCACAACTAGGCTGATGAGCAGCGATCCAGAGCCACTTCCGGATAATACTGCGCATCATCCGATAATCTTCTCTTGGGGGAGTAGATTCAGGGTGCAACCGAGTTTCAAGACCTAGGATATTGGGCTTTAAACTCATTTTAGAATTGGAAAGTCAACTCAGAAGGATGAAAGGAATGTTATCGCCCAGGAAATGACAGTCTGGCACACCCAAGACCTTGTTTATACCCCTCAAACTAACAAGGCTGTGAGCCTGCCACAGACCTATCTCACTGAACAAAAAGACGAACAGGAGACTGCTTAGGTCCTAATCTCTCGGGGAATTGCATATATTGAGTAAAGAATGTTTTAGGCTCTCGTGTTTCTGGCCTAACCAAGTTCAGCGGACAGCTACATTCAATTTCTCACATTCCCACAAGGCATTTCCAACATGAACAAATAGGTAAAGAGTGTTATCGTTGAATACGCTCTGAGACTGCCTCATACCGATTTCTTAACCTCATCAAAAGTCCTTTCCACTTGCTTCTTGGCCTCGCGTATGGAGATGATCGCCAACTCCGACGACCCTTCTACAAGCACTGCGAGTACCATTGGTTCTGCACCTGGCAAGTATAAGGACTCACGCAGGCAGTGGGCCCGGTCCATCCCTGGCCACCGCACTGGCTATATCGAGGGGCAAGGCTCCCCGAAGTCGTGGAGGGCCGGCTGGAAGTGGTTGTTGTTGGAGACGATGTTGTCGACGAAGATGATCCTCCATTGCTACCTTCAGAAGTGCCCTTCCATGCGCCCAACGGAGACGGCCCGTCCAGCGTGACAACCTTCGAGTCAGAATACACTTGCTGCAAATAGCTGATGGGGTTGTAGCTGCCTCCTTCAATGAAACTACCAGACCAGACCATCCAGTAGGCCCAGAGCGCCCCGGAGCTGGTCATCTGGCTCGGATCGGGAATGTCGCCCACCTCGGCCAAAGCCAGGATTCTCTGACCATTTGTCAAACCATACAACGAGTTCCACTGGTCGTGTGCGGGTCCATGGTCACCGGGAGTGGCATAGTAGTCGACGGTGGCAATGTCGCATTTGTCGTTCCCGGGGTACCAAGAGGGATTGCCCGTATTGCAAACCCAAATGAGGTTGTGTAGGTTATGGTACTGTGTCAGGCGCTGGTACATGAGATCCCAAAGCTGCTTGAAGGGACCTGGGCCCTTTGCTCCCCACCAGAACCAGCCGCCATCAGGCTCGTGAAGAGGGCGGAATAAGGCCGGGACCCCCGCGTCAGATAGCTTCTGCAACTGAACCGCGATTGCATCGATATCCCGAAGAATGAGTTGGTAGTTGCTGCCTCCTGGCCCTTCATTCATCGCCTCCTGCACGTCAAAACATGTAGCCGAGGTGTAGAATCCCTTGTACCAGGGCTGGTCCGCGGTGTTGTAGAGACAGGTTGGAGCGTTCCAGTGCCAGACAATCGTATTGATGCCTCCGGTTTTATCAAATGCAAGACAATCTTCGGCCGAATGAGAGGACGCGCCGTACTGCACCCGCGAGGGAGAGTAGTCCATAAAATCATTTCCCTGGATGGCGGGTGTCTTGCCGGTATTGCTTTTGACAAAGGCCACTTCCCCGACATCCATCTGACCGGACAGATAGTGGTTCCCATAGGTGCTTTGGATATAGCTGAGTAGTGTTCGTGCACCAGCATCTGCCTGGGGGTCAATGGGATTGTACGTCAGCCACTGTCCCCGTGTCGCATGTTTGAGGGGCTCTCCCAGCGCGAGGGCCGGTATGAGAGCAAGAAGAGTGAAACGAGTGATCATTGCTACCCTTGCGCAGGGAGACGGATACAGTAGACGAGATTGCTGAGAACATTTACGGCCAACACGCGCAGGAGGACAAAGAGGGTCGCGAACTCTTCGCCAACACAGATTTGAGGTGGTGCCTGTCATGGGATGACTCTCCGCCAATTGGATACGGTCATAATGTTTCCCATCTCTTTTCTGAACCTGAACTGTTCCGCATACAAGGGCGAAAAAGTGAGATACCCTTAACCCCATCTAATCTGTCTCCAGCAGCTTCCTAACTGCCTCAAACTCGTCACCAGAATCCTCGGACTCTACTTCCACGTTTCCAGTGTCAAGAAACAGCTTCACCAGTGCCTCATGCCCTTCTTTTGCGGCCCATGACAGAGGTGTCAAACCGTCTGAGTCATTGGAATCGACATCCACCTTTCCAGTGTCAAGAAGAAGTTTCACCACTGCCTCATGCCCTTCCTTTGAGGCCCATGACAGAGGTGTCATACCATCTGAGTCAACACGCCCGAGCCATGCCACTCGACGTGGTTAAGCCGAACCACTCATCTTAAACTAAATACTCCAGTCGTATCTGGTCCAAGAGATGCGCAATTCTGTGATGCAAATAATGACGACGATAGGACGGAGCAGTACCTCTCCAGGGAGATATCATGATTGCAAGGATGTCGTTAGCGTTATATGCCACTATCAGAACCACAGATACCACCACCACCGCGAAGGGAGCCGCAACCTGCCAAAACAGTGCCTGGCTTAACTCCATATTCCGAATATCCGCGGTGTTCATGCCCAGGTAGCTAGTCACGAAAGAAAGGGGGAGAAAGATGGTCGAGACAATGGTGAAGACGAGGATCGCTTTGCCATGGTCTTCCTGGATAATATCCACGCGTTGAACGATCTAGGTGATTGGTGAACTCAATTGAGACATTTATGGTGTCATAGAAAAAGGCATAAATACCTGTTTCTCTAGACGATCGACACGCTTGATCAGCTCCTCAAATATATCCTGCGTATCTTGCAGACGAGCCCGGATCTCCTGTAGCGTATTCCGGGTGGAAACATTGTTCACCGGCTTGCCATCAAGGGTGGGACCAAAAAGTAATTCAAAAGTTACAGGTGTGCGCTCCTCTTTGTCGATTTCAGAGCTTTCTCTGTCATCAGGAGAGTCTTCACACCCCTCTTCGATTAAATCGAGCTGGTCACTGATATTATCGCTGATTATCGTGAGCTCTTCCCGAAGCAAGTTAATGTCCAAGAGCAGGTTTTTGCTGGGTCTATTTCGGGCCTGCAGTTGCTACACGTGGCGGATAAAGTCAGCATATGTAAGAGGCCGAGCCGTAGAACCTACCAGGGAGTTTGTATAGGTTGCATATATTTCCTCGATGTCTAGTATAGGCATCGATTCACAGGTTGAATGGCCCCGCAGGACGGAATCCAAAATATGAGCGATTATCCTCCCACAGTCTATCTCGTTGTATGTTGACTCAGCCTCTTCAGAAAGGAACGTTGCGCAGCATTCGTGTTGTGCACGATCAAAATAAGACAAGATCAGATCTATATGTCTGTTCAGGTGCCTGGAGAAATCGTTTTGCTGGTCACTTGGCGCTGCGGTTGCAGTGACTTGGTCTTGTTCCTTAGGCGGCGTTATATGGTTCGTTTCTTCCCAGCTGTCTTGGATATCTGTCCCCTCAGTACTGCTCCTTGGTGACGATGGCTCCTCCATTTCTTTGGCCTTACCAAACTCGTCTTTTAAATTGGGTGGTCTGATCGGGTCCAGAAGTTGCTCCTTTCTACCGCCATCGTCATCCTGTTGGCTACGGTCACTTGCGCCCTTAATGTCTGTCATGAGACGAGATGCTTCGGCCGCTGAATCCGCGAGAAGCAACATGATCTGAACAAATGCGCGCATCATGGAATACGTGATATAAGAGTAGTCCGCACCAGATAGTCCGTCGTGTAGATTCTGAATCTGATGGATGAATTCGCCCCATGGGATGGAGAAGATGTCACACTGAAACAAGAACAGAGGATCGAGAGAACGTGACCGGAAAGTCTCAGTTTCGGCGCCAATTAGCTGCACGTTCTCACGCTAGACTCTCAGACGAGGAAACCTACCAGAAGCACAACATGTACTGCTGCCCACGCTTTGCCCTTGACAATACAATCATAGTCCTCGGCTATAAAACAATCCAGCAGGTCGCTCACGCGACGCACAAACGAGGAAATGAGAGAGAGGATGTGGTTATTCACGAGGTACCTGTCCCGTAAGATAATGATGTGTTTGTCTACATCGGACTTTGATTTTAGCGGCAGGTTATTGTAGTTCTTCGCAGAGCGAATGTCGTCAGTGAAAAGGATATCGCGGTGGGCGTGGGCGAGCAGAGATTTCATCCATTGGGTGGGCGTGGGTTCGTTCGCTGAGGATACTTGATGATGCGGATCGGGGCTTTTATTCAAAACTCTGTCTCCGAGTGGACGATCACTGTCCAGCGTATCACGGGCGCTCCAACCTGCGTTAGAGCCATCCTTGATAGGCCACATGAAGATGGGATTACTTCCCTTTCCCGCCACCACCTGAGAAGACCAATCTGTTGTTTCCCGATGCAGAGTAGTTTGTTTGGAGCGATGCGACTGCGATTTCTGCGTCTCAGCCTGGGACTTTGCCGCATCCAGGACGTATGCAGGTGGTCTGTAGTACGGATCCTCGATGTCCGCGGGGTTCTGGCGCAGAGGACCATCACTGGCCTCTGTGGCACGTAGTCGCCTCGTATGGTCGTAGAGAAATTTTAGATCCAGCTCCGTAACAGGTTGGGCAATAATGAGAAGCTTTCGTTCCTGGAAGAGAGATTTACCGGTCAGACTATTCGATGACTAACGTAGTACGTTATAGAAATCACCACTTACCCCAGAATCCCAGTGATAAGGTATATTGTAATCTTCCAGTGTCCTTGGACTAAGGATTTCGACCCTAGCTCTGGGCCAGAACGCGGTGGCGTCAGTCTTCGATGTGTCCGAGGAGTATTTTCCTTCAAGCGGAATAGGAATTGTTAACCGTTTGGAGGACTCTGGCTCTCTAGGAAACGCGAGGATAGACAGTAGCTCATTGTCCGAGTGCGATTGCAATAGCGACCGCCAGCGATGCGCATCGATGAGGCTACCATCGCTCTGGAGTCTGTATACCCAGTTTCCAGCGTCTCTGCGCGCGTCCTGAAGGCGTTTTACCTTGTTCTGCACTCGGGATAAGAATTTCTGCTTCTGTTAATTGTTTCCCTTCGCAATTTCATAGGAAGTGAAAGGGACGAGACTTACAAACCACGAACTACACTGGGCGCGCTCGATGCAGAATGCAAAGACCCAATTGGTGGTTATCCGGATTGTGGGAGGGAACGGGTCCCTTCCAATTGTACGTGTGGCGATCAGTGATCTCTGGCCGTCAAAGGGAGGGGTGGGCGACCATGTTGCGATGAATTCTGAGATTCATTACCAGAATGAAGAAGAAAAAACATGACTGGGAACCCACTATCGCCGATACTCAAGAGCCAGAGTTTGGGCACATGAATGATTTGAGTGATGCGATTGTACAATCGTCGAATTGCTTGCTGATGCTCACGGGCCATGGAAGAATCGAGGTGATAGGCCGACTGAACCAGAGGCTGTGTCCAGTGAGCTCTTGGGTGAAGAGGGTCGTTCCGTTTCGCGGCGTTCTGCAGCATGAAATAAGGAATGGCCATGAAACTGAGCTGAGTTTTCTTTTCGTGTCCAGGGAGTTGAGCCTCTAAAATTGCCAACGCAAATGTTCGGAGCTTTTTACCCTGAAACGATGACCGCTCATGGGAAGACGACAAGCGCTTGATAAAATAGGACAAGTCGCCAGTCTCTTCATGTTTATCGAGTCCGTACGCCTCCAGGGCGCGGGTCTGAAGTGCATGACGATTGCCGGATAAGTATCAGTGTGGGAGAGCCAGCCATAGTACGCACCAGCAAAACGTCTAATTCGATCCCCTCAACTGATAGGTGCCTTGCGAAAACATGGCCATCAGTGTGATCGGTATATGTCCCAGCACGGGTCTCTTACATCCACCGTAGATGCTTAGGCTGCTGTAAATCACTCGCCCAGTCGATGCTTTTGATTCCCAAGAGAATGCGCGCGTCGCTGTCCGAAGGGGATTGGTCTTCGGCGGTGGCTTCAATTGAGAAAAGAGTGGGGGATGCAGTGATTCGATCTGTAATCAGTTTCCCCTGCCGTAAACGCCGCGTGTGCCCGAACAGCTCCTCCTGGAGATCCTCGCTAACCCATTGCTTAATGATGATGAAGTCGCCATCTGCCTGCATTTTTATCTTGTGTTAACCCGAGTACTCGAATCGCTCGAAAGCTGCAGTTGCTAAGGAATCACCTACTTCGTCCCAGTCCTAGGGAAGTTGGTATGCGATCAAAGTGTCAGGTAGTAAGTGCCGCCGATGAACTTTCACCCAACGCATCGGCTCGGGCTCTTCATGTTTGAGCCGGTTTTGCTTGTCTAGTATGATCTTGATATGGTCATCGGGGTAGCCAGCAGCGGCGAACTCTTCGGTCACGGCGTAGTTTAATAGGGTATCATGATCCATATCTCGGAGTTCAATTATTGTCCAAATGGTAATTAGTGAGTGTTGAATGTTGGATACTAGTACAATGATGGGGACAAAGTCGCTTTTGAGATGCCTGCATCGGGCCCCGCTTTTCAAGAGCGTGTGGCTGGAGAGATTCGTGTTATCCCTGCCGTGGAAGTACCCTTAACTGCAGTATAGTCCTCTTAAATGCTTTTGTATGGTACATGCTAGTGATCGAAATGGACGGGGACGAAGCTCTAATTTTCTAATTTATCAGAACTAGCAAGCATGGTCACTACGGAACCCCGCGCCAGGCTACGTGGCCCCAACTGAGGCAAAAGACCTACTATGATTTGACTCATGCCTGGCTTCCATATATATATCTTTAAGCCTTACTGCAAGCCTCTAACATTAACATATATTTAACATAATTCTTAACATGCTCAACATATACATAACAACATCCAATACAATGAGATATCTGGCTATGCTTCATCAAACTGCAACTGCCATCTAAATTTTCATTAAATTATAGTGTTGCTCCCTGCTTTCAAGCTTTATCACATAATAGTTCAGTAGACTCTGGCTTACAGAATCACTTTCTTAACTAATACTTTACAGACTGATTAACCATGCTGGTCACTAACCACTATGTCAAGCATGTCTAGCAGACCTAAGGAATTATATTCCTTTTAGCTTTTATAGAACACTCATCCACCTCCTCTAGCAGATATCTTCTATTATAATTAGAGTTATTTGTTACAACGCAATCCCAGGGACTATCAGCTGTGGTGTTGCCAATGTTCAGTGAAATTTACAACTGCATTGCGATGTTGGGATCAGTACAACTCCGCGAGAAGCCGTCTCCGTGACTGCCATCGAATGTTTTCTTTCTCATTACTATTTTGCAGGCGTTGATGAAGTTAACTGAGAAGATGACTGTAGTTAGTAACTGGTTCTCGCAGATGTGCAAATTATATGGGGAGAATTTTGGTGTTATGAAGGAACTGGGTATGATGCGCCTGTAGGATTGTCGGGTATACCATTCAAATTTGTCCCAGTAAATAGATTTATTTTTCTCCAGAATTTAGGCAAGCTTGGTTTTTACAGCTAGAAAGCTTCAGGTTTCTGATGGATGCGGAAAACTGCCAGCTCGCCGGCTGATTACGTGACTGGCAAGTTTTAGTTAATCCAGATGATTCCTACCACATCGTTCATCCGTCCGCATGTTCCTTGACCATCTTTTCATGTCTGTCCGAGTGTGAGCGATACTCCGTGATGTGCATGTCCTTTGATCGTAGAACCAGCTGAAGTTCTGATTGTTCAGATGCCAGCAATTGATCCTTGCCACCCCAAGCAATCGAAGCCCTCGGTACGAAAACCTCCTCTAGCGCATCCTCATAGTCAGATTCCGAATCGTCGATAATCACCGGGCTGACAGGGTCCAGATCGGATACTTCGGGAATACCATGAATCTCTAATATACCGTCCACGATCTCAACTGGTACCTGAAGAACTGTAGCGAATATCCCATGGGCAGCGGGATGTTTGATTTCCAGGGAAGTTATTAATGACTCCGGCAGTTGCGTCGCGTAGCATATAAGTCTTTCATTTTCATCACGAGGAACGAAGATGCTCAATTTGCCGTTGAGATATTCCATATGTAGTCTGCTGTATGTTTGCAAACTTGTGCTGGAACCGGACAGCGAAATCAAGGTACATTTTCCGACGATATGCTCAGTTTCGTATACTACTGCCTTCCGAAAAGTGTCGTATAATTCGCGAGCAGCACTTACATTTCCGCCGTTGTAGTGGGCGATGCATCTTAAAAAGTTTAGCCGTAAGTCTCGCAAAATCAATTACGTGGAGAAACGTACCTAGACAAACCTGATGATCTTTGACGGAAGTCAGTCGTAAGATGCAGTGAGGTCTGCGAAGGCATTTCCGAGACACTGGTTTTCCTTGCTGCGCAAATGGAAATGAAGCGGTTTTCTAGCCCCAGAGATTTCAAGAGTGGAGCTAATTCACGGACTTCTGCCAGGTGAAACTGAACCGTTGGCACCTTTCCATAGAATAGCATAGGCCAGCCGTCCCTATCAATGATAAAGAAATCGGATGTTACGGATCCCCAGTAGAATTCGTCCTCGGTGCCCTCGATTGGCAGGAAATTGATAACCTTGAGCCAAATCAAGTCAGACATCGTTGGTTCGAGGCTGTTGATATGGCACAGAGCCTCAATAACCTCAGTGACACTTCCTTTGTCCTTGCAAAGATCCTGAATACGGCTGATATAACAAGGTATGGAAGGTGGCTGGACCTGGAGGTCCTCAACAAAAAAGCTCTCCATATCTGGATAGACATCACTTATGCCGATTTTATCCCCGGTTGAAAATGATGCCCAGATGCATTGTTGAGGTGCATACCACCGCTTTGAGCTTGGTACATATATCATCTCGTATAGATGAAATTGAGTCCTAATCATTGAGCCACTGTCAGAGGGCGTTTAGGCACCGGCCTGGAGTCTAGACTCACCGCAGACTGTTCCAATCCTCCTCATCTTCTATATCCTCCATGATAGCCCGATATATCCTTCGCGTCTCTTCTATCAAGCTAACCCCAACATCCTGTAAGTGCATTAATTCTGTCATATAGGTTCCCCAGTCCGCTTCCTGCACATCGAGTGTGCCTAGGAATAGGCCTCGTATTTTCGAGTCGCTCGCATATTCCTCATGGTACGCAAGAGCGTACACAGTCCGCAACCACGAGGGACCATGCCAAACGCATTGATCGAGACACACTAACTTCGCACCGTCACCGCTATTCGGAATATAGACGGTCTTCTCGTCGTCGAAAAATTCCCAGTGTACGTCAGAAAAGCACAGGCCATCGTCAAATAATCTGTCAGATATCCATCTGTATAATTCGAAAAAATGCGGTTTGGCGTCCTCCAATGTCATGATGGATAGCAAGCGATATTTAACGACCTTTATAAATGTCGCCGCTCCATTACCGGACACACCAAGCTCTCGGAGAAATCCCCATTCCTGCTCACTACCCAGGCCCCAGATCCCCGGTAGTTTGAGAAAGTTGATGTTCAATGTGGTGGACACGGCCTCAACCAGGTTACAAAACTCTGGGATGGGAAAGTAGCATTCATCAAGCCTCGCCAGTCCATTTGACGTCGGGACTTTCGCTCCCTTGATAGCGGACGCAATGAGCGGTTCTTCTTTTATCTCTGTTCCGTATGTGTCCCAATACCTTGCCAAGGTACCAAGAAGAATGTCCGGATGGTGGGATATTATTGCGTTGAATAGATCAGAAACCTGTTTACGGTTGTCCCAGTGTGTCAACCGGGGAACTCGCCGTATTATCCCTTGCTGTTCCAGCCATATTCTCCACGTATCATTGGCAATGTGCGTTTTGCTTATGAGATTTGGATAGAGAAAGGTAGGGTGCAACAGAGGAAGGCGTGGGCTAAATAAAGAGCCTGAGTCCAATCTTTTTGCAATAGCTTCCGTTCCGTAGGCACCATCCGTTCTGACGTATACATCGGAGGGAATATACATAGGACAAGAGTCCCTGCATACCGGTCTCCTCAGACAGTGCTCATCAAAAATCATAAGGCAAGGCGTCTTCAGGCGATCGTCTTTGGCACAGCTGTCATAGACGTAGCATAGAATGTGCATAAAGTCAGCTATAAGATTCCTAGCGGTCGGCACAAAGGAGGTGGCATGGCTGTGGCGGGTGATTAGCCCCATGACCTGTTCAGGACTTGCACGTCGAACCCCAAGGAGACGAAATAGTTCTTTTTGGTCGTTGTCCCTGACTACTTCCTCTGAAACAGTCAAAATATCAAGACATTTCGGAATGTCATTGCCGTTGGTGTCTGTCGGAAAGTAGACAGCATCGTTTGCAAAAGCCAAATCGGCTTCAGATCTTATCAAATTTAGGTCGTTGCCTCGAACGAAAGAGCCGTTGCTCAATTCAATAAGCGGAATGTTCCTTATCTCAGTTGCCAAAGTGTTATTGGGATCCCTCTTTAGCCACACTATTAGCAGTCGTAGGATAAGCGATATCCGTTCCTTTTGTAAGTTGGAACTCGGCAGCAGGCGCAAAGGTTTTGTCAGTATCGGTTTGAGTCTTTCCAGGACTTCATGGTCCGAGACCTCTTGGAGGCCTAGAGGCTTCAGACAATCGAGGTAGGCACTGTATTGTGTAGAGAGGTAATGTTCGTCATCAGAAGCTCCGAACAAGGGCTCGTTATCTCCGCCATAATGCTCCGGGGAAAGGTAGCGAAGTGAAGACAGGCTTTCTAGAACGCCGTTCTGACTCTGAAAAACGGGGGCCTCTCGGAGGTTTTCAATTAACCCTTGAACTGTTTTATGCCAAGCTGGTGAGACAACACTCTGTTTGGGAATGTACTGGACCCATTCGTAAGGCATGGAGTGATTTTGACAGAAGGAAACGGCACGACAGAAGGAATCGATGACACAATTTTGTAATAATGTAGAAGTATCGATGTCGGTATTTCTCACGGGCTCGAACTTCGTCACCGTCGCACAAACAACGAACTATAAGGTTAGCAGCCTACTTGCAGATGGCACCAATTGAACCGCATACACTGAATTCCTTTCCACTAATAGGAAAAGCGAATGAACCAACAATATGGTAAGCCTTTCGAGATCGTATGACGGGCCTTGAATGTTCATCGATAGGAAACAATAGCGCCGTATTATCGGACGAAAACGGCGGAATGGTTGGCTTGTATAGGAGGAAGCACTCCGTTGATGAAGAGGATGTAAAAAGACCCGGATCTGTTTTGGTGACCTCCAGGATACCTTCTCGCACTTGGAACTCGTATGTTAGTCGTGCTAATTGGAAGTTTCCTAGACGGGTAATGAAAACAAATTTCTTGCACATAGGTTGGCGAGCGTCATCAGGATCGAGCAGCACGAAACCGTTGTTTGCGATATCCCTAAACTCATGCACCCATTTATCAAATCCCTTCGGCAGAGCAGGGTACAAAATTATCCTGGTGCGCACTCCTTCGGGCAAGGATGCCGGGTCTTTGTTTACGGGGGTTGTAAATCCAAGCCTGTCACCGGGACTTCGAGGCCCAAGGGCGAAGGAAAACGGACCTGACTGTACATGGGCTTCCCTGGCAATTCTAAATGTATATAGAAGAACTGTGTCATACAGGTTGCTGGTTTGGTAGCTGGGGACGTAAGGAGAACGGCCCTCAGAAAGCTGCACGATGTCGCTTTTCAGGAACCCATCGTCATTGGTGTCGATAATCATACGGTCCGGAGACACATCTAAAGAAAAATAGGGTTCTTTTCCTTGCTTCTTTGCCCAATTGTAGTGCAACGAGCGGGCGCTGGAGATCAACTGGAACACAACATCCCTTCTAACATCCGGTGTGTCGCATGGCGTCCATGGGTGCCGAATTCTTCCAAGCTGATTGCGAACCCTGTGCAGCGCTTTTATAACAGCAGGCGGCGTTGCGGCTCGATCTTCGTCAGTGATGATACCATTCCTTTGGGCAATCTCATCCACGATTTGTCGAGCTTGCTCGCAGGTAAGTTCCGCCATCTTTTCAAACTGAACGAGCTCAGTAAAACCTTGCCGTGCGAGGTAGAAAAGAGAACAAAAGATGTGAAAGAAGAAATGCTCTTGGGGATTCTCAGTGAGCGCCCCTGAAGGGCCCCAAACCCCGGCGCCTACTTGCTTGACATTATTCCCTTTTTGTATTGCGGCGCAGTGAACTAACATTGATTATTAATATGATAATAAAATCCAAGAGGCTAGTTTCTTATACCCTTGCAGAGCTGAGCTCACTACATTAGAGTGAAAAAAGTACTTAGGACACTTGAAAAGGGTTAGTGTAATGTATTTGACCGCTGATTTTATGGAGTTCAATCTGCCAGATCAAAAAGACAGTATAGGTCGGTACGGTCCGCATTTTGGTACTGTGGTACTATTCTCCAAGTAGTGGGTACAATATAGAATAAAATGACTTCATTGGGCAGCGAACTGCAGTAACTAAGATACAGGAATTATTATTGAGATAGAAAAGATGAGGTCCGAAGCCACTATCCCCTTAACTGTCAGGATTCCGTCCCGTTTAGGTTTAGCGTCCCGACTTAGTCAGCCTATATATAGTTGGCCCCTGAGCCATCCTAATTGGACACTTTGCGCTTCCCGATTCTCTCATTAACCTGATTAGGGCCAGGTGATGATCACATGACATATCTGCAGGTGGCTGACCAGATAACGATGCATCCTCAACCGAAAAAGGGCAAGAGTTTATGGATATTCTCATAGTAACAGTAACAGTGATCGTGGTCGCAATACCCGGTATGCCCTGCTTTCTTAGATCACTTTTCGATGACGTCTGTTGATGCCTTACAGAGGGACTACCGCTGGCCGTGACCCTCGCCCTAGCGTTTGCGACGGCCCGCATGCTCAAGGAAAATAATCTTGTGCGGCAGCTCCGTGCGTGCGAAACGATGGGAAACGCCACCGTCATTTGTTCGGATAAAGCAGGGACATTGACGCAGAACAGGATGACAGTGGTAGCGGGCTTCTTGAGTACCTGTGAATCGTTCGGCCGACTGCCAGTGGAGAATGTATATTAGCCGCAGCACGCCGCCATCTCGGGAGTAACGCAGAGATACCTGGTCGCCTTGAAGGTTCTACTGGTCAAGAGCCTCGTGGTCAACTCAACAGCATTCGAGGAGCAGCGTGAGAATGAAAAGGTCTTTGTCGGAAATAACACGGAGATTGCACTTCTTCGGCTCGCACAGACATGTCTTGGTGTGGAAGATGTGTTGACTGAGCGAGAGAGAAGCAAAATAGAACAGGTCTATCCATTTGACTCGGTACGCAAGGCGATGGCGGTCGTGTATTGCTCGGAAACAGGGCATCGATTGCTGGTCAAGGGAGCAGCAGAGGTCGTCCTCGGTGCGTGCACTGAAGTAGCACTTCCAGGATCATCGGACGAAACATCATTAGCCAGAGCTGAGATGTCGGCTAAGGATAGGCGGACGATACATGAGCAAATCAATGTCTTCGCCCGAGCCTCGCTACGGACTATCGGAATTGCATATCGCGAGCTCGAACACTGGGGTTCTGGGCGGACTGGAGACCATGAGAAGGGTGCCCTGGATTTCGACACACTGTTCAATGATCTGATCTGGATTGGAGCGTTTGGCATCCACGATCCGCTGAGGCCCGAAGTTTCCGAAGCCATCCGCAAGTGCCACATGGCGGGAGTCTAGGTCAAGATGGTCACTGGTGAGTCGGTGCAGTGTCCATGATCAGGAACATGGAAGTACTAAATAAACGTACAAGGTGACAATATCAACACGGCGTTATCCATCGCCGTCTCCTGCGGAATCAAGACGGACAATGGCATCGCAATGGAAGGGCCCGACCTGCGGAAGCTGACTGAGGAGCAGCTGGATACGATTATTCCACGACTGCAGGTCCTGGCTCGCTCTTCCCCCAGTGATAAGCAGCTCCTCGTAGAGCGTCTCAAGCGACTTGGTGAGACGGTGGCTGTGACAGGCGACGGGACCAACGACGGGCCAGCGCTCAAGGCCGCCGATGTAGGTTTCTTGATGGGCCTGAGTGGGACTGAGGTGGCGCGTGAAGCAAGTTCTATAGTTCTACTCAACGATAACTTTCGTTCGATCGTTACTGCCATTTCCTGGGGCTGGTGCGTCAATGATGCCGTGGCCAAGTTTCTGCAGGTAATCTTGGTCCTGGTGCTATGTCTACTTTCCTAGGTTCATCCATCTTGTTGACAAAAGACAGTTCAACTCATAGTCAACATCACCGCTGTCTGTCTGACCGTCGTGACGGCTATCTACAGCAGCTCTAACGAAAGCGTCTTTAAGGCAGTCCAGTTGCTGTGGCTCAATCTGATTATGGACACCTTTGCCGCCCTGGCCCTGTAAGACTCCCCTGGTTGTAGCACCATGGTGGTGATGGGGAGAGAGTACTGAACAACCTGCCTTGTCTACTAGAGCGACGGACCCTCCTACCGAAGAGATCTTACAGCGACCCCCGAGGCCACGGAGCGCGCCGTTGTTCACGTTGACCATGTGGAAGCTGATGCTGGGGCAATTGATCTACAAACTAGCCCTCTGTTTCACACTGTACTTTGCAGGCGACAAGATCTTCAACTATAATACTGAGATTTACCAGCAGCAGCTCGAACTTAACATAATCATCTTTAACTCCTTCGTTTGGATGCAGATCTTCAATGAGCTGAACTGTCGCTGACTGGACAACAGGTTCAATATCTTCCAGGGTATTCTGAAAAATAGATGGTTTATGGTGATCAACGCCTTGATGGTTGGTGGACAGGTGCTTATCATCTTCGTCGGAGGTGCAGCGTTCGGTGTCACCAGGCTGAATGGCTCGCAATGGGCGATATGTATTGGATGCGCCGCCTTCTGTATCCCTTGGGCCGCAGTGTTGAAGCTCATACCGGATCGGCATGTTGGCAGGCTTATGTCCATTGTCAGAATTGCCTTGGGGGTTCTGCTTGCTCCACTGAGACTGATGTATCGGGCTCTCACCCGAACCTTCGATGGCCTCTTTCGAAAAGTCCACGTTCGGAATGATGAAGAATGGAATGTCTCCCCAGCGGAGCTGATTCGCGTCCAACGATGACGGGATACTTGTTATATGCAAAGGGATTCCATGGATCGATAATTGGAAAAATTACCTTTCACAGGTAGCACATGCGAAATCATTCACACCAACCATTGAATCAGATAGAGGAAGTCTGGTATTAGAGGTACGGGACGGAGCATAAATAGTTCTCCCATCCAGGCTGATGACAGAAAACAATCCACCTAATATGAGACGGCGAGACCGCCTTGAAAGTAGGAAAATTGAAGGTAGAGCAAAAACAGCATTTTTCGTCTGGCAATCGATGATGCAGAGTTGCTATACCATTGAAATCAAAAGAAAAAAAAAAATAATATATTCTAAGTGGTAAAGGCTCGGCCCAACCGCCGCAGGGCTCGCGTATCTTCGCATCTAAACCCGATCTTTTCTCTGGGGGTATCTTTCAGCCTTTCTGCGTTGAGACTGCCGCCCACGCGAGGAATATTCAGTTCATTCGACGGTGCGGTTGTGGTGGATGATAAGGGGCCCGAGTCCCTGCTAAGCAGCATCCCGATGCTGGGAACTCTGTTGGCGGAGGCCCTGGATGTGTTGTTGCTGTCAGAGTGGGCTGTTTTACCAGTCTCGTTCAGTGACGCGGGGGCGACCTGTGGAAATGACGTTTGGAGTGCGTGCATGCGAGGGTATTGGATTCTAGGGACTACCGAAGATGTCGAATAGTCTGGCGGGCTTCGTTGGTGGTCGTCGCGCGCGTCGCGAGGTACGTGAGGCGAGTACCGTACGAGTACCGGCAGGGGTATTTGCTGCGTTGTGGAGGCCGGGATAGCGGGTGGTGACGAGCTTTTAGCTGCACGAGCCGGATGTACTGGCCGGTCACATGACGGAGGCAGTCCGTGTTGCGGTGAAGGCGATGGAAGAACCGGACGGTGATGTGGAGAGGATTCCCCGTATGCAACGGCCAGGCTGTTAGGTGCGGGTACGGCAGACAAGTAGGAGCCGTAGAGCGGAGCGATGGTGTGCGGAGTCCCCAGCGGTGTTGGGGGCCATGCATAGGACGAAGTATATAATTGAGGCTGTGTGGCTCCAGAGCATGCAGCACTCATCGGAGGAGGGAAGGAATAAGTAGCGCCCGCCAAGGGGCTGCGGGTGACTACTGTAGGACTCAGCTGGTCTTTAACGGCTGATTCGGGATACAGTCCTTCCTGAGGGCGCACATATCGTAATGCAGGGTCTGTGGATGGTTGTTGGAGAGTGGAAGCAGCCGGGCGCGATGGCAAGTAGTAGCTAATGAGATGGAGACGCTGGCCGGTAGAGGTGGTGATGCTGAAGGACGGCTTCATGAGCCCGTCCAGCTTATAGCGGTGTCCGTCAGGCCCATAGTCCGGACCGTACTTGTTGTTGTCGCCCCTCCTCCGGCTGTCAGGCGTTTCACCGGCTCTGAGTAGCCGCGTGCCGGTACCCCCGCGCTTGCCCTCCATCTCGCGGTAGGTGAGAAATCTGCCCGATACTCGACTTGCGCTCCATGATTTACCGTCTGTCTATCGCCGCATACCCGACTTCACGCTCATCCCAGACGAACACAGAACCGCATCGAATAGATCGGCGCTCTTTCTCAGAAAGTCGTCTCTGAACACGAGGAAGAAGGCCGATTCGGCATGCTTCGGAGAGAATGATGGCGTCCGCCGGAGTGGGCACATGGCCGATATACGTTTCCATCCACCCTCGCTGATATGGATGAACACCTGTAACAGTGGAAGGACTAAGCGCCAAAACAGATAGCCTTGCAAGGTACGAAACGATAATGAACGATGATGGCGATTGTTTGTTTGACTGTGGCTTAGGTAAGGCAATGATTGCCTCTGCCTCATGATTAAAGACGTGGTTAAAGGCGTGCACATTTGTGAGTCGTTCGGCCGCGATAGAGGGGGGATAGGCATCTGATGAAGTGTAGACCCAACGAATGCTGTATTTCTATACTCTGAAATCAACTTGCGAAAAGGTAGGCTCCAGAACTGACGGATATTTACATAAGGTCGTCCGGAGGGTGGAGAACTCCGTCCCGCTTAGCTACTCAAAAGACATCTTGTTATCATGATAAGTGAGCACTCACCGCCTTTTGAGTCGCACCTCTTGCTACCCGAAGCCGATTTTGCTTGTCAATGAATCCAGCACGCTGCGCGTTGGTCACAAGACGAGCTCGTCATAATGCTTTACTTCTCCTCTAGGCGTATCAACTCTTTATCGGTCGCGCAGCTTCTGTCTCGTCGCGGATATCAGCGTACATCGCATGTGTGGTAAGAATGACGTATTTTCCTTCTGTTTTCCTTTTTTCCTGGCACACCACATAACTTAACCAGATGCTGCTTATAAAGTTATTATAGTTGATTATAGACCTCGCCGTATTGCCTTTTTGAGTACCCATGGGTTACCCACGAACCCGCCAAGAACCCCTGGAAAGACATCAAGTCGGACATTGATACTTTGAAACTACCTGAGCCACAAATTGAAGACCATGAACGATCAGAAACGGACATAACAAGCCAACTTAGAGCATGGAGCTCAGTGGATGAAAGTAAGGTCTCCTAACTAGAAGCATAGACCTCGCTTCCAAAAGCGCCAATCTTGTCCACCTTATAATAGCCACCCTCGTAGTCATTGTGCTTAGATCCCCAACAGTTATCCCTCTTCCCCAAGGATACATCACGTTTCGCATGGTTACCCAGAGGTGCAATCATTGCATTGTAGCAAGTGTCAGAGTCAAGGATCCATGCATCACTGTATTGCGTGTTGTAGATCGCGACTGTTTCCCCAAGTCAGTCCCTATCTTCCCGACAATATATGGATAGACGTACAGACAACGTTCCCGTCCTTTCCATTGGTGAGAGTGACACCGTAGGTATCAGACGTTTCATGGCCCTTGGCAATATCTGTCCCAACGTACACATCGCCTGATATTTTGCTTGTAATCAGTGAATCTGAAACCGCATAAGGACAGGATCGAAAGAGGTCATCGTACAAAAGTTGCGTGCGAGTGTCTTGAATTGAGCCACAGGAACCCACTTCCCATGGCCATTGCTCCCTCCCTTTCCAGTGACTCTGTGGCCACAATTCATAATATGATCACGAGCTTCAAGCTCGTTCACACCCTTGGTAGTGAGACCGCCAGCTTCAAGAGCTGCGTATTCCACGTCCGATATGGGCTTATTGATATCAGCGCGCCTTTTCAGGCCGGCCTCCTTGAGGGCTTCCCACTCCGCATCGGAGATGGGTACATTCCGTCCAGGTTCGGCGGAGGCAAAAGCCAAAAGTCAAAAGGAGAACAGATACAAGCTTCGTAGCGAACATCTTGGTAATGGTAATAGGTGCTTCGGTGACAGGCTTTGGAGTGACAATTTAAGGACGAGGAGTTTCTGGGTTGGATTGTTGATTCTGGAGGACTACCAGCTGGTCCTGAGGCCCTCTTATACCTGCTCTGCGAGTCATCGCTGAAGGCGATTATTCTGCTCTCCTAACAACAATCCGTCGCAGCATTAGCGATTTGTCCAAGGCTGGATCTTGAGACTCAGCAATCAATGACCAAAAAGGCCCCCAAAAGGATCAACCAATGTCTGGGTGATGCTGAATTTGGTCCGTTAGAGTGACCCCAAGATAACACGAGAAACTCACATTGAGCCTATCTCAATCTTGTTCAAAGGATCCCTCTACGGAGGCGCAAGGACGGCTGTTGGTAGATTAGTGGGCGGCTTTGCTGTTTCAGAAAAGCAACATGTCCCATAACAGTCCACAACCGTGGCTTATACCCATCATTGACAGTTCCCAGGTCTTTACGTAGGTGTGTTGGTTGGATGGCGAATAGGAACTCAAAAGCGCTGTTGACGTTGGATATCAGATAGAGTGTTGGCGTGCTCCCAGCAGACATATGCTTGTTGGATGCAATCCTCCAAGTCCGCTTTGCTGTATCCTGCCTGACTGTTTCTGTCTCAACTGGCTATCTCCGAGTTTTCATGATCTATCAAAATAATTTTGTGTTTGGGCCCTCAAAACCTAACTATAACTAACACAGTCAAAACTCGTCCTTCTGCCCCAATAGAGGCTGAGTCACCGCCAAGCAACAATGTACAGATGCACATATTGCGTGATTTCTCTGTTTCATATGTATTGGTAGAAGAGAAAGAGGAAGATCTACGGGACAATCAATGTTTAGAGCAGGACGAAAGAGAGTTATAAGGGGGCACCAATCTGCTGGTCTACGCACCTGTTTCGACTTTAACATTCACTTATGTTCCAACTTCGCAAAATCCAGTCTTACTTACTAGCTCACTCAAAGATTTCTGCAGAGAAAAGAACTTGCAAAGATGGTCCTGATTAAGAAGCTCTTCTTACTTGTATGTTTCCCTAGCGTCATACTTCTTGTTTGAGTGCTAACGCTACGTGGTAGTTTGCAACCTTCGCATCGGTCATTGCGCTACCAAATCCAGCGCAAATCCTCCCATCAGAGAAGGATATCAGCGTGGACGAACTTGAAGTCCATAATATCCGCGATGTGAGCGCCTTAGAACAGCGCGCTCTGGGCCCAATGACGCTGCATTGGTCTCCCCAAGGCCGGTTTCTTTTCATGGCAGGACTTGTGAGAAGCCCCTTCCCCTAGAAAGGTCCATGCTCTGGTCCTCTGATTAACCTTTCTTCAGCAAATTCCACAGGGAATCTATGATGCTTTCTTCTCCAGCAGCGTTGGTATTAATGGGCTGGGGAGAGTCATGTTACAAAACTTCAAGGAGTATGTTACGAACCAGTTTTTGTTTGACTGGGAAGCCCTCGCAGCAGCGGAGTTTTATATGCGTGATGCTCTTGAGGGAGGCATTGTGAATACGACCCCATTCAGCAACAAGTGAGTGTCAGCATTCGCTTCTCAAAATCCTGGTATTCCTGCTTGTCAGTATGCCTAGCTGACATGTCTACTGCAGCGGCTACGATGTCGGCTTTGGCATATTCACAAAGGATGGGGTACCTCCAACCCAAGAGGTAGTTAATGCAATGATTACAGTTATCAGACACTGGGCTGAGGCAAACTCCGGCTCATTGACCGTCATCCAAGCCGCTAATGGGTTCATTGACCCCTAGCAGGTTGGGGCCACACCAACCACTAAACGCGGCCGCGTTGCGACTTGTCCCTCCGGTATCAATCTGTTAAAGTATGCGACGAGAGCATTGTCGGACTTTAACCCTAACAAGAGTCTTTGCTGGTCTGGACACTGCCCCTAGAATAGAACTGGCGGCCTGTCCGGGGATTCACCAAGACGGAATCAACCACCCTGTTAAGTCAAACTTGTTTCATCCTGTGTTGTTCTATTGGTCGTTTATACCTACATCTGTTGGATTTACCCATGGTGATTTTTTGCAAGAGTGTGGTGTCGAATATTGGATTAAATAGCGCAATTCAAAGTTGTTCTGAGGTTAGCTATTATTCATATAAAATCATTTGCTGTAGTAGTACTTGAATTCTCCATAAGTCATTAGCAGCTTAATTCTTACAAAATAGTATTCTACCTTAAAGGCCCCTCTTATGCTTATAATTCCTGCGCGGAATACCCCAGGCAGCGTAGTGTGGCAATGCAAACCAACAGTGGGGTCAGTGTTTCGGCCAGGATTGAGAGTGGTTTTTAATCATGCTAACATCGGCAAGGCGGATTCCAGAGAATGATTATGATAGCCAGGCTGATTTGTCTTACTCTCTTCATTTATCAACGCACCATCCCGCCATTTGTCTCACACGATCTACTTCGACATAAAATCTCATGTGAACGAAGGAAAGCCATGACATGGAGCCGGAACGCCAACCTCGCTTACCAATTGAGATCTTCCTTCTTATTGCCAATTATCTGGACCCTCAAGACCTACTGCTTCTTCTACACGCCAGACCAGGTATCACATCTTTGCTAAACCATGCCCATCTAAAATCTGTGGATAGCGAAGGCAACACCCTGCTTCACCTAGTGGCAGAGTACAACATTGACAATGTGATCAGCCGACTGAGCCCAACCACCGCAGCCAAGAGCATGGTCGAAAACAACGCCGGTCAGACACCGCTCCACATAGCGGTCAAAAAAGGTCACTATGGCATTGTTCAAGAACTGCTATCAACGGGATGCAATCCATCCCCGACGGACAAGCACTCCCGAACCCCCCTGCACTATGCTTGTCTGACCAAGCAAGACATAACCATGGTGCGGCTGCTCCTGGCTCATGGCGCTGACGCTTCGGCAAAAGACAAAGAGGGCCGCACTCCAATACACATATGTTGCACCCACGGGCAGGTTGCACTGCTCAAGACTCTCATTGATGCCGGCGCCGACATCAATGGAGCGGAAAACGGAGAGGTGGATTCTGGAGCGCAAGGGCAGACACCATTCCACAATGCAATACTGCGTAGACAGACAGAGTGCGCGAAGATTCTTTTGGAGACAGGGGCCGATCCGAACGTGCTATATGGGCCTGGAGAACACATTTTGGGCCCCGCAGTGTTCAGGGGGCAGACAGAACTCGTGCAACTGATGCTGGACAAGGGAGCTGATGTGAACAGGCCAGACCGCCTAGGAATGACGCCCTTGATGTATGCTGCTACCGTAGACAGAGAGCAAATCGCGCGGATCCTGTTGCATGCTGGCGCCAAACCAAACATACGAGGACCTCGTGGCGGTGTCGCCCTACACGGCGCGTCCAGGTCAGGCCTGCCATCGATTGCGAAGTTGCTGCTCGACGCGGGTGCTGATCCTTCCATTACGGATAGTTCGGGCTTTTCTCCGTTAGATTATGCTACGAAGAAGGAAGCGACTCCTGCAGAGTGGGTTTCAACCCTGGGACATGAGTTGGTAGTCAAACTGCTGCAACAGGCACAGCGACAATCAGAAGCTGGGCTAGGCTGAAAAGAAGACAAATGCAATCGCACCTTAGAATGAGAGATGTTTCCTTTCCGAGTCAACACGCTTCAAAGAAATTCCATATGAACTAACTCTTGGCCTACTACATCGTATAGCTAGAGTGCTAGACGTGTTGCCCCGTGTCACGTGCCTATTGAAACGTGAGAGATTGAGAGTAAATCTAGTACACAGGCCGAATAGCCTAGTTGAGAGGCAACGCTCTCCCTATGTTCAGTTTCGACTGGCATTGGTGTGCAGAGAGAGCGATGGATGGTATCAGAGGGGCCCTCCCTAGGTGGCTGGACAGTCAGTGTTATGTTACCAACAGAGCAAGCTGGCATGTACCGTCAGTTATACAAATCTTTCCCACGACCATAGAAAGCTCAGTCTGGGTCCATGCTTATACTCCTTCACATCTGTGAGGCTGGAAATAGCAACTCGGAGCAATGTAACCTTTCCTTCAATTCAGAATGTTTGGATAGGAACCGTCGTATCCCTGCGGTCTCTGGAGTAAATCGTTTCTGTACAGTCGATCAACGCCAACTATGAGAGTCTCTCCTTTGTATTTCTCGTTCAGCTCTCGAATGCGCTTGGCGACCTCCGCCCTCCTTCAGGGCAACATCAAACTTCGGTTGAACAATTCCAACGATGAAGTCGCCGCGAGGGGGCGGTGTCATTCGTGTCTGATACTACCATCACTCTTAGCGCACATAATTACAGGATCAGAGACTCAAGTCATTATTCCAAAATTTAAGTCACATTGATTGCAAAGAGGCTAGTCTGCTGTATCTGTGACTCAAGATGAAATCAGAACCTAAGCCGACCTTTTTACTTCTCAAAGAACAAAAGTACATTTAAGTCAAATCATCTGCATTCTTGTCAACAAATCATCCTTATGAGTTTATATTCTTGGCCTGAGATTTGTTGACTCCTTGACTGGCATTGCCATGGAATGCTTGAACTACTTGACTCGCCTACTAGCAATGTCCTTCATTATATACAATTATTAGGGAACAGAACCACAATAATGTTCCCATTATTTGCCTAATATACTTGATTGCAAGGGGGTAATGGACAAGTACTCATTAAGCTACCAGCTCCCTTCTGTCAACCATACTGACCGCTCGGTAATTGCTAGGAAGATACCACCTGCTGAATTCTGGTTTGAGCAATCAGATCGCTTGTTTCTACCATGGTTTCAACACGCCGATTGCAGAGATTTTATGTCGTTTTATACTTTCTTTACCGATACCGCACTTGCCGTATATAAATACTAAGTTAGATAGATAGATTAGAAGAATCAGACCTTCATTCCTTATGCATTCCGCGTATATGCGTTTACCATATAAGTACGATTAGCGCGGAATGGCTGACAGGAGCTTATACATGACCAGAGTGAACCAAGCACTGGTGGACTATAGTTGCAAGGTTGATTGCAAATCTGGTATCTTGTTATAGACGTCTCCCACTAATGGGAGGCCTTGGCAGCCTGGACCTGGATCGGCCAGTACCGGCCTGACCAAGATGAACCAACATTGGGAGTAATATAGAGTGAGTATACATGGAGATCAAACAGTGAGAAACAATAAAAAAACATACAACAGCCGGGATTCGCTGGTGGTCACCCACCCAACTACTAACCGGCTGGCGTGTGGCTTCAACGCAGCCAAAAGGTTGGTGGGTGCTGCCATCGCGCGATTCTACTTTTAGTTGCGCGACCCTAGGTGAGCTTAGGTGAGTGCAGAATAGACAGGGTGAGTGGTCTGCCGCAATCACCCACGGTGTTGTAACAACTGGATCATCTGTTATGCGATGCGATGTACAAGGCCTTGACGATGGAATGGGGCTTCACGTATCTCGCGCGTGTGGTCACTCCATAAATTATATAATGTAGCTTTTTTACATCTCGAATACCTCAACAACGGAATATGTTGAAGTCTAAATTATGCTTTTAAAAATATAATATACCGCCATGCCACTTAAAATCATAGATGGTTTCCTAAAATGGACGGTCCCAAATATGGTCAGATAATTCAGTATGTTTTTTCATTAGCGATAAGTTATCATTATTAAAAATAATATAGACAACCATTGTTGTTGTTGGATTATTTGTAATAAGCTCAAACAGACATCTTGGATTCAACTATCTGGCAGCTAAGATACAAGAATTCTAGCATGGAGAAGGGAGGAAAAGAGAATGAATGAATGAATGAATGAATTATTCCTCCGGCTGTGCGCAGCCTAAGGCTGCATGTAGCCTCCGCGCTGATTATGCTGAGTCATCTATCTATGCATGTGACATGCCTTTTCTTAGTTCTCCTGGTTTAATCGCCCTGTTACCATAGTAAATTATATCACTGTTCTAACCACCTCCATGTTCAGTCTCCAATTCTTTTCCTGGTTGAGTTCTTCTCCTATGGATTTCTTTCTCCTTAATCAGCCTCCTAATGCGTATGACATGTCCCCGTATTGATTGCCCATTGCCACTCTCATTTCCCCATGATATGTTTCCCATCATTTACATTCAAAAAGAAAATGCTGTACTGTTTCTTGCCCCTCTATGCATTTATAGGTTTCCTCAGCTGCTTGTCTAATTCAATGTAGGTATTAATTTAATTAAGTGTGGCCTGTTCAGAGTTGTGCCAAGGTTAATGCTTATATCCTGCTGAGCTAATCATACAAGGTCCTAGTATGTTGTCCTGGAAGGGACGCATTGATCTCTCTTATGTACTTGCCAAAGGGATTTTGTAGGAACTGCTCCTTTCATACCTGATTAAGTGTATTCCGCATTTGCCTCCACGCAGTGGATCTTGCGCGTTGGGTAGCCCAAGCTAGTGGATCCGGCTGAGCTCCCTTCTGGGTAGCGTAGTGGCTCGCTGCCTTAGCCATTTGAAGTCCTTGGTTCTGTAAATCATTTGCTATCCATCTGATTGTAAGTTGGATCTTAATCTGCATCATCTGCTTGATTTATCTTATGATTTACTGTATGACTTGCTGTCCTCTATGGGCTCCTTGGTTAGTGATACACTGTAGGCTAGATTGGTTAGTTAAATAGATTATGATACCTATGACGTCTGTCAAGGTTGGGGGTCCTTAAAGTAGTTCCCTCGCCAGCTGGAGTGCTTCCAGGATAGCGCCAAGTTGGGCAATATGTAGGTCTATGTGGTGGTCTATCTCCACTGTTGTGGAGGTAGATTTCATAATTTAATCCCCAGTCACCACTGCCAGACCAATTCCAATCAGATTATTCCATGCTGATCCGTAGGTGTAGATCTTGATCTTTGGTCTTTCAAAGGTGGTTTCTGTGTTTTCTGTTCCTTCATGGCATATAACCTTTTGCTAGTCTAACTCCCATGGGGCAGAATGGTATGGTATGATTATCTCCATGCAACTTTGTTCAAGCGGCAGTATCCAAGAGAGTGATCTGAATGGCGATCTAGACTGCTGGTTGATGTTCTTTATACACTTGGCTAGTGGGTGAGTGCTCGGTAGGCTGTGGCATCTAATCCAGTGGCGGAGAATCTGCTTCTGAAAACAGATATCTAGGGGTTCAATGCTAGCTTCAGCCTCCGCAATTATCAAGGAGACTGAACAGTAGATCCCTACTATGCTTTTTGCTGCTGACTTCTGGATCACATTCAAAGGTTTGACAACCCAACTTGGGATGTGCCTGTGTTTGTTCAGAGTTATCCAGACTGATGAAGCATATGTGACCGTTAGCACTACCAGGGCATTGTAGAGTTGCTGAGCACTTTGTGGTCGGAGACCCCTCAACCTTAGTAGCACCTGGCTAGCTTCGATGCCTCTCTTGGTGACCCGGCCAACGTGTTCTCTGAACCAGAGTTGTTCGTTAAAGATAACTCCTAGAAGTTTAACCGTGTTGCTTAGGCAGATATTCTGTGTTCCAATGCGTAGTGCTAGCCTTAGGGAGGGGTTTCGTCTCGCATTCCTTGTAAAGTGAATGAATTGGGTCTTCTATGCTTCAAATATTGCCCCTGAACGCATGGCCCACCCCATTGCATGGGGGATTGCCTCCTCTTGTAGAGCTGATGTATTCTCATCTACTGATTGTCCAATCCGCTAGCAGTTAAAGTCATCTATAAAAGCCATCACACCCCTGTTCCAGTTGATCAGCATCTCGACCAGGTCCGCATTAAAGAATAAGTAGAGGATAGGTGACAGGGAGGAGCCTTGGGGCAATCCTGGGTGTGTAATCTCCATGGCTTCTGAGCAGTAATCATTAACAATAATTAATGCTCTCCAACTTAAGCAGAATGCATCAATCCACCTTACCAGTTCAACCGGTATTTGTCTTTCTAGGAGTCGGCAGATTAGGACCTTCCTTATCACCCCATTGTAGGCGCCTTTCACATCAAAGCTGACCAAGCTGAGGACCTTCTTTTCTCTCTATGCTTCATAGATTTTCTCAACTAAGAGATTTAGTGCTTGTTCACTTGATTGTTTTTTTCTTGCTCAAAGTGGTTCAGTAGGAGGAGACCAAAGACTTCAGCATAGTAGGACAGTCTTTGCGCTATCACTACCTCCAGCATCTTGCCCAGGGTAGATAGTAGTGAGATGGGTCGGTATGAGTTTAGTAGTGTTTCATCCCGTCCTGGTTTATGCAATGGGATGATCTTCGCAATCCTCCATCTTGCTGGGACATAGCTAAGCTTGATTGAAGCATGAAATATCTGACATATATCTTTTCCTAATGCTGGCCATAGTTGCTGCCATACCCCAGCTGAAATCTGATCTTCTCCAGGGGCTTTCCACGGGTTCATCCGCATTACTGCTCTTTTAATCTCTTCGTCTGTGATTAGATCCATTTGTAGGGTTGATAAGTTAGGGTTCCCCAACAGTTCTGAGCTTTCTGGTGTTGGGGGGAAGAAGGCAGAGAGTAGGGACTTGGCTTTCTCTTCTTCTGTTTCAGCTGCAGGCCCGCTTCCTCCAACACAGAGAGCTGGGATTGGCTTCCTGTTATTCATCTCTTTGGTGTATTGTGCTGCTGTCCAGATATTTTCTGCTTGCTCCAGGAACTCTGTCTAGTGCTTGCGCTTTTGATCATGAATAGCAGTGTGGAATTGATGGCGAAGCTGTTTAACTTGTTTCTCCATATCAGGTTAGTTCACTCCATATCGCCGGAGCTGAGTCCACTGATTCTTGTTATAGGTGTAGACATTGCGAAGTTTAGTCAGTTCATCTGTCCACCACTGCTTGCAGTAGGGTGATAGGCGCACTTGCGGTATGCAAACTTCAAGGGTTTCAGACACCTTTCCCATCATGAATCCAAGCTGTCTCTCCAGCTCTTCTGGATCCTGTATCTCTGGGAGGGTTATCGTGTTTTGGCTTATCCTGTTAATAATTTCATCCTAAGGGGCCTTTTTCTACATGTATCGTGGGGGGTCAGTTGTCCCTTTGGTAGGTCTTTACTGAGTTATACCAGTGAAAGTTGCTTCAATTGCTCGGTGATCTGACCCATGTTCCGTTGGGTGACATTAACATAAGGTAAGCCTCTGCTTGAGGCTGTCTGATGCCATTACTAGGTTGATTATTAATTACCAGTGGCCGGAGTCGTATGTGATGGTTCCCTGGGGAAGTAGGCTGTATAGCCCGTAGTCAAGCATCAGCTCAACCAGGGACTGAGCTTCCCCTTGTCACCGCGTGTGTATGATATGATCTCCTCCCCATAATTAATCATGGTGGTTAAAGTCTCTACTGATAAGAATATCCAGCTTCGCTCCAAACTTCTTTTGCTGGGTGCGGATCATCCTTTAGATAATGTTCATTATTCTTGTTAACTCTTCCTGCCCACTGCTCCTATTTTATAGTGGCATATAGGCAGTTATAGCTAAGAGCAGGCGGTTATGATGGCGGAAAATAACAGCCGTGATGTCTGTTAAGCTTGTCTTGACTTATTATATCCCCTTTCAGTCCTTTTGGATCTAGATCATGCTGCGTGTCTTAGTTGTTGCTTCCCCTTCTCCTAGCTTATCATTTGGCATAATTACCCTCCACTTATTATGGGTATGAGTGTTTTTTTGGTTTTCTTTATATATAATATATAGTTCTGATACCATCAGTAAATCGCATGTTGCGAGTGTTCTATTATTCAGGAAACTCAGTTGTACTTCCTGGCTTTTCCGCAGGTTAGTGTGCACGATTCGCAGTATTATGAGTCCTAAGATAGATTGCTTCCCTGATAGCTTTGTGTTTGCTTTCCGCCTCTTATCTGGTTAACTTCTTCCTGCCACCGTGGGCACTGTTGGTCTGAGGCTTAGTGTGTACTACTACATGCTCCGCACTTTTCCTCATGTTCATTGCATTCTTGCTTTTGGTGTGATCCTGAGCATCTCTCACACACCGCTGGCAGTCTACACCGTGACTGCTTGTGACCATATCCCTGGCAGTTACGGCATCTCAGTGGTCGCTGTATGTAACGATATTCAGAGGTAAATGAGACCTCTCTGCAGATCTGTACCATTTTCTGGTGGATCAACTGGGTCGCATCACTTTCCTGAGGGAGGAATATCACCATCGACCCGTAGGACTTTGGTCCACTAAGCCAATATAGCTTCCTTACTTCAGTGTTGTTTTTGTCTCTGAACTTCCCATAGAACTCCTCCCTTACTTCCCTGTCCTTATTGAATACGTCTGACTTCCGTACACTGTCAATTTTGATAGGGAACCATGGTTCACCATTTAATTTTGCTCCGTTGAAGGTCTTAAGCCATTGCTGGTGTTCCCGCATCATGTGAACATCCCCTTCACTAGCAAGAAACACCCTGACCATTGACCCTGGTGTGACTTTGACCCCTTCAATTCTGACTTCCCCTGTGTCCTGGTGTTTTCTGAGCGCGTTCTGGATTGCACTTTTGGCAGTGGCTCCATCAGCTAGTTCCCTCTTGGCGTCTTCATCGGCGTTTCTCATGTTAATGGTTACATTTGGTAGTGTGAGCGCTGCAGTTATTGCTTTTATTGCTGGTGAAATAGCTGACGATGCAGTAACTACTGATGCCCAGCTTCTACCCTTGCTAGGTGTTTGTGTGGCCAGTGTTGTTAATAGGGTGGTCTTGGATGTGGTCTCATGGATTTCTTGGATAGTCTTTTTGAGCTCATCGATTTGGTATGATTCTATTATTTTATTCAACTCATCAATGCGGCTTTGCAGACTCAAGATTTCCTCTTGATGTTGCTTTTCCTGTTCCTCCAATGCCCTTTTCTGCTCCCTGTCTTTGGTCTGAAACAACAGATGTAGCTTCCGAAGGTCAGCATCTTGGGTTTTGATTTTCTTTATAATTGTGTTCAAGGTAGCCTCTGTGTCTGTTATTGCGTTTATGTCTTCCACAGACGCGTTTGTACGCGTCTGTTTGGTTATCCGGATTCTTTGCGGCTCAACCTGGGTTTTTGTCCCCACAGCGCGTTCAAGGTCGTCAATAAGTCGATTTGGTTTTTGGATAGTTCGCTTAGAACATCTCCGAGCAGACAGTTCGCCTGTCAAGGCCTCTGTGTCGGATTCGCTCATTTTTTCTAGCTCCGAGGAAAAGAGAAGTAGGGACGGTGCGAGACATTGTGGGAGATAGGTTGGCTCAGGGTCACATGGTGTCAGGTGAAAGATCACGTGACTGGTCGAGATCAAGATCTGGACTGTCACATTATTCAAGACATAGAAAGGCCTGTGAGATGGGGGTACGGAGCCGGCCCGCCTGCTCAGCTTGAGATACGTCATGCTATAGACGCATTCTTAGTAGCTCTTGGTCCAAGCTAACGCAGAGCCGATGTCACTCTACCTTGGTTGGTAGAGCCCCGAGTCGTTCAGTCAGAAACGGACCTACATCCTTTATGCGAATACCCCTATTAGACTAATACCTGAGTCGTCAGGTCAATGGAAGCCATTGTTGATGCCCCGTGCCGAGCCCTGTTCGTATCCTGTACCCTATCCTGGCAATTGGGCGGAGAATGTCTGGCGTTGGCCGAGGCTGGGATTTTCCAGTTGGGGCGTGACGCCAAGAAGCCGGCGCTTCCTAGGGCATTAGCTTGTCGACTAGCGCCATTGCTTGAAATAACTACTGCAGGTAGATCACATTATTGGAGCTATTAGCTGCCGCAACCTCATAGACCCAGAAGGCAGCTTATCATCACGCGGGAAATGGGAAGAAGACAGGCACTGATTGTCGTTTTTGGCACTTCACAGGCAACATTCAAGTTGACGTCAACCATCTCGGCAGCCCGTCTGACCTTGCTGTTCAGCCTGATTACATTGGCCCCGGAGATGAGCAACATACACTATGGAAGAAGTACGCCGAAGCTTGTCAAAGACATGGCACACCAGCAATTGTCCAACTTTGTCACTCAGGCAGACAATCTTTCCGCGGCGCTGGGCGAAAGGGATTTTTAGCGCATACGATAGCCCCAAGCCCAATTCCATTGGTACTTGGCAATAGTTGCTTGCCTCCTCCTGAATGCCCACATCTACGAAACTCATCCACGCAGCGTTTTTGGTACGGTAATGAGCAAAGAACCACACACTCAACATGCTTGTTTTGCACTGAGCATTAGACGCAGCCGACCATGCGAAATATTTAGTCGAGGCATGGCCGAGTACGGAAGTGGATGTTCCGGAATCTTGACGCCTTGGGCTAACCAACGGAGAGATTCTGGGTACCCTAATTTTCGAGTAATTTCCGGCCTGCTTAGCCCAAAGCACCAATTGGGTCAACCGGCGAGTAAAGACGGCCAAGGATGGGCTGTTAGCTACTTAAATGTCGCCACCAACATTGGCACAGGTCATTCTATGCAGGCTACCCTCGCTCTCGGAATTTTAGTTTGACCCCGAATGTTTATGTACTTTGGGCAAAAGACCGAATTCAAGACTTTGGGGGAGAACGCCACATGTTGATCATCGTCTCCGACTCTTGGTATTATACCACAAGCGGACGGCAATCGACCAAATGTTCGCCCAGTCTCCGCGAATGAGGGCAAGGGCATAACTGTTGGGTGGCGAAGTCGCCGATCACATTGGCGTGCTGGTAGTACACGGTGCAATCTTCCAGACCCCGCCGGCGGTTCGACCATTGCGTCGGAGGCCACAAAGGACAAGGCTTGTCAGAAATGGATCAGACGACAGGACAGACGAATCCATCCGTGCTGAATTCAATTCCTAAGTGAGTAGTCAGCCAGAGCTCATAGAGATGGCTTGGTATCTTATGTCCAGCCCTAAATGATCTTTCGCGCCCGGGGCCACCGCATGGCACGTTTAGAACGTGACCTCCACGGGTTAGTTAGCGGGGCGAGAAAAAAGAAACAAAACTTTAAAGCCCAGGCACAGCGTTGGGAGATTTATGCAAGGCCTACATCAAGCCTCAGTTGAGTCTCATGACTCGAGGACCAGAATTCTCAGCGCCAAATGATGGAAGAAAGCGATCCTCGAAGCTGCGATGGCGTGCGGGGTATGCGAGATGGGCCCTGCCAGTGCACTTGCAAGCTAGCGCTGGACCCCGGCAAGTGGGCAGGGAAGGACGTGCACCGCGGGCCGGATCGCCACCATCCACAATAGATAAATTGCTTACCCGAAAAATCGTACAACCAATATCTCAGCTACTGATGTGGCCAAAGAACACGGAAAGATGAGAAGAGTGAAAACCGTCATGGACACGAGATAAATCGGGCGGCGACCAAACACCTCGCTGAGCGGTGCTTGGATCAGACTACCCGCACCAGTGCCGATGAGGTAGGTGGTGATGCCCAGCGTCGGGATGACGGGGAGATGAATATCGAAGGCTTTGCTGACTCCCGGTATGGACGACGTGTAGATAGTGCTGTAAAGGGACACGATAAAGGAGGAGAAGGCGATGCAGAACAATACCCAGGCACGGCGCCAGGATGACCATTCTTTGGGGTTGGTGGTATCTCCAGCTTTGAACAGGACCTCGAAGTCGGCTTCATCTTGGACACCATGGTCTTCTTTCTCATTACCGGTCTTGACACCACCGTTGAGGGCATCATCACCACGAGGGATGGCGCCTTGCACAGCTTCACCTTGACCCTCCTGCACTGGCTGGGCTTTTGGATCCTGATGAACCACACTCGACATGGTAATTGGTGGCGTCGGTCAGACGCTAGGATAGTGGAGATGTTGTTCAGCGTCTGCACATGGCTTTCCCCGAGAAGCGGCTGCATTTCAGGCAGCGTCAGTTTTTTGTACAGTCCGCCCGTTACACAAAGCTCTTCCCCTTTGACAATCCAGCAAAGCACATTAATGATTGCATCCAAGGAAACCGACAAGTAGCTGACAAATGGACTGCTCATTCCAGCCGAGAAAGGCTGATTGGAACCAAGCAAATACTTGCCAGTTTAACATCTCCACTCACATCGAGACGCCTGATATCCAGGGGACCAGGATACAAACCGGATGAAAACCACCCGTGGCTAGTTTTTGATTGGCTCAAGCATGAGTCTTTTTTAGTCTTTTTGACAGCGGGCGTTGGCCGTTAATTGCGGGGCTGCGCCCGCCCCGCTCTCATCCTTTGAGCCTTTGATGATGCCTTTGATCTCCATGTCAGACGAGGCTTTGCGACACTTTATCTCGACCTAGTTAGAGAGAGCGATCCCGCTAATAGCCCTGCCTCGCGTTGTTGCCCTTCTTTACTCTCTTGCCCTCTTTTTTTTCCAAGCTTCCAATCCTCAGCCTCGTGCGCCACTTTCGTAAGCTGCTTCCTTCCCAACATCATTCTTACGAGCCTTGTTCTTGTTGCGCTTCTCTCTTAAGCCTCGCTCTCTTTTTCATTTCGGCCCCTGACTGTTTCGACTCATCCCCCCTTACTAAATCTGGCTTATTCTCAGTCTCGCCAAACTAAACTAATTTCTTGCGGCTGAACAGTCCTGGTATAAAAACACGACGAAAGGTCAGTTCCAAGACACGCATGAGACAATATCCAGCGTGTTTCTAGAACCAGTACCAAAGAAAAGCAAAGAAAACAAAAATGGCGTTCAAACGACTAATTCCATTTGCCTCCCTTGCAGTCAGTTGCATTGCAGCCATGTCGACTCCGGAGCCACTTCCCAACCCCCAGCGTGTCATTACCGACACGGATCTCGAGACCGGCATCTCGCACTTCAATACGACCCTGGACGAAAGTCTTGCGGTCAAGCAGGATCTCGGAGGTTCCTTGTTCCGTCTGGGCTACATCACCGACAAGACCCCCAACACGCTCGATGGCACCGATCTCACCAACTACATTGAGTACCTGGAGAATGCCAGCGTGCCTCCCGTCACCCTCCCCGACGGCCGTGGCATGATGTGGTACATTGACACCCCTCCTGGTAAAGGCAGTCCTTTCCACCGCACCATCAGCTTCGATGTTGTTATCCAGGTCGCGGGCGAGATCGAAGTGACGCTCGAATCTGACGAGAAGCGCATCCAGAAGCCGGGTGACATGCTCATCCAGCGCGCTACCGCTCACACTTGGAGAAACCTCAGCAAGGACAAGTGGGCACGCATGGTTGGTGTCATGTACTCGAGCAACCCTGTGGTTCTCAAGAACGGCACCGAACTTGGTCCTACCGGACTTTAGTCGCCTCATTAGCAATAGTATAGACTATTTTGTGCCTACATAGGACAGTCAATTTATTTTTGAGCTCACCTTTTTTCACGTGCCTAAGCATCTAGAGTGACAATAGATTTCATGTGCCAGCGAAACAACGTCGTTAAGTACTGCCAGTACACTGGTTAGTTCGTATGCGCAAAATCACCAAAAATCCGAGATATACACACCCATCTTTTTCTGTCTCAATATATTGACATAGTTATAACAGCGCGATCAAGATCATAATAGCTAAAGGTCGAATCATCAAATCTCTCATTCGTATATCTCTAGATTGTATTTGCGTTTCGTCATTCAATAACACCCTATCTTTCAATGGCCTCTAGTAGTTGCAACACTGGTATCAGGTAGTTTCCCAGCTCTCTTTCCCATCGAACACGCTGATTATGTTCCATCTGCTGCATCTCATCCAACATTGAAGCTATCTGGCGTAACATTCGACGATATATAGAGCGTATCAGGGTGGCTCCTTGTTGACCGTCAAGAGTAAACCGTCCGAGAGCCATGGGAGGGAGATTCTCAAGGGCTGCAGCCAGGGAGGGGCTGGAAGGAGCCACCACAACGGGCACACGAGGTTGTGCGAAGTTTTGCGGGTGAGTAGTGAAAGGAAGAAGTGAGGAAGTATGGTACAGTAGAGTGTAAAGTGAAATAAACATGAAAGAAAGAGATCACAGGATATCACATCAGGATACAGATGACCTCACCCTTGGCAAAAACCTAATGCACATCAAGACAAGGGACTCAAAGGAACCAACAGCCAGGCTTGGCAACTGGGTCGGGAAGCAGAAGCTGCTCTCATCGTTATCCAGAGTAGTAGCGGTACCTCTGATCCCCATCTTTAGCCGTACCTCTAACCACGCCTTAATGTGCTGCAAGATCTTGTTGTAGGTTGTGGGAAGGCACATATAGCTAGAAAGAACAAGCAACTGTGACGGTTGATCTAATGTGAGTTGTGCTAGTGTCTGGGTATCATACCAAACGTCAAAGAGGTCATCAGTCGTGGAGACGACTACTAAACGTATTCGAGGGCGCATTCAAACGGTGGCGGAAATGGGTATCATGGTTTGTAAATTGACACCTTGATGTCTTCCTCCGTTCTGGTCATCTTATGAATTACCTCCTTAACCTGTAGTAGCAGGAACAGGTGTCTCAAGCTAGTCAAGTATTACCCTGATGGTCGTGGGTACGAGAACGTGATTGAGACCGAGTTTCCATAGGCGGAGCTTTATTGCTTGCATCTGGAAGAAAGAGGAGGACAAGGGTATTCAGCGCTTTCACGTCCCTGGCACGACTCTCTCAATCAGCGTAGATAGATTTGTCAAGCTTAGATATCAAGGAATTGCAAATAGATTGCCTCCAGCGATAAGACCTTGGCGGCGCTGCACTCACTTGTCACGGTATACTTGCGCAAGCTGTATTGTTCGGTATACTGAATTGGACCTCTTCTATACACACTATCTGCAACTGCTGTTCAAGGTTGTGCCAAATTCCCAATCCATCGTCAGGCAGAAGATAGTACCAGACAGAACAGATCGGAATGGCCAGTGTCCTTGTGAAGGATTTGCCTCCTTTACACTGACCACCTTCAAGATGCTTAGTAAGTCTACTCAGAGTAGTGGAAGATCTGGTTTGTCGAGGGGCCGCTTCCTGATTGTCCCTTGTGAACGCTATAGGGCGTCTGAAGGCCTTTTCATCGTGTGCTGTAGAGGGGAGGTGGGCACCAAAGTTTTCGTATCCTTGAACACTCGCTTGTTGCCACTCGCCAGACGGAGAGGACAGAGCAGCTTTGGGAACAGATCTGTAAGAACAGCATTCTAAGCGTTAAAGTGCTGTCTGAACGGAATCATTCTTATAATCATTTACAATAAGGTACATGTACAACGCCTGCGGTCCAGACTCCGGACCAGGATCCAGAATGTTTCGACCACTAAGAACATACACATCACGACAGCTTGCATGCTATCTACACGGTCAAGGGATGATTGTCAATGCAGAGAATGCATCTTACAATTTTGCCTTGGTTGCCTTCTGAATGTATGCATCCCAATCCACCTTCCTTCCTGACTGGAACTCGCGCACCCCGTGAGCGCCATCCCCATCTGGCCGCATCATTTCATAGAAGAGAGACTTGATCCCCTCTGCTTGTTGCTCCTTGCCTGCGTGGGCCCAAGCCAATTTCACCAGCTCCTTCGACATGCGGGAAGCACCAGGCGAGACCTGTCGCAAGCGCACCAACAATGCGTCCAGCCGCTGGTGCAAGTCTTCCGCATTCTCTGCGATCTCTGCTACAAGTCCGAGGGAATGCAGCTGCTCAGCCTTCACCGGCCGAGCCGAAAGCATCGCCTCTCGGGCAAATGCAACCCCCCACTCACGGATCACATATTTGGAGATGGTCGCGGGACAAAGTCCCAGTTTGCCTTCGCTCAGGGTCACTGTAGCAGACCTTGCACAGAGTCGAATGTCACAAGCAAAGGCTAGTCCAACACCACCGCCAAAGGCTGGCCCGTTCAGACAGGCAATGGTCACTTTCGGACACCTATCAATCACATCAAACAGCTCGGTCAAGCGCTTGAATTGCGCCTCGCTGCTGGAGCCCCCTTGCGCCACAGGGGTGCTTCCCTTCCCAAGATCCATTCCTGTGCAGAAGAACCTCCCGCTACCGGTAATGATAATGCGTGACACAGCTGGATCAGAACTGGCGCTAGCCACGAGCGATGTGAGCTGTGCGATCATCGCAGCGGTCAATGCATTGCCATTCCGTGATCGGTTCAGCACGACTTTCAGGTTTACTCCGTTCCGATAAAGCTGGATACCATCCGCATCAATGGCCAAAGTCCATTGCAATGCGGGGAACTTTGTCGGACGTGCAGTCCTGGCGGCCTTGCCGGCCAGGGCGACACCTGCTCGGCTCGAGTTCGCCCCTAAAATTTGTTTGGAGATCCAGACTCCCGTTTCCACTAAACTGGAGAGGTCAATGCCGGTCTCAACTCCGGCATCCTGGAACATGTAGGCCACGTCTTCTGTGGCAACGTTCCCTTTCGCGCCGGGCGCAAAAGGACAGCCTCCGAGGCCAGCGACGCTGCTGTCGAAAACGCGGACTCCGCATGTATAGGCCTCCCATACGTTGGCCACCGCTTGGCCGTATGTATCATGAAAGTGTCCTGCTAAGCTGCTGACGGGGACGCCTGCGTCGGTTAAATATTGGACCAGGCTGCGGACACTCGCTGGTGAACCCACCCCGAGCGTGTCACCCAGGCTGACCTCGTAGCAACCCGCGTCGAGTAGGGCCCGTACGCAGCGCAGCACAGCAGCTGGAGGAGTTGGGCCATCGTATGGGTCGGCAAAGATGCAGGATACGTAGCTGGGGAGGTCAGTCTGATAATACGCTCATGCTTGTCGATATTGCTTACCCCCGAACCGCTAACCCAGCCTTGATGGCTTGAAATGCCACCTCCTTAGCTCTCTCGAGCCCTTGTTCCACCGTGCAGTTGATGTTCGCTCGACTGAAACCCTCCGCGGCACTGATGAAGACGGCAATATCCTTGACACCTGACGAACGGGCGATTTCCAGGCCCTTGAGGTTCGGTACTAACACCGGTAGACGCAATTTGGGATCCTTCGCCAAGTCTTGGACCGAGGAATGTTGAAGCAGATCGCGACAGTCCGCAAGCTGAGGAATTCTTCGTGGTGAGACGACGGAAGTCAGTTCGATGGTTTGCAGACCAGCCTTCTCCAGTCGATGAATTAATTCCAGCTTGGTCGCCGTGGATATTGGGGTGGAGATGTTTTGCAGACCATCGCGGGGTCCTACCTCGACAATTCTCACTGCTGGAGAAGAGCTTGGCATGGTGAATAGAATGTCATAAAGCCGTGGATGTGCGCAGTTTCAGTCTGTACTTCAGGCATAATCTTTATACTATGAGTATGGCCTATCAAGATGATCGGACCGCGGCGTGTCCCCCACGGACCGCGGACCGAGACCGAGCCTGTCGGGCGAGGAGAAGAGGTTATCAATATCGTCCCCTTTACAGGCTTTACTCCGTAGTATCTGGGGTAATGGGGCGAGGATCTTTCTTCCATTCAGACTCCGATGCGCAGCCACCGAGTGTATACGCTCAATAATCACTGGCATTGTACCACTAAATCAGACAATATCTCCCATTGTAGACAGCTTTGTTTATAATCTAGCCCGTACACTGTCCAGCTTGACCAACCGGTTTCCTAAATCGCGCAGTATGTGCTTCTGGTGTTTTCCACTGCCGGTTTTGGGGAAATCCTCGCCGACGCCCGCATCGCCGATCCAGAAGATATGCTGGGGCGCCTTATGACGACCCAGAGTCTGACTGACATACCGCCGGATTTCATCGTGGTCCAGCCTTGAGCCCTCCTCAATCGGCTTCAGGAAGCAACCGACGACTTCCCCATACCGTTCGTTCTGGATGCCCACCACACTGGCCTCGCTGATGGCGGGATGGGCCATCAGTCTCTCCTCGATTTCCCCGGGAAAGATGTTTTCCCCGCCTAATGAGCGTAGTTAGCGTTGAACCTGGCCCAAAAAGAGCGCCGTAAATCACCTCGAATGATAAGATCCTTGATACGACCAGTGATGGAGGCGTATCCGTCGTCATCAATCACAGCCTCATCGCCCGTGTGGATCCAGAGCACCCCGTTCTCATCCGGCCGCATGACCTCCTTCGTCTTCTCCTCATTCCGCCAGTAGCCCTTCTGTAATGCGAATCCACTGGTACAGAGCTCTCCCCGCTGCCCTCGCGGCAGGATCTGGCCGTTGCGATCGACCACCTTGGCAGCCGTATGGGGGATGACTCTGCCTACCGTCGACGTCCGCTTCTCATCGGAGTCATCCAACCCCGTGATAAAAGTGACGGGACTCGTTTCCGTCATCCCATATGCAATCAGCATTCTCTCGACTCCCATTTCTTCGCGGAGCCGGTTCATCAGGGCTTGCGACACGCTGGACCCCGACGCTAGGCCCGTTCGCAGGCGTCGTGGCTTCTTGCCGAGCTGGGCCAGCACCTCCAGCTCGGCGATATACATGGTCGGCACGCCTAAGATGACCGTCGCATCCTCCGTGAGAATTGCATGGACAGTCCTCTTGACGTCGAAAAAGTCCGACGCAAAGATGATGCTACTGCCATGGCAGAATGAAGCCAGAAACCCCAGGACAAGTCCAAAGCAGTGGAACAATGGAGGTGAGCAGCAGACCACGTCTTCTGGTCCCAGGCCCATCGCTTGGCCAACAAAACGGGCATTGTTGAGGATGTTACTGAGAGTTGTGATGCGTGCGGGTTAGAAGTGATCATACGGGTTGGATGGAGACAGACTTACGTATGGGTCAACATAGCGGCTTTCGGAGAGCCCGTTGTACCTGCAGATCTTACATGAGTCTGTTCAATTGCAAGAGGATGAGATTTGAATTACATACCTGAAGTGAACTGTAGGTTGAGGACATCCTCCGGGGAAATCTTTCGGGCAATCTCTGCCTGGACTCTGGAGCTAGGTTGCGAATTGCGCGTAAAAGTGTCGTAGGATTGCACTTCCACGCCAGCTTGGCCATAGAGTCCCTCCCCGATGAGCACTACTCGACGCAGCTCAGGGAGTCTCGGGTTAAGGGACTGCTTTCCACGAAGGGCGTCCACATGGCCAGCCAGGCTTCGTGTTCCGATTGTAGGGCTGATGAAAACAAGTTTGCATGCTGACGAATGATGAGTCGTTGGGTGCACTAGGGGGCAGAAAGGGGCCTTGCGAGACATACAGCTCTGACGAACAGCTCTTGTCAACTCCTCAGGGGTGTAGGTATTGTTCAACACCACCACAGGACAGCCGATGCGACCACCACCGAGGAAGACCTCCGTATATTGGTAGCAGTTACCTGCCAAAATGCCCACGCAGTCGCCCGGTTGCAAGCCCATGTTGAGCATTGCTTGGGCCAGAACCCGACTCCTTTGGGCCACTTGGCTGTATGTGAGGCGAACGGACTGCCAGGGCACAATGACTGCCTCGCGCGGGCCATAGCGAGCTTCCTGCTCGTCAATCAGCTCGCCCAGGGTCTTGTGCCAGAGCGCGGGCTCAGTAGGGCCGTGGACTATAGCTGGAGCGGGAGTCATGGTTTGGTAACTTTGGTTGCGTGGGCCTAGGATGAGAGTACTTGAAGCTTAGAAAGGAAACTCGAATTTGATTTTGACTTCCTTCCATTGGGACAAATCTAATATGCACCATCGCAGTGACCACCCCCATGCGGACCTGGGATTATCCCCGGGCGTCGGTCCGATGGGCTGGGGAATGCCCCGATTCCAGCGGCAGTACTAAGTCTGAAGCCCACGACACTATCTCAAATATTTGATTTTTTCTCCTATCTTCTGGTGCCCACTTAGAGTCAGGCCCTTCACTAAACCTCTTCGCTTTGTGTCTACTATGGCCACCGAGTCCTCGTTTCCACCCCTCACGTCGAAACTCGACCTCTCCGGCCAACAATATCGGTCCAACCGGGAAACATGGAACAGTGTCCTTGAGAGATTCGAAGACGCTTTAGGCCAGGTTTCTGTGGAAGGAAACGATGTCTCCCTCGCGCGCCATCAGACAAGGGGTCAACTGCTACGTATGTTCAACTGCTCTGTTCGAGTAACACAAACCTGACCTCGTCCAAGCCCGCGATCGCATTGTCCTTTTGTTAGACCAGGACTCGCCTTTTCTAGAGATTGGCGTCTTTGCAGGCTATAGAAATCCAGATTCCACCCCTTGTGCCAACTTGATTGCTGGGATTGGGAATGTCAGGTGCGCTATGCGATTTCCTTCGTTTTCTCTCGGACTGTGCTCATCGTGCTCCCAATGTTTAGTGGACGCCCTTGTATGCTCATGTCGCACATCCCGACCCAGAGCGGCGGTGCTTGGAACGAGATGACAGGTTTGTCGATATCCATCCATACCAAACGAAGACATTACGCTCAGTCACCCGTAGTCCTCAAAACGAATCGAATAATGGAGATCGCGTTCGAGAATGATTTGCCACTGATCTCCCTCGTGCAATCGGTACAGCCAGCTTTCCCCCGGTCTTCTGTATTGGCTAGAAAATGCTAATGATTACCCCCCAAGGCCGGCGTCTTCCTCCCCCAGCAATTTCGCGTCTTCCACAAGGGAGGCCAACTATTCCGAGATCTCGCGGTCCGCACGCAGCACGGGAAACCGTCCTGCGCCATCGTCTTTGGCTCGTCGACGGCGGGAGGTGCATATCATCCCGCTCTGTCGGACTACACCATCTTCGTCGAGAGCCAAGGGCAGGCCTTCCTGGCGGGGCCCCCTCTGGTGAAAATGGCCACTGGGGAGGTGATTGGGGCAGAAGAGCTGGGAGGAGCCAAGGTACATGCTATGACGACTGGTCTGGCTGACCAAATTGCTACTGATGAGTATGTGAGACATACCCTACAAGCGAGACCGCAGTGAGGCTAATAGCAATCAATGCAGACTCGATGCGATCCGCAAAGCACGAGAGTGGGTGGCCTCACTCCGCGTGCCCTCTCCCAGAACCCCGGTTGACGCCATCGAGCCATTGGCCCCAAGGTATCCCGTTGAAGACCTTTTGAGCCTGGTCAACCCGGATATTCGAAAGCCATTCGATATGCGCGAGGTCCTGCTACGCCTCGTCGATGACTCGCGATTGTCAGAGTTCAAGCCTGAGTATGGTCGCAACATGATCACTGGATGGGCACACTTCCACGGTAAGCATAATTTCAAGTCCCCAACCACACAATCTTGCTGGACGCTGATACATGTTCACGCCAGGCCTTCCGGTGGGAATCGTGGCAAACCAGATGTCCGTCATTAATCCGACCGAAGCGGCCAAAGGAGCGCAATTCATTCGCATGTGCAACCAGCAGTAAGCCCTACTACCTTTCCACCCATTCTGGTCCGCATACTAAACGAGTCTATTCCAATAGAAACATCCCCATCATCTTCCTTCACAACGTCACCGGGTTCATGGTTGGCGCCAAAGCGGAACACGCAGGGATCATCCGGGTAGGCGCCCAACTCGTCTCGGCCGTCAGCTGCTCGACCGTGCCCCATATCTCCATTATCATGGGTGCATCGTACGGAGCAGGCAACTACGCCATGTGCGGCCGCGCCTATCGCCCCCGGTTCTTGTTCACCTGGCCCAGCGGCCGGTGCAGTGTGATGGGGCCCGACCAGCTTTCGGGGGTGATGGAATCGGTGCAGACGGCCAGCGCCAAGGCTAAGGGACAGGTCTTGTCGCCGGAGAAGCTGAAGAAGCAGGTGGAGAAGTTTCGGGATGTGGTGCAGACGGATGCGGAATGCTATTCTACGAGCTCGATGTTGATCGATGACGGGATTATTGACCCGCGGGATACCAGGGATGTGGTCGGGATGTGTCTGGAGGTGGTGACGATGAAGGGGGTGAAGGGGACTTCGACTCATCGGTTACTTGCGCGTATTTAGGTTGATCTGATAATTTAGGGCAAGATTTTCTGTTCGTGTGATGTTACAAGTGTAGACTGCCAATGTGAGATACATATTCATATTGTGGTCGATCCGGAGTCCACAATGGTCATGTTGGTCTTTTACAACACGTCAAGCCACGTCTCAATAATGAAGACCCCAATAGAAAGGCCTGGAAAGCCAACAGCTACCTCCTCAACAGATCAGCCGGTCCGATTGATCAGCGCCGGCGGAACCGGACTGCGGACCGATCTAACCCTATGTCCCTCTCTATGCATCGGATAGCGTTACGAAGCGGAATGTGGGATGTATTTCTTGTGGAAACAGTAGCTCTCCGCGCCTTCGCTGGAGTTTCCCTGCTCATGCAACGCAACGATCCAACATCGACTACCAACGGTCACTCAACAAGATGACTGTGTCTCACGAAGTGGTCGAGTATCACGCTTCCCCCGCGCGACTCCCTCTGTACGTGGCCGTGCCTCCCCTTGGGCCCGATGGACGTCCGATCATCCAACGAGTCCTGATCGCCAATCGGGGTGAGATCGCAGTTCGCATTATCCAAACGTGTCGGAAGTTGAACATAGCGACCGTCGCAGTCTATGTGACCGAGTGAGTCTACCCTCTACGACGACGGTCTATACCCAACTGACCAACCCAACAGAGATGCCACATCGCGCCACGTCCACGAGGCCGATGAAGCCATTTGTCTGGGCCACTTGGGTAGCAATGCGCGAAATCCATTCCTCGACATCGACCTCCTCATCCAAACCGCTCTCCAGACTCAGGCACAGGCCATTCATCCGGGATATGGCTATCTGAGTGAGAACGCCGACTTTGCGACCCGCGTGCGTCAGGCGGGTCTGATTTTCATCGGACCCAGCGCCAGTGCCATGTCCTCGTTGGGCGACAAAAGGTCTGCCAAGGCGTACCTGCAAAAGCATGCGCCCGAAGTCCCCCTCATTCCCGGGTTCACGGGGTCCAGCCAGGTGGCAGATGAGCTGGCTGCTGCGGCCGCCGAGATCGGGTTCCCGGTGATCTTGAAGGCGTCTGCGGGCGGAGGCGGGAAAGGAATGCGGATCGTGCGGGAGGTAGGGCAGCTGAAGAATGAACTGGAGCGCGCGCAGTCGGAGGCACGACGTGCGTTCGGATCCAGTGACTGTATCCTGGAGAAGTACATCGAGTCTGCGAAGCACGTCGAGATCCAGATTGTTGGCGATAGTCATGGCGAGGTGGTGTCATTCCTAGATCGGGATTGCTCCGTGCAGCGACGGCATCAGAAGGTCATTGAGGAGACGCCTTGTCCGTTTCTCACCGAGCAGATGCGTCGGGATATGAGTGCCACGGCGGTGCGCATTGCGAAGCTGATCGGCTATGAGAATGCAGGTACGGTAGAGTTTGTGGTGGACGTGCAGACCCGGAAGTTCTATTTCCTGGAGGTCAATGCCCGGCTGCAGGTCGAGCATCCCATTACCGAAGAGCTGACTGGGTTCGACCTGGTTTCGCTGCAGTTGCTCGTGGCAGCTGGTGGGAGTCTGAAGAGCATACCTGCGTTCACCCCGCAAGGACATGCGATCGAGTGCCGCCTCTGCGCTGAAGATCCAAATAACCACTTCTTCCCAGAGCATGGGAAAATCCATCTCTGGCGTCCTGCAGACGGAACCCTAGGACCAGGTCGGGATGTCCGCTACGAGACAGCCATTCAGACCGGATCCGACGTGTCCATCTACTTCGACTCCATGATTGCGAAACTTGTCGTCTGGGCTCCCACTCGAGCCCTGGCGATCGAGAAGATGAGCCAGGTCATGGCACACACGGCCTGCGTCGGCGTCAAAACCAACCAACTCTTCCTGCAACGCTGCCTGCTGAGCCCGGAATTTCGAAAGCCAACATATACCACCTCGTTCATCCCGTCCAATCTTGAGCAGTTGCTACAATTCCCCAAAGTGCCCTTTCAAGATTGCCTGCCTATCATCCCGGCCTTGGCCATCCGCAACCTGTCCGAAGCCACGGCCACCCGCCGACGGCCCTTTCAGCGAATCCGAAAGCAATTCCGCAATCAGCATTGCGATCCGGTAAACATCCATAGCGACGTGGTCATCACAATCACTGGTCCCGGAACTGGGACATTGACAATGTGTATCTGGGACCCCCCAGCAGCCGGACAGTCAGCACACATCCAGCGCGTGCGACTCATGCCCGTCCCGGCAGACCCGCAGACGCCGCAGGAGAAAGCCAGGAGTAGCACCGCCACGTCTCGATACAACGCCATCAGCAGTCTTCTTCGCAGCGGAGCCACGAAAACGCTAACGCCACGAAGTCTTCAGATCGAGTCGTGTCGGCCAACAGCCACAACCACGGACTCAACACTCCCTCCGACTACATTCACCATGGAGGTATCCATCGACGGACGCAGAATGCTCAGCCATGTTGCCATTCCCTCGGCCGGTGCAGTCCCAGGACTCGTAGACCGCTCTCAGCGAATATACTGTCATTTCCCTGCGTTGGGGACATACGTGGAGTTTCAGCGGCACAGCCTGCTGTCCTTTGCAGAGAGTCTTCGGAAGGATGCCACGGCGGAAGAGGCGGAGAAACGCACAGTGACTGCGCCGATGCCCTGTAAAATTCTCTCCATTGAGAAGAAGAGTGGGGATCTGGTCAAGGCTGGGCAGGCGGTCATGGTCGTCGAGAGTATGAAGATGGAGTTGAGTATTGCGGTCTCGGCGGATGGGAGGTTTGAGACGGAATGGAAGAAGGGCGACGCGGTGGAGGAGGGGAAGGTTCTTTGTACGGTGGTATAGTATAGTTTTGCTTGACTTGAGTTAAAGGATGTGTTGCCGAGTGGCTGTTTATGTTGTAGGTTCAAGAATACTTGGGATATGTCTTCCATATCGCGCTTCAAAGGTCAACAGCTGGTTACAACTTGCTCTGTGCCTTCCTGGCCATGGCCTTCATCTCCTGATTAACAGCGAAGTCCGACAGAATCTCTTCACTTCCCCCTCCCACGACCATGACTCGGACATCCCGACTGATCTGTTCAATCCGCGCCCCGCGGCCGTTCTTCGAGTATCCCAGCCCTCCCAGAACCTGCTGAGCCTCGCGATTCACCATCTCGAGCGTCCTGCCAGCCAACACCTTCAAGTTGGCAAACAATCCTCCCATCGCGAGATCCCTACGATCCTTCCGCGCCATTTCCGACATGTAAACCAGCTGTTCCATCCAAGCGTACGCCGAGTCGAGGCTGCGACCCATGGCACTAAACTTGGACCGGATGACCTGATTCTCAATCAGCTTCTTACCAAAGGTCTCGCGGCTGATTGCGTGTTTGTATGCGTCTTCAGCACAGACACGAGCCATGCGCAGCGAGGTACAAGCCAGCCACAGACGTTCGTGATTGAAGTCTGCGTTCCTCTTTAGTTCCCTCTAGCACATCTATAAACCAGGAGACATGGACATACTGTTCATGATGATGGGGAAGCCCTTGTTTTCCTGCCCTAGCAAGTTGGCCACCGGGACCTCGACCTGATCGAACTCGATGTACGTTGAGCCTGCCAGGAGTCAGCATATTGATCCCAAAATCGGCAGAGAACTGTATGTACTTACCACTCGCCTCAACACCAGAATTTTGGATCTTGCGACAAGTCACGCCCGGCGCCTTCATGGGAATAACCAGGGCCGAAATACCCTGAATCCCCTCTCCTCCCGTCCGAACAGCGGCAGTGCAGTAATCCGCAAAGATCCCATTGGTAATCCACTTCTTCGCCCCATTCACGATATAAACATCTCCTTTCCGCTCAGCCGTCGTCGTAATTCCCGCGACATCAGACCCAGCTACAAATCAGAGCCATTGTCAGAAGTAGAACCATCATAACATCACGACCGCGCCTCACAGACAAACTCACCATCCGGTTCCGTCACCCCCAAACAAAACCTCGCCTTCCCGGTCAACATATCGGGCAAAAACCGTCTCCTCTGCTCCTCATTCCCGAAGTTAATTACCGGCGGTCCCCCGATCGAGTTTCCACAGCCCAACGCCCAAACGATCCCCAGATATCCACAACGCGCTAGCTCGTCAATGACGATCAGATCATGGAACCCGTCCCATTCGCGGGGATCAATATCCCCCGGGAGCCGCTGGCCATGGAGATAGTCTTTTGCAAGAGGAAAGGCCGCGACGGCGGTGTATCCGAGCTCGGCGTGGCGGGTTTTGACCTTCGTGCGACATACAGGTCAGTGTTCGGTCAGGAAAGGTCGGGTCGGTGTTCAGGAAATGTACTCACCTCGATAGGCACCGAGCCTTGTTGCTCCCACTCCTCGCAGAAGGGGCTAATGTGGGTGTCGACGTATTCACGGACTTCACGTTGTAGGCGTCGGTGGGACGGGGTGTAGTAGGGGCTGTAGGTCCGGTTGAGCCAGAGGGGGTCGGCGAACGGGGTATTGGATGTAGTGGAGGACATGTTGTTAAGCTGGGATGGGTCTTACGAGCTGCGTGAGGGCATGGATCATGTACGTGTTCTAATTACTGGGCTTTGGAGTTATATGCAATGTAGCTACAGCAGGATGTTCGGGTCCGGGCCGCCCGCAGAAGGGGCGCTTGCCGGACCTGGGGAAGGAGTATCGTTGGACTAGTAGCTTAGAGATGGTAGAGTAAACCTGGGTAGGCTGGGGATAAGATCCATGTCTGTATCCTGCAACTGTCTTATACTTCGGTCCGATACGCCAAGGCTCAGTGGCATCGGTCCGATACGCCTCGGGTTGGTTTCCGCCTGGACCCCGCGTCCCCGCCATACCCCGCAAACAGGCCCGAGTCTCAACGCATATGAGTATAGCTGATAGCATTGATTGAACAGATCCCTTGCAATAGATTCTACATTGACTGGATATCAATGGTGAGAGTAATCTGGATCATCTTCCTTTTGCGCACAGGCGCCCGGAAATTAAAAAAATAACCCATCTTGTATTATATCAATAACTTACACTTGTCCCCGGAGGGACAGCGGCAACCGCTTTCTATACGCCAACATCACAAGCCTAAGAAAAAGTTCCGTCCTGCTCTCATAATTAGGATTAATCAATCTCATCAGGGCAAATTGATTGGTAAAGGACATTCGCACCTTTCTTTGAGCATCATCATCAACCCCTGTACCAGAAACCCCTTGACTATCTGCGGTGCTAGGCCTTTGTACAGCCTCTGTAGGCCCTCGTGTCGAATAATAAAAAGAAGTACTTCCGTAAATCCCCGAAAAGGTCGACCATCTCGACAAGCAGGTGGCCTTGACTGCAGCATGGTCTTGGCCACGATCAGCGGGTGAGTGACAACCGTGGCCGCGACTTTTGATAGAGCCCCGAGTACTGTCCGTTTTTAGTTAATCTTTCTTCAAAGAGACGGTTTATACGCACGAAAAGCATCTGCAGATCCCAGTGGTTTCCTGAAGCGGAGCAAGCCCCCTCGCAGCCACTGGTAAAGACCATACGTGATCATAGGGTTGACCACGAGGATGAGGTTGACTTTCAACCCTCGCCACAGTCCCGTCCATCCATCCTCACTGCTCACTATATCCTTCAGAACCCCAAAGATGGATTTCGCTTCATCTGCTGCCCGACATGTCTGCTGCCTGGTAACGATGACTGCAATGGGGTTGGTGCAGATCTGGGCCATGGCCCCTCCCACCGCGCCTAGTAAGAGCTCTTTGACGATACCGTTCGAGTCTGGGATATTGTGACGTTTGAGGAAGTGTCGATGCACGGTCCGTGCTTTGGTCGACCAGTAGAAGTAGACGAAGTTCATGGAGGCGGTGCTGAGAATGGAACTGCTCAGCCCACGATACAGTCCTGAGATGCCTTCTTCCTGCACCACATGGGAAACTGTGTCGATCACGTTATCATAGCTCATAGGCATAGGTGGTGGGCTGCGTGATTCGTCCTCTTTGGTTTCGGTACACTTAGGTCGACTGTGGACTTGCACTTGGAGTTTCGTCTTGATACTGTCGTATGTTTAGAGATATTCTTGGACGGTGCAAATCGGAGGATCCCAGCGAAGAGGGAGGAAGGACTTACGTGTCAAGAGGGTATACAATGATGTTTGCCAGAATTGCTGCCGTAGTACCCGAGGCAACCGCCTCCCACGGCGAGGATTGATTATTGCTAGTCATGTTGATATGATCAAGAAACAGATGACGATGTGTGGGACGTGATTGGGGTATTCGCATCTTTATCTCCAGAGAGGGTGCGAACTGCGAACACATGAAGCGGCTCGGGAAAGAGAAACGGTCCGCGTTCCGATCGCGGCACGCAACACTCCCATGACACAACTCATCTGAACATTGTGTCAAATGAGTCCAGTCCTTGGCGTGCTACAACTAAGTAAATATTCGACTTCGTCGAGACGTAAAGCAGGCGACAGGCCACAAAAAATATCCTCATGGCTCGTGTGCACCCTGGGGGATGCGGCGGCGAGAATGTCCGACCCTCGAGCCCATGATGTCGGCGAGGGCATGCTGGGCACATTCGAGCCAGGTGCACTGGATGCCTTGCGTGGATTACTTCCCATGATTGAATAGTCGAGCATGGACCAGAATGTCTCCTCGGACATAGGATCCAGATCCCTCGGCACACCAGTCGCATCGAGAACGCTGCCTAGGCTATGTCGCTGTGCGTGGAAGTCGCGCAGCCGGACCGACTACTCCAGAAAATTGGTTAGTTAGAAGCACCGCCGTCTGTCAGGATTTACATACCATGTTGGCTGCGTGGGTCCAGAATTCGGCTAATCGATCTAAGATATCGATACCATGTTGAAAGCACTCCAGCATCTCGGAAGGACGACACAAGACGCTTTGAGATTCCTCGTGCGACGCGATCGAGAGAATCCCACCCGCAATAGCAACACAATATGCGTAGAAAGAGGATTCAACGAGTCCCCCTGCGTCAGACACATCCCGCAGAAGATTCACCAGCTGCGTGGCATGGTCGAGCCCGTTTTGGAGTGCGCGGGTCACGAAGCTATGAGGAACTTTGGAGCCAAAGGGCTTGAGACAAAGGCTGAGAACAAAGGGATGATTCAACAAGCAGTGACAGAGGTGGAAGAGCGTATGCGCATATACTCGGTGGCCAAGCTCCTGATGGTCAATGGTCCCAACACTGCCTGTTAACATATCGACCACTGACGTGTTGCCCATCTTTGCGTAGGACTCAAACAGTAGTAACGATGAATTGATGGCAGAATATTCCGACTTGGTGCCCCAAGGAGGAATCTCATCGGTATGTCGGTTGGCATACACATACCTGGTGCAGCGCCCGAAGATTGATGCGAGCAGGATGACCAGAGCAAATGGACTCGGGGTATCGGAAATTTTGGTGTTCCAGTTGAGAAGCTGAAGCAGCGTGTAGGTCTTCTTTGTCTCCCCCTGCCGGACGGTGCTTTCATCGCACGGGAGCTGTACGTGACAATCTTGGTCGAGAATGACGAGCGGACGGGATCGTCCACATGAAATGAGTTTGTCGAGCAGGTATACTGACCAGAATGCTCGTCGACGTTCCTCCTGTTCCGCAACAGGTAACCAGCCATCGGGCTCTCTCATCAGGCCGAGTCCTTGGGAGATGCGGGCTGCCAGGCCAATTTTGAGCCAGCCTGAATTGACCCGTCCAGCTAGGGGTTTAAGCAAGAGGTTAGCTGCAGCTCGTTCAGCGTAAAGCCTAGTTTTACACAACACCCTACCGGTATAGTCGATCACTGCCAGCATATTCACAGTTTGCACCACATGAACACCCATATTATCCTCCACGGTCAAGTGATCGGTAAGTACCGATAGCCATGCTTCCCGGGCATAGACTTCTGATGCCTCGACCGATCTTCCTGCATAGAATTCATGTGTGGAGAAGCGGACAGCGGATGCCAGCACGGCCAGGATCAGGCATCGGGGCAAGGTGTCATTCTGTAGCCCTTGTCGAAAGGTCGTCTCCTGGAAGTTGCTATACGGCTGGTTGTGAACGTGAGTGAAATATGTGTCTATGACGGAGCTTAGAACGGATTGGGAAGGGTTTAAGAGCGAATGAATTCCAGGGTTAGCACGCTGCGATAAGGAAATTTGCTGCTCGGGAGGTCCAAGGTCTACTAAGGGACTTGGATATACTATTAGCATACTTAGACATGGAGTCGGCCAATCTTGGGGTCGGCCTACCTGGGTTGTTGTACAGTCTGGCCACTCAGCTCTGCCAAGCGCGACTCGATCAACGAGATGCGTTGCAACAGTTGGGTCTGGGAGATGGTCAGGTACAAAGCAACAAATGGAACCAAGCTACAACCGTACATTCTCAGCGTTCGATGTCACTGGAGCATTCGGCGGGTTGTCGCCGACGGTGACGGAGTAAGGCTCGTAGACGCAGGTGTGCTTATTGCGGCGACAGTGAAAGCAGACCGGACGCTCCCCGGAGCACTTTGTTTTCCTTCGCCTACACCATGGCTCAACCGCTCAGCTTTATTCGAGCCCACGGAGTTGGATTACGTACCGGCAGTTGGCGCAAGCTTGGCGAATCCGTTTGAGATTACCCTTTTGCAGAGAGTCCATCAGAGGATTCATTCCAAGTCCCAAGATTCGGGATAAAAAGTAGACGTAACAAAGATAGACAGATAAGGGGATGACCGGATATCTCGCTGATGGACAATGACAAGTTGTGGCTGAAGAGCTGGCCAGGAGATGGAGATGGAGATGGAGAATTGCGGTGGGAAAGGCAAGGCAGAAATGCAGAAAGAGGGGGATTATGTGGGGCCCCGCTTCTTTTGCGGGGAAACTGCAAGACCTACAAGGCTACAATATCAATAGCTCATTGTATAGCTGTGCCATGCTATGTCTGGACACCAGCTGATTGTTGTCGCATAGTTAAATATGGATATGTCTTTGCCTTGGTTTCAGCAGACTAGGGACATGGCAGTGATGCCGGAGATGCCAAAGACCTCAATGTCTCGAACATCGCCTTGAACATAGTCTCGGTTGAGGATACCTAGTGATTATCACATAAATCCCCTGGGCGTCGTGCTGTCTAGTCAAATTTATGCTGTGTTCTAGTCTATTATGAAGTCAATCCTTTGTTCGCGGTCTTCCTGATGCATCCTTCAGCACATTTGAGAGACAATGCATTGTTGGATGACAAGCAACAAAGACAATGAATGGAGCTGCTCTTCTGCTACTGTTTCTTCTTTGCCTAGGATTTTCTGATACTCTGATGGCTGATGTCTAGGAAGCAAGACCTCTGTGCCAGGATGAGTATATATATCTCCTCGAATGACTGCAAAACAAGTCTTCAATTATCACTTCATCCTTCTTGGATTCATTACCACCTCTTTTTCATGCGTATACCTGACGCCTTTCGTCCCCCTATTCTACTAACTATCCAGCAGAACCACTAAAGAGTCATCATGGTAAGTTCACTTGCCCCTCCACTCATACAACCCACTAACGATTTCCAGGATCGCTACAGCCCGGAGCTGCAGCAGAGGATCCGCGACCTCGCCAACTGGCCCATGGACAAAGATGAGGTATGTGAGGTCTGGACCGAAATCCTCAAATTCTACTTTCCCATCTCCCAGACTGACAGGCCTGCCAACAACGAGTACGCCATCACGGCCGCGCCCAGCACCATCCTCCCCTTCGTTCAATTGTCCGTCGCCACGCAGCTAGGTACGTTTGAAAACACCCGCTTCCTCGCCCTTCACTGCAGAAGCTCTCCGAGACAAGGTGCGGAACCGCCCTCGCGCCATGCCGAAGATCGGCTGAGATTGCAGCTGACCGAGACACTGACAGTCATTCCAATTCACGATGGGCTTGAAATACATGGTGCCATCACTTTCGGTCCGCGGATTCGGTTCTACCGGTTGATGGCGAACGGTATCTTTGGCTGTTGCCTCTGGGGCGGAAGAGACAGCCTGCATGTCCTTCAAGATCATCTTCTCATTGCTCAGCACCTGGAGGAGATCAAGAGCGACTGGCTCTCAGTCTATGTGCCGGGGCGTTAGTGGATATATCTCGTCGCATTGCCAGCGAGGAACAAGATGGCGAAGAGTGGGAAATTGTCATGATTGTTGGAGGATATACATGAGAACAAATACGTTTTTATTTACCAGATTCCATCATCGATACCTGCAGGTGCAATTGATCTTATATGTCTGTCATGCCATTCCAGTCTCTACGTAAATATAGTCGATTGCAGCAGCTGAGTGGACTAATACGAAATGTAGTACAATAATCAGTAGAAGGCTGAATTCATGTGCGTATTTACAGACAAATGCCAGCCCCCAAATAATCTTTGTTTCTTGAAATGCGATATGTACAGTAAATCCGCCCTGAAAACAAGAACGCTGCCCGGCCTTAGCTAGGGCTGCGCGGTCAACAAATGCACATGAAAGAGGTAGCGAGCTTTGGCCAACTCGGAAAGCATGTCATACAATCGTGCAACTGTTTTGTACATCATTTGCATATTTCTGCGCTTTTGGAAAGGAAGAGGTCTTCTCAAGGGGAGTTGTATCGGAACAAATCTTATGTACGTCAGCGGCATTCAGCAAGGCTGGATCATGAGTCAATGGTAACAAGGCCTTTTACTAATCATCTGGTGGTGAAGCAAAGCTTTCCTGGGAGGCCTCTCCGATAGGCAGATCAATGACAGCGCTGTCAGGAAGTTCGGTTGCGCCAATGTCTGTGTCTTTCATGGCCTCTTCTGAAGGTTCTGTGGACGCGTATTGGTCTGGAACGCCAGGCTTATCCTCATCACCGACTTTCCCCTCCTCGTCTTGTTTGGGTTTCGAATCGTCTTCCTCAAAATGGGGATCCGCCAAGCGCTTGAAGGCCACTTCCCCTGTGTTGATCTTCTGAAAGACATCATCACGCGCGACACGATGACCCGAAGGCAAGGCTCTGTTCGAAGCCAAGAGGCTGCCGCCAAGTGCTGACATATAATCTCGTTTCACAAAAGCCAGAATTTCCTGGGTTTTCGAGAGCATTTTGTCCTCAACCGCCTTGACCATCTCTTCAAGTGCTCGTTTAACAGTATCCGCACTGTCACGGAACATGGTCCAGCGAGTCTGTTCCACATGGGCCGCCATGGCTGCTTTCATTCGCATGAAACTTCCAGTACCTAAGAGAAGAATTAGTGTCAAATCAAGCCTCAGATCGGAATGCTCATACCGCGTTCCGCAACACAGGTTTGGTAGGCGGGTTCAAGAGCGGTAGCAATCACGGGCTGAAACATGCGGTTGATTTCCTTTGCCTGGGCCACAGTCGTCGCGAAGTTTTCGTTACAAACATCTTTGAGAAGCGCCTGGTAGTTGCGTAACTGATGAGATAACAAATGGAGACTTGCTACTGGACCGTTCTGACTAGCTTCCCGCTCAATGTCGTCATGTAAAGATTTCAGTAAGCGTCCAGCATCAGATGCAGCGCCCTGCAGAAGGGAGTGGACGCGCCGCGAGAATGTCTTCTCCCAGCCCGAGGCGATGGCCTTGATGACAGGTTCGATCAGCTCGGCGTTCCAGTCGTGATGCCCTTGAGCGTTTGAATAGACCCCATTACGGCGGCATATAGCCTTGTACGTGGACCAGAAATAACCTCCAGCGGTGCGGTCGTTACGGTTAACCGGCGCGCTCCATCGAAGCACAGTTTTGTTTGCCTCAGCCGCGGCCGGGGCGAGGGCGTTCTCTGTTTGCACGTTAATGGAACAGGAATGGTTCGTGACGGTCCAGATAGGCTACTTACCACAGGCGTCGAATATATTGTCATCGAATTCTCCTCGTATCTGCTGATGGACGCTTCTGACGTGCTTTCCCAACTCCTACACGGTTACTTCATTGTCAGCAACCTGCAACGGGTATGATCGAACTGTTACAATTAAGAATGAAATGGGACGAATCAAAGAGAGAAGAGTCATACAGAGGATGTTGATAAGAACCATTCGCACTTACACTCTCGAGCTTCTGAATTCTATTCTGCACCATCGTATTCTGCCTGGCCTTTTGGCCGTCAGTGAGATGGCTGCCATCTCCGTCTGGAGTGGACCACAAGCGAAGAGAGTTCAAAAGTTGACTGAGACTGTTCAGAAATCTCCGCGAGTTGGCTTCCCGGCTCACTTCCGTGAGTTTCTTACAGTGAGCCTGAAGTTGAGGAACCTCGGTCTCTTCAACAGACTGGAACCCGGGTACGTCGGCTTCTTTTCGCAGACGTCCTCGCAGCTTCTGGTAGCCCCGGGACGAAACACAGAACACAGGAAGAGATTTCGCGACCTCGTCATAATCGCGAGCATCGACATCTGGGTTGAAGTTGGCAGCGTCCTCTTCTTCGGCGAGTTCCTGGTCAAGCTCTTTGACTCCGGCGGCGAAATCCTGCCGAATCGCACCTCGAGAATATTCGTTCCGGCCGGAGATAGCTATCGCCCTCATCTCAGCTTCGATCTTCGCGTCAGCTTCGTTAATGTCTGAGATCTTTTTCCGAACTTCCTTGATCTGAGCCTCGAGGTCTTGCTTTTGGCGACGGCTTTCCTTCTTCGTCGTCTTGAGTTCCAGAATCTTCTCAGTGATCTCTTCTTTAGTGAGGGGAGCACGAGTCTCTTCAGGCTGATCCTCCTCTTCGTCCGTCTCTGTGTCGGAATTGTTGCAGTTTTGGTCACTATCGACATAGTCGCTATCAGCGTCACTGTTTGGAGTTCGAGCCTTCTTTCGCCTTCCACATTTCTCGCTGCTCGAGCTTCTCTTTCGCTTCTTGGAGGTTGAATTCTCACGGGGAGCAAAAACAGTCTTCCCATCCTCAATGTCATCTTTCAAGGCCTCCCAGACCTCGAGGACTTCATCCACCTCATCCGCGGAAGCCGTATAGATGGCTTTGGTCTCTTTCAATTCCTCCAGCCGCTGCTTGAGTACTCGCCTTTCCTTGGCAAGTTCATCGGATTTAGCCCAATTTGCGCCCATCTCCTCCTCGAGTCCTAGTGAGTCCTGACACTCCATGAGGCTGATGTCGTCAGTCTTGCTACAAATGAAGGTGACGGTATTGAAGCCACCATCCATCTTGAGCTGTCGCTTGAAGGTGTCACCAAGCAGCGATTTGGCGGCTTTATCATCGACTGCTCGAGTAATCGGAGCCACGATCCATAGACCCGTACACTGTTTCATGTAGCCCTCGGCAACGGCAGAGCGGGCAGCATTTGAATCGTGAACACCGGGTAAATCGACAATGACGGCGCCGGTCGAGAGTGCCTCGGCTTTGACGTAGAGACGGACAACCTTGATCAAAGGCCAAAATTCCAAATCTCTGGCAGGCTTCTTGTCTTTAGCCTTCTCGCCCGCTGTCTTCTCTTTGCTATCGACGAAGAATTGGAGCTTCTTGTAGAAGCGGAGGGAATCGGACTCGGTAATTTCTCGCTTGCTGCCCAGCACGTTTCGAACATTGGGGTGCCTCATCAGCTGCTCGACTGAGCTATTCTGCAACATCTCCCTCGTGAAATTGGGGTATACAGCCTTGATTTTGGCGTATGCAACGCCCGCCTCACTTTCCTCATTGGATGCTTCACGAGAGACATTGCCACTGCCATCGAAAAGATCGTGAAACAGAACCTTGAGTTCCTTTTCCCAGTCTTCCTGTGTGATGAATTCAATTTCAGCCCGATAAGGATCATCGCTGGTGTTGTAGGAAATCTCGGTAACCACCGCCGTGCATGCCCTCATACAATTTGTCGGCACCAATCTCTCCTCGTCAAGCATGGCATTGATGATGGATGACTTTCCAGCCCCAGTGTTACCGACAACACCGACAATAGTCCTGGGCTGCGTAGCCTGACTTTGGACTTTCTCTATAGCCTGCAGCCACTGGGATGCATCTTCAACCGCCACGCGACCGAGCGGCTCTTTCAAATCTTCAAGTAACTTCACTCCTTGTTGCACGGCAGCCTCAAGAAGCTCGGGAGTGCTGTCAGCAAATAGATTCTGCAGGGAAAGCTGCTGCAGAGGCTTGGACTCGGGACAATCTGTTGTCGCACTGGCTGTGACTGGAGCGATTTGGGACAACGGAGTTGGTTTTGAAGTATTTTGAGTGAACGGTGAGGAGGACGCGGTTGTAGACAAGTACAGCGAGGGCGGAAGAGACGTTTGTCGCAGTTTTCGTCCTTGTTCAATCCAGATGTTTTGGGAAACTTTATTCAATCTGTCCCAGTCTTGTTTCATCATGATAAACGCTTGATCTGAATTGTACATTAGAATAGGTAAGCAAAAGGAAAGTATGGATGCCGACCTGAATTATAGGTCATCTCGTAGACCTCGAAAATGGCTTTTCGCGAGGAAAAATACTGGTAGAACCCAGCGTTATGGCTTGTAAACTCATGCAGTTCCGCCAGCAATTGAGGAGTGGGTGCAGTGTGGGCGCGAGTAAATAAGAGGGCTCGTTTTTTAAACCATTCGTGGGCGTCCGGAGGCATGGTATTCCACTGTTGAACGAACTCACGCCGATGATGTTCTGTACCTAGTCAATAAGTTGCTTCGTAGGACTGAGTCGTGAAGTGGTAGCTCGCTCACCGATAGATGACTCTGATCCTACACAGCCGGAGTATAGTTCTGCGAGACGCTCATGGACAAAATCACGCATGGCACACTCTGTGATGTAATCCTGAGAACCTGCGGAAAGGGTATTGTGCGCTTGAACGGCCTCTTTCCGTCCAAGGAGACGTGAAGGCGACTCCGATTTGCTGATGCCCCCGGTGCTTGGTGGTTTGGGTGAGGACACTCGATTTTCGTCATTGACGGGCCAGTCTTGAGGCTCAGGCTTAATCCTCGTATCCGACTTCACCAATCCTCCGTTCGCCGGAGCCTGGCTGGAAAGGGCCTCAAGGGGATCCCGTCGCGCTGGGCTGGTACGAGAAGCCAGTTCTGATTGCTTGATCGCTTCGACGGCGATGACACGGTCAGCAAAGGTGTCCAGTTCCGCAACAGTGTCCATCGAGGCCACGACGATGCCATTGTGCCGGAACACGATCGGTTCCTTGTGGGAAGCCCGTAACAGGTATTGCTTCCTGATATCTTCGAATTTCGTACGCTGCAGTCGATCGAAAGGCACGTCAGTATCAGCTCGGCTATTGCTGGGAGATCTTGTGGCTCACTCACGCCGCGACATTTGATCCACAGGACATCCGTCTCGTAGTCCGCATTGTGGGGGGTCTTGTTGTCGTGGAGGACTCCAACCCAGAAGATGTTTGGACTCAAATGTTCGTCCGGCGTCTTGGACTTGACGTTGCGATGAAAGGCACTGCCATGGTTCAATGCCTGGTTAGGTGGGTCCCACGAAGGAAAATGATGGGTGCGACACTCACATTGTATTGGCCTCCATGGCCCTGAAGGGTGGTAAGGACAGCATCTAATTATCAAAGAGGTGAATGGGACCATGCACACTTGAGTGTATACCTCATACTGAAACAGAGAAATCAGAATATTGATGGACTGGTTGGATGGAGAGTGAGGTGACGACTCCCTACCTAAGGTTTCTGCGCTTCCCCTTGACGCCATACAACAAAAAGTCCCGCTGTCGCGTCAACGCGTTGAGGTACATTGCCTGATCGGGGTTTGCGCTTCTGGTACCTGAGACTTTCCTTATTGGGATGGAACTTACATAATGCATCACGTGATACTGGCTTCTGGTGAAGATGGTCAAGAAGACATCATCACTCAGAATGAACATGGAAGAGTTTGAGAAGATCTGACGCCGAGAGCTGGTTTCTGTTCTACTAATGAGTCTCAAATGAGTATCGCGTCAATGAAAGGTGACGAGAACTCTGTCCCTACATATCATGCTATTTCTGGTCACTACTAGGCCAAAATATATTTCGGCAGCTATGGCTGAATGAACCCGCCCTTTGCAAATCGCAGGTGCAGGATACAAGTCTACAACGAACTGGTATAAGAGATTCCAGGTGGCCTCAATTTCCTCCCCTAATACACAGACCACAAAGAAGGGAAAAAGTCTGCTTCTCTGATTGTCCCTCAACTTCTCTTCAAGCCATAATGTACGGAGTAGTGCTCTCATGATTAATGGGGGTATCCTCCTTGTTGAGAGGACCTGGGAAGAGCGAAGAACTAATGCAAGCACAATCGCTGAAAACAATGATTATGATTCAAGTGAGATTTGAGCGGACCGAATCGCCGAATTAGACATCAAAGAATCTCGCACTTTGACCGTCGTATCATGGATATGAGTCGCTGAGACAGAGAACGTCAGGATACTGATGCCATATGCCAAAACAGCCGCCTGAAACTACTCAGTCCTCGCTAGACAGGCCACAATTACTGGATATTGACCACAGCATAACCTCAATTCAGGCTAGATATGCCAAGGGGCCCCGAAATTAGCCTATTTTCCCCACACAAGCTCCCTTGATTTACATCACTTTCGGCAGGTGAAACGCGGGATGTTTCTTCAGCGTTCCAGGATCAAGAATCAAGACAACCCGGCAGAACAGGGCATTTCTCCGGACTACCTAGTGCTTGGGACCGGAACATGACCAATCCTATGGCTGGCCCCGACTGTTTACCCAATAAATGCAGTAGGTTCGATGTGTCTGGCCAGCTCTGTTGCAGGGGTGCGGGTTATAAGCGTTTCTAGACATATCGTGCGCTCTTTTCGCTTCACGGCTAAAATCACCTTCGAACCCAGGTCTTCAGTCGTCTTTTGAGCCAATTCGTCTTTGGAGAAAGTGATCTCAACTCATCCTCTCGGGGCAAAGGAACAGGTTTTGAAAAGGAGATCGGACGACAGGATAGACAAGTGACATTGTTCCTCTGCAGATCGTGAGGGCTTGTCTGCGAAGCATTGGGTCTATAAAAGAGATCATCACCATCCTCGGGATACCAGAAGCTTGACGTACAGATTCCACAAGCTCGTTCAAATCGGAATATCTGCCCGTTTCTCGATATCATTGCCAAGCATGTTGTTCACAGCAGTGACTCTCGCTCTTTTGGGCCAAGCTTTGGCTGGCCCTGTCGATCTTGAAGAACGCCAGAGCAGCTGTCCCAATATCCATGTCTTTGGTGCTCGTGAAACCACCGCCCCCGCCGGCTATGGTTCGTCCTCCACCGTTGTCAATCTGATCCTCAACGCCTACCCAGGCTCCACCTCCGAGGCAATCAGCTACCCTGCTTGTGGAGGTCAGTCTTCCTGCGGCGGAGTCAGTTATGCCAACTCGGTGGTTGCCGGAATCAACGCTGTCGTGAGCGCCGTGAACTCGTTCAATCAGAAATGTCCAAGCACCCAACTGGTCCTTGTCGGATACTCTCAGGTATCTTCCGCTTATTGAATTATCCAGACGCGTCTAATTCTGTGGTAGGGCGGTCAAATTATGGATGACGCCCTTTGCGGAGGTGGAGATCCCAACCAGGGCTACACCAACACGGCCGTTCCGCTGTCCGCATCGGCCGTCAACATGATCAAAGCGGCTATCTTTATGGGCGATCCTCGCTTCATTGCGGGTTTGTCGTATGAGGTCGGCACCTGCAAAGCGGCTGGCGTAAGCAAGACCTTTGATCTTCCTTGAGTTGTGATGTTCGGATCTAACCACTCACCGTCATCCAGTTTGACCCTCGTCCTGCTGGCTTTAGCTGCCCATCTGCAAGCAAGATACAGTCGTACTGCGATGCTGCCGATCCATACTGCTGCAACGGAAACGATGCCAACACTCATCAAGGCTACGGAACCGAGTACGGACAGGCAGCTCTTACCTTCGTCAAGAGCAAGCTGAGTTCGAGCAGCTCGGGAGGAGGAGGCTCAGGTGGCTCGGGCGGCTCCACCGGAACCGTTGCCCATTACGGTCAGTGTGGAGGTCAAGGATGGACTGGCGCCACCTCGTGCCAGAGTCCCTATACCTGTACGGTTATCAGCCAGTGGTACTCTCAGTGCCTGTGAGCTTGACAGACCGAGCGTTGTGGTTTGTGATAAATCCTGATGTTTTGAGGGATATTACTGCCTGGATAGTTGTAAGAGATATCTTTCTTCTTCTGCTTGCCTCTTTGCGTTGTGTGTCTTTTTTCCTAGGACCGAACATTTCGCAGAGGACAAATATGAATAATTCACACCGAGCGGAAAATCTACGGACAGATATCGAACTCACATAATATGAACTGATTTTCTCGGTATTTGATGCGTACACTAGCTCCGGGAAGTAGGTGGCTATTGACATCGTCTTCGACCATGGAAATCAATAGCTTCTGACTTCCACAGGGTATATTACTGCCGGCCATCTTCCGATCGGGAACCATAAGACTGATAGACAAGAATGGCATTTTACTACGCCTTTCGACTGCCGGAGAAGCGCAAAGGGGAATTTTGGCCCGCTGTGTTTCATCAGCCATGATCACGTGTGGGAGGCATGCCTCTGGATCTGGTTGGATTTCCCGCAACTTCAATCATGAACCTTCACGAATCTGGGCCAATCCATCCCTCATTCATCTGTCAGGACTGACAAGGCTGTATTGTCCGCTGAATGATTCGTCAAACCTTCGCAGAATCTCCACAATCGTGGCTTGATGCCACAGCAATGCGGGGGATGTGCGGGGAACTTGTCCAAAGAAGGACAAAGTTTTTCTGCGGAGACTGCGCAAATGGCTGGGTCATCCGGGGTAGAAGTCCGGGGTAGGATGGCTTTCTCCAGCCTTGCCATTGTCCAATGATTAACTCACTGCATCACTATCAAGACATCCTGGTTTAGATCTACAGCGCCTGCCGACCACATAGATCTTGAGGAGTTGAGGGTCCTGGAGTGGAATTTCTGCCCGCCTCAGATACATCTAGAGGTTCATGATTTGACCAAATTACATCACCACTGAAGACACCGGCCTCTGTCTCATCGTTTTCAATAACCGATCATCGCTATATATATCGCCCCAGAAGGGACTCGAGCGAGACACCTTTCCATCTTCAGCCATCCTCATCTGTCTAGGTCGATAGCTTCTTCTGCACTCCACTTGCCATCTCCACCTTTCAATCATGGGTCCTGACCTCGAGGCAAGCAAGTCCTCCCTGGATCGGAAAGAGTTCCCATCTGCGGAACATGTCGAAGGAACTGCCGTTGGTATCGTTCATGCGGTAGACCCTCACCAACTCGAATTGCTGCCTCACGGTCCCAGCGGATTCAAGGGCATCTTCGGCTCCAAGTATGTCTTTGGCGCAGCTTTCCTGGCCTCCATGGGCGGATTCTCCATGGGATACGACATGGGAGTCATTTCCATCATCAACTCGATGGACAAGTTTCACGCGGTGTATCCGCGTGCCGAAACTGCTTTTGGCAAAGGATTCATGACGGGGATGTTGCTGCTAGGTGCATTTGTTGGCTGTATCTTCATGCCATATCTGGCGGATCGCGTCTCTCGCAAATGGGCCCTCACGGCTATGGTGATCGTCTTCAACGTCGGAGCCATTCTTCAGACGGCCGCAACCAACTACGACATGCTTGTCGCGGGACGCTTTATCGGAGGCATCGGCGTTGGTACATTGGCAATGGTATACGTTCCACTCAATCGGCAGTGTTTCCACCAAGATTAATGGGTAAAATCATAGGGTGCACCGCTCTATATCTCCGAAGTCTCTCCACCCCACATGCGAGGCACGCTCCTTGTCCTCGAATCCATCTCCATCACCCTGGGAGTCGTCATTGCGTTTTACATCACTTACGGCACCAGACACATGACTACAGAAGCCTGTTTCCGACTCCCCTTTGGTCTGCAAATGGTGACCGCAACGATACTCGGCGCTGGCATTCACTTCTTCCCGTACTCTCCTCGGTGGCTTGCTTTGGTCAACCGCCAGGATGACTGCATGTCTAGCCTGTGTAAATTGCGAGGACTGCCAAGCACAGACGAGAGAGTCCAAGCGGAGCATCAGCAGATTGTGGCCGAGATCAACTTCCAAAAAGCCGTCCTGGCGAAAAAGCACCCTGGTGCATCCGGTATCAAGCTCGAAGTTCTCTCCTGGATGGATCTCTTCACCCGGAAGATGTGGAAACGCACCGCCGTCGGTATGGGTGTCGCATTCTTCCAGCAGTTCTCGGGAATCAACGCTTTCATCTACTACGCGCCAACACTGTTCGAATCCCTCGGCCAGACCTCGGAGACATCGCTCATTCTCTCCGGTGTCTTCAACGTTCTCCAACTCATTGCAGCCGTTGTCTGTTTTCTCGTCATCGAAAAGGTCGGCCGGCGCCCCCTCGCTATCTTCGGTGGCTTTGGTACTGCAGTGGCCTATATCATCATCGCCATCCTTTCGGGTCTTTACTCGACTGATTGGGCATCGCACACGGCCGCCGGCTGGGGCTGCGTTGCCATGGCGTTCATCTTCATCCTCGTTTACGGAGTCACCTATTCCCCACTGGGTTGGGCCCTCCCATCGGAGGTTTTTGCGACTACGTCTCGGTCCAAAGGTGTCGCTCTCGCCACATGCACCATCTGGCTGTCGGATTTCATTGTTGGCATTGTCACACCTTCCATGCTGGCTGACATTGGCTATCGAACCTACATCTTCTTTGCCGTGATGTGCTCGCTGGCAGGTGTCTGGGCGTTTTTCCTAGTTCCTGAGACGGGTGGGAAGACACTAGAAGAAATCGACGAGTTATTTGGCGATTCCAGCGCGCGGGAAGAGTGGGAACTTGCCCAGGAAGCAATCATGACTGGAAGTACCAAATAGGTAGGCTGTGGCCTTGACTGTGGTTCACTAACCCTGTATCATAGTTTGGTTAGGTAGTTTAGTAGTCTTTCCGCTAATATATGAAGGAAATGAATAGTATTATCCAGACGGAGGAGCCATAACAAGAATAACATCTTCCTGTGTCTTTGTTCGAGAAGATATAAAGTCCCCAACTCTCCGGTCGAGCAAAGGGTATACCAGGCTAGCATCTACTAAGTAAAGTCGAAACGCAAGAGGAATCGGAAGAATCGGGCTGGCAAAAGAGGGAAGGAACCGCCTCTTAGGCCGCCATGGACGGCTTTGCCACCTTTTTTAACCCTGATCTTGGCCAATGATCTGCTTCAAGCCTACGGCTATACCCCAGGAAGTGCAAATAAGAATTCGAGGAGTATCACAAGGCGGGCAAACCTCCAGTCTTGCCCATTATGTTTTCTGGTAGCATAGAGCATAGCTCAGTGGGACTTTAAATACATTATGAAATGAAGGTGATACAATTCAAGCATCACATAGATCGATTCCATAGCGATAACATCTCTCAAAAACAATTGGATGATGTTCTGCGTGGTTTGGTGTAGAACTAGATGATAAATCCTCCACTCAAGAATGCCTTAGCATCTTCTTAGCAGCGAGCTCTGTCGTTGATTATATGTGGTCTTCTGCTGCCCATGAAGTTCCGAAGGCGAGATAAGTTCAAGGCTCTCGTTTCGGTGTAATATGCATCATTGCTAGTATATATTTAGCCTATTAAATCTCTCAGGCAGGCTGCAGGGGCTCTCACCTGTCTTGATTGAAGAGAATACTGATGTTGATCGCTTTTGCTCATCCTGTTGGCAGAGAGTCTTGTCACTGCTTATCGAGGCAGTCTCGTTATGCGAAAGAGCGGCCCTCTCCTGCTCCTTTTGCTGTCTTTGTTTGAATACCATCTGGACTTGGTCATCGTCCGAGATGGTGCGGAAATTGGGGAGTCCTGAAGGCATGATGATGAAGTCGTCAACAGTTAGAAGGCTGAAATCAAGATAAGTGCAGAATCTCTGGTGAAAGAACAGAACTCGGAGCAGAAGATTGTCTGATATTTATAATGCTTTTGTCCTTGATATTTTCGATGCTATACAGTATAGATGCCAGGCATGCTGGTTGACGTAAGCGCAGCCCTAACCCATTCTTGTCCCCGACGCTATGAGTCAAAGAGGACACACGATGATGGACAAATAGTGACGCATCGTTGAGGCAGTCATATCGCTTTTGTTGGTAATATGCCTGATCTGTATCATATCCTCAAGAATCAAATTGTTGAATTCCTGAAATGGATGACGAATTGGTGAATTGGTAGCGGCGGTTAGGCCGCGAAGGCTACAGGCGGGCTGTGCTCGTATAGTTACTTACAAGGCTTTCTTCAAATGACTCAGAATGAGTCTGTTTTTACCAACGTGTAGGATGACTAAAGAGGTCCTCTCCACAATAAGCAGCCGCAGTCTTGTCCTTCGGTCCACCAAAGCTTGACTTTGATTGACATTTTAGAGCTCAGGTGTGAACTAGAAACTGGACTCTGCAGTCTGAATATAAGCATGTGATCATGATCTAGTGATCCATGGCAGATGTCGGAGTCATTGTTTCATCATAGCAGTAGAAACTCGCTGAGATTGCCGGCCATCTGTCTCTTACTCTCTTTTTGTATACCATGATCAGCATCTTTCATGCATATCTTCTTATTCAAAGTCTACAAGATGCCTTCAAAAGGCAAAGTGCGAGCGAGAAATCCAACCAGCTCAAAGACTCGCAACTGCCCAGGCTGAGACTTCAGAGGAGGGTCCACCAGACGATGAGGAGTCTAGGTAACGAGTCGGAGAAAGAGCCAGAAAAGCTTCGCGCAGAATACTGGAAGCATCAGCGTTGTATGCAAGATTCGAGAAGAAAAAGGCGGATCATCGATCGGAAAAGAATGGTATCTGCTGATTCTGCTCCGTCAGCATAGAAATCGTCACAAGTTATTGTCCTCGTGGCTCGCGACCGAATAAAATGCGCTGACGTTGGTTCTTTCTCTGGTCGTCCTTGTCGATGCCGCGAGAAAGTTGCCTATTCAACGTACGCACAGCCCAATAGCGGGGGAGTGAACATGGTCGAGGGGCATTGCACAGGATAGTATCCCCGTCATATCAACTTCAGGCAGTGCTACACCCCTCGTTCTCTCCTCCGGAAACCAAGTTTGGCCGGTCTTGAACGCGCGACAACTGACATAGAGGACTTACTCAATCTGTATTACTTGAACGGATTGGACCAATCTAGCTGAATGGAATTGTCGACCCCGTATCGGGCAGCATACACAAGACCCGAAGCCCTTATTGTCTCTTGAGAGCTTGCAGGAGCCTGCAGCATATGATCATTGAGGAGACTCGAGGGTGAGCATGAGACTGTACCAGCGAATATACCTAGAGTATTTACTAGACATATCATTGTTGGCGAGTGAGGATTGTTGTGAGCATGTGTAAGTGTAATGGTGATGCTGCAAGGAGAACTTCTAGCTCGCACATGGGCGGCCATGGATACTCCTCCAGAGCTACGAGCCGAGGGTGAACTGATTCTCATTGTTTCCTATGTGGTGGGAGCTTCTGGCCTTGCTTGCTGACCGACTGAGTGGTTCTGCATAGGGTCGATCCCTTGCTGCGGATAAGCTGTGTACCTTCTGAGGGCAATGGGCAATTCCGAAGACACGAACATGCAGGGTGGGTTACTGGTCTAGGAAATCCAAGATGACGAGAAGAAGTGGCATAGTGAAGATCTGGATTTCCTTGCGCTGTAAGTCACTACTAGTGCATTATGTCTCTGTGCTAACCCAACAAACATAAAAAAAGAATGGAAATGGACCAAAAAGACCCAGGGCAGTGAACAGGACCTAGATGTTATTTGACCTTGCCAGCTAATCATACAAGGTTACTGTGTGTTCGGTTAGCTGAGGATTTGCATAGATATAGAATGGTTAAAATGTAGATATGAGATAGTGTGGAGTACTCCGTACTCTGTATAGATATAGGTAGTAGCTTTGAGCCCTCTCCTTTTCATTATTATTCTTGAATTCTTCATTGAGAGTGGAGCATTCTGTGTTGTGTCCCAGGTTATGCTTGAATTCTACTGGTTGAATGGGCCGCAAGGAACAATTCTGGAAGGAATCTAGCCAATCATGATAGTATCCGACAGACACAGCCCACATACTGCACCAATCACATTGATTGAGTCTCTCACGATCTGGAGCCCGTCTAAAGTCTCTGAATTCCCTCGGCCAGAGTGACAAAGTCCCGTCAGACCGCAATTTGAGAGGGAGATGCAGCTGCAGATCGCTATAAGAGATCAAAGAGCTCTCCACTCTTGATTGTCTACGAGTCTCCGCGGTGCCGGAGACTCGATAGAAGAGACTTCCCCAGAGTGATTCCTCCTGGAGTCAGAAGCACAAGGCCCAATGAATGGAACGTTCAGCTTTTTATCTTCTATCCGCTGCATGCAAAGATCTCATGTTGCACTAAGTCGGAGCACGGTGTTAGTAATCCGTGCCGGTTCCCGGTTCCCCGGTATCGGGGAGACAGAAGAAAGGATTTTCATTTAAAAAGTGAAAAGTGCTGCTATGGAGAACAAAAGTACAGTTTGTCTAGACTCGTTTCTCCTTAATGAGACCACCTAGTCCATAGTCAATAGTCAATACTAATTAATTTAGACCCTTGTCCGCTGGTCAAGTGACCAAAACTTGCCATCGTCGATATCAATACGTAGTAGACTTAGTAGTTGAATCGGGCGATTCCAGACCTCGAAAAAGCAACTATTTTTAGATTAAGCATCAATACTATGGAGTAATCAGGAGACAGTCAGAACGCCAGTTATCAAGCCATCGTCGGGAGAAAAGCGAGGCAGAAAAAGGGGCAAACGGAAGTTCCTCGGAGCTCGGGATTGCCTCAAAGGGCGGTATCACTTTGCCATCCTAAATTCCTAATTAACATTGCAGCAAGGACCGTAAAGGAGTCACTTAGCGGTGTACGGAGATAGATAGACAGTCTTAGCATTCATTCTACAGAGTACTCAGTAGCAGCCAGAAAAACTCGTCGGGTCAGGTGAGATAGTACTAGACAACAGCTAACAGATACCAGTTCATCAAGACAACGAATGACAACTCATCCAGGTGGATAATGGCATTGCTTTTGTGGGTCAATTGCCCCTGTTCCAAAAACTTCGGCTTGTGGGTATCTATCCAATTATTATTGTGTGATCGCCCAGTAACCTAAATTTTTTCGAATTTTCCATGTGTGCGTGCGTGACCACCGAGTCCCCGTGGCTCCATATGATAGTACGATATTAATTGTCAATCCGCGGTGACCGTCGATATTTATCCAGTCCACCCTTTTCTCAAGAGTAGAGACAGATTACGATCCCCCGTCAGTCGCTCAACCCATCCCAATTGCATCTCCACTTGATTCTCTCCCCGTGGATACGCGGGGAAATCAATCGCAGTAATCACCATGGCCTACGACTGCTACTGCGCCATCTGTGGTGTCGGCTTTTGTGGAATGCTCATCGAAACTCCCTCAGAGACAGCAACCGAGCGTCGACGACGGTGGATTGAAAAAAGATCTCAGGCTCTCCAAGCGGGTCAGTCCATCGACCAGGTCCCGCAGGATGGTGAAGAGCCCGTTCGCAGTTACGACCCCAAGATTCTTGGCTGGGAGAACGTAGCATGGCTCTACAAGGCATACTGTCTCGGATTCAACCCTCGGGCTGCCTCGGGAAAGGGAAAGTGAGTGCTTGATGATCGCGTTTCAATCAATCAAGGAGATTGATCTGACCATTTTGAAGAACATTTGTCTCCGGACCGGGCTATTATGCAGACGTTGTATGCTTCTCCTGCCAAGGTTACATCGACGATTCAGCGGGCTGACAGATCATTGCAGGGAGAGATTGCCATCAAGTCTGGCACTGACGCTGTACCTGGTCAAGACCGGAATGTCTATACCTGGTTTGACCACCCTATCCGTCGAACTGGAAAGGATTTATTCTAATGTGATGAAGCTATGGCTCCGGGACCGACGACACCCCCGGACCGGTCATCCCCTTCCACGGATGCTGCTTCGAGATCCTAACTCGCGTCCTCACCAACTCTACCGATAGCTCAACAATCGACATGAAAGTGCTGTACAATGTGATGACAGACTTGTGCAACGAATCCTGCTCCGCTCTGCGACTGAACTATGGCGACGACATTCGGCGGGCGCAAGGCCGCTACTGGGAGTGCATCCCCGGCGCAGAGGCAAGCAGCAACGCAACGACCAAGTCGCATAGTCATCTACTGACCAGTTGCAGTACTGCGCGACACATCCAGTCGAGACATCTGGTCTGGACGATTTCCTCAAACCCGACATGACCACGGACAGCAAATTCAAGAAGCCGTTCGCACAGTTCGATCTCAAGGGCCGATCGCCTGCCAGCCCCTTCGGCAAGCTACCACTCGAACTCGTGTATCAAATTTGCTCCTACCTGCCCGGTGATTCGCTCAAGGCGTTGACTCAAGCATCACTGAGCATCCAGATTGTCACGCAGGACAACTGGTTCTGGAAACGATTCATCCAGTGGGAAATGCCATGGTTCTGGGAATTTTACTCCTCGCAGAAGCCCAAGGATTTGCCGGACGACGTCAACTATAAGCGATTGTACATGTGGCTCGACAAGATGACCGCGGCTCGGTACGGCATGGACGATCTGGCGCTCATTGGGGTTGCGAACCGTCGACGCATCTGGGGCGTATGTGAAGAACTGGCCAGTCAGTACCAGAACGCTGTGGCATCAGCATGAGAGGATGTCTGCGAACATTGACGTGTCAAAACAACAACATGAATGACAAGGCGGGTCGGTCGAATCTCTGCCGCTCACACAAAGCAAAACCGGCCTTGTGCTTGGGACTTTAAGGATCGGCCACTTCGACTTCGATTGAGAACATCCAACCAAAACGATAGAGCAATGTTGCGGTCGCCATGGTCCAAGGAATATCCGATGCCCGAACGAATGCAAAAGCCATCATTATAGCCGATCCCGATTCTGTCCAAGCCGCCGTGGGTGCCTTGATGAGGAAACCAAATCGATCGGATCTAAATGAGACGGCTCTTCCCGGATAGGTCGCATTTTCCGACGGGAAATCCCAAAGGACAAGCTTTTTCTGTTTGGTCGCGTGGCTTTAGACCATACGAAGTCATGGGATAATTGAGAGATATTGAGTCAGATGGGAGGATCGCAGGGGTGTAAGGGGGCCGAAATAGGTCGTCCCTAGCTAATATGCAGGAAGAACATAGATATATACCTGGAGTTTTGGATAGACGGATACACCACGATGATAGAATAGACTTCCTAAATATTGATATATATGCTATTGTGATGCAATTATGATGCTCTGTCGACTATGAAGCTCGGATGCCGTAATATATGAATCATGTCTAAAGACTATTCTAGCATCTTAGGCCCTGGCATGTTGATTATGAAAACATACGGGTCTGTGATTACATTAATGTAAAGACAGAATGACCCTCCCAATCAGTTTCGAAAGGCCTGGACTCATGGATCCCAAGACAGAATGAGCCTCGAATCTTGTCCTAAAGTGTGATAGCATCATGTTAGCTGCGGGTGAGATTTAAGCGTCAGCGCTTAGTCTTTGTTGCGAGGATGAGATGACGATGGTTGCTGCCTGGGAACTGATGGACGTCTGTCCTCCGTGTCTCTGTTTATAAAAGGCCCCCAGGTTTCGGCCCCAAGCATCAATATTTGAGCCAGCAAGGCCGAATCAGAAACAAGAACACGTTTGTGAATCATGGCAGTCATCCAAAAAGTCGCCATTTTCGGTGTAAGCCCGACTCTCCGGCGTCCAATATGACGAGAAACACATCTACTGACCTCCCTACCGGCCTCTGGCAACTTTGGCACCCCCATCACAGCAGCCCTACAACGAGCGGGCTTCACCGTAACAATCATCACGCGGACCGAATCCAAGTCGACGTTTCCTCCCGACATTCCAGTAATCAGAACGACTTACACCCTGGAGAACCTCACATCAGCCCTAGCGGGACAGGATGCAGCCGTCTGCGTGGTGGGTCCCGGCGGTATCGGGGCACAAGTCACCATGATCGATGCCGCCGAGGCCGCGGGCGTGAAGCGCTTCATCGTGGATGACTTTGGCTGGGGTGTCAATCCCAAGTCTTCCCCTGAGTTCGACGCCATTCAGGCGCATCGTCGTGCGGGATGGGATCATGCAAAGGCGAAGGCAGACAGCAATCCTGATTTTACGTACACGGGAATCAGCACTGGGAATCCTATTGATTGGGTGAGTGACAGCTATCCGTTTCATACGCTCGCCTCGAGGCTAATCAACTCTCAGGCGTTGAAACGCTTCCCCCTGATGGTCTTCGATGTGGTGCGCTGCTCGGCTATCATCTATGACTCTGGCACCGAACAATTCACTGGCACCACACTCGAGGGTATCGGGCAGTCGGTTGTCGGCGTCTTGCAGCATCCAGACAGGACAGCCAACCGCTTTGTCAAGGCGCAGTCCATCATCACCTGTCAAAACGAGCTGTTGCAAGCCTTTCAATCTGTGACGGGGAAACAGTGGGAGGTACAACGAGCGTCCACCCACACACTCATGGAGGACGGGAAACGCAAATTTCAGGAGAGTGTCAGTGGTTGGGTTCTGGACTTGGTGGTGGCACAGTTGTTCGATGAGGGCCAATCTCGGTGTCTTATTGCTCCGTCACGAGAGGAATCAGATGCGGATTTATTGGGAATCGCAGAGGAGACTGCAGAGCAAGTGGTGGCCAAGGCTCTGGCTTCATAACTGATGGACTAGGAGACTCAAACCACTGGCTAGTATGAAATCGCCTTGAAGGCGCTATCCTACGTTTTATTAGTTTAGTAGCCACGAATCAAGTGTCTGCGTTCCTCGTTTTTCTGACTTTCAGGATGAGAGACTGCCGGTGAGGGAAAGAATAAACCAACTTCCATATTCAAGCTTGCGGTCCAACCCGAGACAGAAACATTATTTCCCCCATGACGATCATCCCTGAGGCACAAACTTGCGAAACTTCCTGACAGGCACCTTATCTTCGTACAAGTGATCAATCTCCTCGGTTGTCAACCCCGTAGTATCGGGGACGTAGAACCAAGCAACCAGGAGCAAAATCACTGTCAGACCCGCAAACGGGAAAGCAGTGCGGGCTCCCAAGTTGCCCGAGTCAACATTGTACATGTATGGAACGCTAAAATTCGTGACCCAAGTGGACAGCGTCTGGGCAAAATACCCAATTGAAAGGGATTTGGCGCGTAGACGGTAGCTGGAGATCTCAGCAGCAATGGGCCAACCCCCAGCCTGCATAAGACTGGTTTGGAAGGAGATGAGGAGGTTCCTATTGAGGATCGGAAGGTTAGTCTGGTCCGGAAGGATATCGATATGGCTGGAGGCAGGAACCAACAACACTCACATCAACACTGCAATGGCCCAAGTGGGACCGGTGCCGGATGCATAGTAGAGACTACCAATGATGATCAAAAACACGAGGTTGATCACCAAACCGATGAGCAGCATGGTGCGCTTGGTGAGAAATTTTCCCAGAGCTCCTGTCAACAGGATGATGATGACCGCCAAACCAAATCCGCCGATGGAGATGTCAAAAACATGCACGGCAGGGAGACCAAGAGTAAGAAGGAAATAGATGGACTGCGCGAGGAATGCAGCTCCACCCAGGTTGCAAGTGCTGTAGAGGAACATCGCCGTCAGAGTGCGCTTCAGATTGGTGCCCTTGAAGCAGTCGAGGTAAGATCCCGGGGAGATTCTGTCCTGCTCTTGCTCCTCGGAGATGGTCTTGACGAGGTACGCCAAACGGTCATCGATGCTAATCCTCGAGCTGTAGAGCTTCTGCAGGACCTTTTTAGCTTCATCGACACGGCCTGAATTTACAAGGAAGACTGGCGACCTATCAAATCGTCAATAACAGAGGGCCGAAAATATTCGCGGAACTCACTCTGGAACAAGAAGGAAGGCAATCGTCATCAGACCTCCAACAGCCCACTGGATGGCGAATACGGTCCTGAAAGCGTGTTCTTCCATGCTTGGGACGAATATGCGCACGATTCCGAGAGCCAGACCCTGCATGAAGACAATAAACAGGACAAGGGCAACCTGAATGGGATTGCGCAGGGAAAGAGGTGCAACCTAAGAATTGGTTAGAAGGCAGTAAACATGAGATAGAAGAATGCAGCTCACCTCAGAGGCGTAACTCGTCCCTGTCGCTAATCCTGCGCCAATCGAGAAACCACAGATCATCTTGCCAGCAAGCAACGCTCCTCTGCTCTTCGCCGTAAAGAGGACCGCAGTTCCAGCCAGAGAGATAACTCCCGCGATGACTCCGGGCCACTTCCGACCAAATCGATCAGAGACCATACCAACCGCGATAGCACCCAATGCTTGAAGGAGCGAGGTCATTGACGTCCACAGGGAAGTCCAGATCGACGGAAGATATAGCCCGGTCGACCCAACGTCGCCAAAATAAAGGATGAAGGAAGGCATGGCAATGGTGGAACCATTGCTTATTTGATCGTAGCCGAACATGAGACCCGCAGCAAACGCAACACTGCCTATGTGGATGGTGACTAGTTCAGCAAGGAGCATCAAAGATGTCGGAGAGAATACGTACAGACTAGAACTGCGCAAGGGTGCAGCTTCATTGTCGCCCACACACTCAGCTGACGCTCTTCTTCCTGGATTTGACGCCCTCTTTCAGCCGGATCGTCGAGATTTCCCTTCACCTTTTCGATATGAGCGGCGACTGTCTCGGGGTCCTTATCCGACATGATGATGGCTGTTGGTTATGCGTTGTAAGACAGATGATGGTCAAGAGCTCAATTGTCGGACCGACAGAGCGAGATTGAAGTTGAAGATATAGGGCGAAGCTTGGAATTTGAGTAGGTGAGCAGCTGATGATATTGACAGTTCCCCGTGGGGAAAAGGCTGTGGAGAGAGGATAGAGTAAATCGTTGTTATTATCATCAACTCACCCCATCTTCGCCAGCAGGATTATACCGAAGAGTACCTAGACATTGAAAGAGTCTGCTGTTAACTTTCTTCCAAACTCTACACGGGGTATGGGCTATGGGGACCCTATTTGACGATTTCACTGGCCGGAACCGAAAAGAGAAACGTTTAGCAGAGACGCCACAACTGGAATATCCGAACTGCGCATTCTTGACTTTCCACAACTCGGGAAATCCGGCTTTTCTGATTGGATAACCAGCCGACATGCGAGTACTTGGAGTCTTTTGACCTGCTTCCAAGGGGATAGCTCTTCCGTCTGGACATTCCGGCCTCTATCCTTCGGGCTGATAGTCACCGAGAATTCCTTCTATCCGTTGATCATACTGATACAGCATCTCTTCGTGCGGAGAGTGGAGCTTCGCCAGAGATCTGGGGTAGTGAGACATTACCGGAAGGGCCATGTGGGATTGATATTAATGCAAGTCCGGCTTATCAATATCAATTCATGTAAATGTTGCAATTTCTCCTTGACAAAGAGCATGCCGAAGCCGTATGTCTGGAATAGCCATTTATGAGCATCCCAGGAGAGGCTATGCGCATGTCGCAAATCGTCCGCCAGGCCCGGACGAGTGCGTAACAGCGCAGCGGACGCGCCGTAGGCGCCATCAACATGCAGCCACAGGCGTTCGTTGCGAGCTACCTCTGCGAGTTCGGCGATAGGGTCGATAGTACCTGTATTGGTACTGCCAAAAGTGGCCAGCACCAAGAATGGAATCATTCCCTTCTTTCGCTCCTCGGTGATCATGGTCTTCAGCGTGGAAACGTGCATTCTAAAGGAGGAATCGGACGGGATGGTTCGCAATCTATCTCTAGGGAACCCTATAATTCTAGCTGCCTTGCTGACCGAGTAGTGAGCTTGATCGCTTGTATAGATGATCCCTCGAGAAAAGTCCTCATGCGTAAGTAAGTCATCTCGAGCCACAACCATCGCTGACAGGTTCGCAACGGAGCCGCCGGACACGAAGATCCCACCGGCAGAAGGAGGCAACCCGATCCTCGATGCAAGCCACTCTATCAGAGCGCGTTCTATTGCACACGGACCGGAGCCAGCCACTCTACCCCCGACATGTGCGTTAAATGCCGACACGATAGTGTCACCCAACCAGCTCAACTGCATGGCAGTGAAAGGAATGAACCCCACGAAAAGAGGGTGATTGGTCCGAATACGCCTGTCGAATATTTCCCAGGCTTGATGAATGACTTGCAAGATCGGCTTGGGCGAAGTAGGGGCAGCCAACGCCTCAATTCTAGAGACTTCATCTTGGTCTTCATCATTCACGATCGTTTCCTCCGTGCCAGGACTGCTGATGGCACGAAGATCACAAAAGACACGTTGAAGCTCCGGCCAGATTGCATCAATCTCGGCGTTTAAGTCTGAGGGCACTAAACACTGACTCGAGTGAGTCCCCAGTGGTCCTGTAATTGAGTCCGCAGAGAAGTCTCCCATAGTGGCGATTCTCAATGCAGGTTTTTTTGATGGACCCGGGATTCACGACTTCCTATACGAAATACTCTAGACGCGGCCACTCTTCAGTGCTGGATGCAAGGGTGCGAGCAGAAACTAGATAAATCAGAGAATCAACGCCACATCCTCGGTGCATGATCACTAGACCTTGTTTCTCCCCTCGCGTAATTCATATGCAACACTCACGAGCCAAGGAATGTCGCTGGAGGTTACTTCCATTTGATATCCGGTTCCTCAATGGATCCTGCTACGTGCGTCACCAGCACATCTTGAAAGCAAGTTAGGACACACGGGCTTCCTACCCATTTTGTACGGATGGTATTACTCGAAACAACTTTTTCCTCGCCAGGTTGACGGGGGCATGATCCAAAAAGTCGGGCAACAAAGTTCAGACCTCCTTTTAACGTTGATACACTCTCCATCCAGAGGGAATCCGGTGTTTTCTTACTTCCCACATGGGTTGATTTCACTGTGCATGACAAATGACACCCTTACAACAATGTTGGGAACATCATATGGGAAGAAAAACAGGGTATTGGGACATATACCAACGATCTGCCTTGTTCTTATCCCCAATAAAAGCTAGAACAGGTCCTGTATACTCCATTCCTGTTTATGCAAATTTACTTACTCCTTACAGAAAGATTTCAGCCCAACACCATGCTGTCATATTGGTGACCCTTAGAGAAACAGTCAGTGGATCACCCATCACTCCGTTTGGTTAAAAAGTCCTCATGACACTAACAGCTGCTTATCCTATGACTTTCCTAGTCAGTCTAGTATCCTGTCTTTGTATGATTTCCTGCAAACTTGCCTGCATAATGTTGCAGGACGAAGACTTACGGATCCAGAACAGCAACGTTTTTGGTCAGCTTCGGGCCTATTTTGATGAACTTGATAGGAAATCGACGTTTGATAATCCACTCGGTATGTCGACGGTATCATTAGACTGGTTGAATTTCTGGGTGCAGTACGTCTGCAGAAGAGTGGATTATCAGACGAGGAAAGTATACGCCACCGGTAAAATTAGATATGATTCAGGAGTTATAATTCCGGAGAATCGCCATGACCTACCGCACCTAGTCGCGCACCTCATTTGTAGATGAGCAAATCGTCAAATACTATTCCATGCGGACATATGTGCGCAACCCTAATGCAAGTCTAGAATATTCAAAGAACCCAACCGACGCGGAGAAGGATCCCTTGACATGGGTGAGAATAGATCCTAGGAGCTCAAATCAGTAAAGTGGCACTGTCGATTAATGTCCTATGTAGTAATATCTTGACTATATCTAAGACGACGAGAGCGACAGGATTACCACTCATTAATATCCATCGTCATATTTGAACCATATCAGACTCTTGTGCACCATCTGGATGTGCCCCATGATGTGCATAGGATTCCCTGCATAAAAGTGCTACAAGCACTGAGAGTAGTACGAGTTCGAGACCTTGCAAGTGCCCGAAGAGCAGCAAGTAGGGCCAGACCAGCCGATTCCACCGCATTGGCCGTACAAAGCAGAGCACTATTCACAGTCAGAAAGACACCTCCCCACAGTCAGTTGGAAGAGGACTTACACTGCCGGAGCCGCCAGTAGAGGAGCTGCCTGAGGAAGTAGTTGAAGAGCTGCCACTGCTTCCGCCTGAAGAGGAGCCACCAGATGAGACCGTGATGGTCGAGGTACCGCTGCTCTCGTAACCTTCAGTGGAGACGATCTGATAGTTATGGGTACCCAGGTTCATCCCCAGGCTAGCCCAGGCCTTGAAGTGATTCGCGGTGGTGACGGTGCCACTGGACCGCTTGTTTTGGCGGATGGACCAGTACTGGTTGAAGGTGGCCGTGCCGGAGATCGAAGGCTGGTTGACCTGTTGGTGCTCGTAGATGTCGTAGGTGGATCCGTCGCTGGTGACGGTGCCCTTGTGTGTCATGCTCGATCCAGGGTTGTAGCTGCCATAGTTCTCGAGGATGTAGTATTCGACCAGGGGGCCAGTCGTCCATCCATACACGGAGAGGTAGGCATTTCCGGAGGGACTGAAGGTGCCAGAGAAGGTAATGTCTCTAATAAGGAAGCTTAGTACTTTCCCCTGTCTTTTTAATAACTCTCTGACTTTACTTACTGTTCACTGCCAGGATTCCAGCCCTTCCCGCAGGTAAAGTCACCACCGTTCTGATTCGCCCAGGTCACACTATATTCGCCGCCGGCGCCGTTGGTGTATTGCACCGATCCGGCACCGTTGGTCCAGAAAGAATAATAGTACCCATTGTTTGTGCCGGTCTGGCTGGAAGTGATGGTCTGGCGTTCCGCCAAGTTGACGGACTGGTCCCCCGGAAGAGCAAACGCGCCGGCGATAGCGGCGAGACCAAAGCTAAGCGAGGAAAAGGAGATCATTTTGATACTTGACTTCAGGGGCTCTATTGAATAAGAGTGACGATTATCAGAGTGCTTTCCCAAGGAGGACAGGTCCTCCTTATATGCTTTTTTCGGCTAAATTGACACATTTTCGGGCATCTTAGCTCAATGATAACTCCACCCCAGGGAGTAAGCTTTGTCTTGGATGATCTTGCTTCTCGGCATCAATGGTTTCCCCAGATTATCCCAGCGGCTAAAAGCTTAGGGTTTATTTCCCTCTTCTGCAGAAGTGCAGACGCAGCCCAGCTTCGGCAGTCAACTATCTTCACGGAACCAGGCCCGACGAGGCGACACTTTACCGACAGCCTAAAAGGATGATCTTTTTTCAAACCACAGGGTACAATCTAGAAGGAGAGAAGGTCCCAAGGCTCATTACAACCTAGAATCGATGACACGAGCAGTAACCCAGACTAAGACTACTTTGGTCAGCGAAGCATCAATGGATATCTATTTCGGGGGGATCCACTCCACCCTGTAATGATTCCCCTTTTCAGAACTGGTCTCTTGAGACACTTTGGCTCCAAGCAAATGCCCAGACTCGGCGGCCGAAGCTTACTCCTTCCCACTAACTACTAGTTGGTCCAAGAATATTCATTTCGAAATGCTGGGCATAGATAATCTGCAGGTATTGATTTTGCTGGAAAACATGAAGATAATTGCATTCGGTGGCTCGTATAACAGGCAAAGAAAGACGGGGAATGATAGTCACTCGGGTCTGATTGTTGTCTCCGAATTAAGGATGATGGCTACTGAGTCAAGATTGATTTATTGTTAATAGCCGGCGTTAGAGAGTGAACCCAGTACTAAAATGATTTTGGTGTGGAGTTTTGCCGGATGTTTCATAAACCTCTAGCGGCACAAGAGCGAGTAAGAAATCCATGCCTCGGTCTGGGCCATCTCAACCTTTTCATCATACAGGCTATGAACTGTCAGACAGCGATAACCTCCAGTTAGACAGCTACCGGCGAGTGACGTTCTCCTTTGCAGGATCAGTAGCATGGGGAGAATAGTGCTTCCGGCTCCCGCATTAAGCAGAAGCCTGGCAATCTCCGACTGAGCATTTCTATTCCCATTCACCTTGCCCTTCTCCAGCTGGTCTTTGTGCAGATAGGACGATTCCAAACCGAGATTACCTTAACAGATCCAGTTGAGCGCCCTGATTCTATCTCAATCAAATATTGTATGAGGGTCGACAAGTCTAGAGAGCTTTCTTGCCTTCAGCCGTTAAGGAACGGGTGTTCCATCAACTCACCCGCTGTCTGTCTGTCTTCCGGAAGCCAGGCAAGCATGTGATTGACAAAAGACAAGAAGGCTTGTCTCTCCTTCTCCTCTAAAGTCGAGATTGAATCCTCGAGTTTTCGGGCGGGTATCAGATCATCATAAAGGAATTGGCCTGTCAGGAGAATTGAATCAGAAATAATGAACATCGATGTTGAGTGCCAATCTCACCACAAATTTTCTTTCTCGATAGTATGGTTGTTCACATCGATGAGCGAAAGGCAATAGTGGTTGATCATAGTGGGCGATACTGCATAGGATGTTCCAACTAAATATATATCTTTGGTGACATCAAGCAGGCATCAACAATCCACAGCCAAACGTTGCCGAATGAGATAAATAGGGACAGGATAGGAGACTGAATTTTGAAAAGACGCACTGAGGGTCTGAGCCAGATTGAGTCTTTCATGTTACCATGACCATCTTGACTGTACATGGATGCAAAGACACGAAAGATGCCGGTGGTAGTGACTTTGCTTTATGTAGCTTTAAAGGGACCAAGCTTTCAACAAAAGGTCCTTTAGCTCAGTCGGTTAGAGCGTGGTGCTAATAACGCCAAGGTCGCGAGTTCGACCCTCGTAGGGACCATTTTTTTTTATTTCGTTTTTGCTCTCCTTCCGGTGGCTTTTCCCAAAATGGCCAATGACCGACTCGGGAAATGGCGCGCCAGACGGACCATTAGCGCAATTCCCGAACATCAATCTACCTACAGATTACGATCCTAATTTCATCATTTTCATACTACCTGGTCATCAATTGCCATCTTTACCATTCTGATTCCATTTACCACACATCAGAATATATGCACAAAGAAGTGGGAGATGAAGAGTCCATGTTCTGCGTCACTGGACGTAAACGCCGGAGGCCCGCAGTGTACGCGATAGCCGTGGTATTCCTGCTCAGACTTAGTAGTGCTGACGTCCATGTCACGCAGTTCATGCACTCTATGCAGAAGACGCAAGATCAGATGCGATCGTGAGAATCCCTGTGGCAATTGCGTTCGTTCCAAAAATGCGAGTTGCGTGTACGACAATCCCCACTCTCCGCCCCGGCAGTTGCTCAGACCCGGGGAAAGAATTCTGGTTCAACCGCCTCCGGTCACACAAGCGTCGATCAGGGGCCGATCGGCAGCATCGAGCCATGTGTCAAGTGCCCCGGGAACGACTTCGTCAAGGGCATCAACGGTTACTAGTCAAACATCGGCTCAAGAAGTCGAGTCGCTGAGAACCCGCATTCGGGAGCTGGAAGAACAGCTATCCAGAGCTGCACACGCAATTCAGCCATCTGCCTCGACGCCTGATTCCAACATAGAAACAACATCATCTCGTTTGAGTGGGATATTCCATGTCCATCGCGAAGTCGGTCAAGTCAAGACTCGTAGCGTTACACATAAGCGGCGCCTATTTGGCCAAAGCCATTGGTATAATACTATCATTCTGGTACGCCGTTGGCAATCTTTCTATTGCTCATGAGCCATGACTGAGCACCTGATAGTTCCAGGATATCTGGGAAACGACGGAGCCACAGCTGCGAGAGGAAAATTCCAAGGCCTTTGCCGACATTCAACAATGTAAACAATTGGCGCGAGTGATCAAATCGCGCCGCGCTCCCCCATGGCCTTTACAGCCAACGAACCAGCTTCCCCCGAAAGATATAGCGGACGAGCTTGTACACTGTTATTGTCGGACGACGGAAACGGTGTTTCGTGTCCTTCATATTCCTACTTTCAAGAGGGACTATGAAGCGCTCTGGGTGTCTGGCGGTCAACCTGATACTGGATTTCTGATGCAGCTGAAGCTGGTGCTCGCCATTGGAGCAGCCGTATACGATGAAAAATATACTCTCCGTTCTTCAGCCTTGCGATGGGTATACGAGGCAGAGACTTGGGTTTCCGAGCCGAAGTTCAAGTCCCGACTGGACATCCAGTCCCTGCAGACACACATTCTACTTTTGCTGGCTCGAGAGATAGTTGGCATAGGTGGCGACTCCGTCTGGTTCGCGGCGGGCGCATTGTTCAGAAAAGCAATCTATCTCGGATTACATCGGGATCCCCATCGCCTTCCTAATCAGAATACGTACACTGCCGAGATGCGCCGAAGATTGTGGAATACTATTCTGGAGATCGCACTGCAATCAAGCCTTACATCTGGAGGCCCGCCCTTGCTGTCCGTTGGTGACTTCGACACCGAATCTCCGGCCAATTTTGACGATGACCAGCTTGTAGCGGAACACCCTGTGCCAAAGCCGGACGATGAGTTTACTGATGTATCTGTCTCCATATCTCTACGCAAGACATTTCCCATTCGCCTTGCTGTAGCTAAATTCCTGAATGACCTGGGCTCTTCCGGCACCTACGAGGAGACTCTCCGGCTTGATGCAGAACTCCGGGCTTCATACAGGACACTCTGCCGCACGCTCCAAAAATGCAGCTCTAACAGAGAACCACCACCACCTCAGTTCGCCATTCAGACTGTCGACTTTCTTATGCGTGGCTACCTGTCTGCGCTGCACATGCCCTTCTTCGGTCCATCGCTGCACGGAACCGCTTACGCATTCTCTCGGAAAGTCGTGGTGGAGAACTCGCTCAAAATCTGGTATTTAACACATCCTTCAGGAACTTCTTCTGCGCATCCTCAGATTGCGCAGGACCACTCGGATACTGACCTTGTGCGTTTGGTTGTCTGTGGCGCGGGAGTCATCCGCATTCTTTCTTTCCAGGCTGTTTTCTCCATCGCTGCTGAGCTGAGGGCGCAGATCTACGAAGATGATGGCCTGAATCCTCTTCCGCTCCGGCAGGATCTGCTTCAGGTAATCAGAAGTGCACAGGCTTGGTGTTTCCGCTGGGTTGAGGCCGGAGAGACGAATACCAAAGGATACCTGCTTACTTGTGCTCTCGCTGCTCAGATTGAGGGTCTTTTGCGGGGGCTTCGAGGCGACGATATTCCACCATTACTGATCAAGGCTGTCGAAGAGGCGGAAGAGAAATGTCTGCCGGTCCTGGAGGAAATGGCGGCGGTGCTACAGATAGAGAGGGCTGGGGATGCCGTTCCCCAGATATATATGAACCCGACGCCCGATCTTTCAGAGGACTGCGACTTTATGGTCAGTAGCAGTTGCCACTCATTTGTTGCATGCTAACAGCGTACTAGATGTCGGATATCTTTCGCGATCCCGGAAGCATGGGGTCAATGTGGTTGTTCGACGTCGGGGCTCCGGTCGGGCCGGCGATATGGTAATTGAGCAAGATATATACAAATCTACAGCGACTGTACATAGCAAGGATATACTAAATCATTGTATATCTGAATCCGATCATTCCGGATTACTCTCAGTGTATCCATCTGCTGGGTAGGAGCACTAGCAGAAGATGCCGTACCCGGGCCCTGCACAATACTTAGTATGTCATTGAATAATATTTGATGTAACCACTAGATATATCCCTCTTATACTAATTTGCTGGTCGTGTGACGGATTTTCATGCTAGACTCCAGCCACTGGCTCATCCCCGTGGTTCGGCCAACTGGTCCTCCTGTCCGATTTGAGCGCCATTTCGATCAATGATTTCATGACATTCGGCTCCGAGTCACGCCGCATGACAGCCAAAACTGTTAAGAGCCCTGAAAATCCTTAGATGTAGTCATGTACACAAGCTGCAGAAATATCCTAATCTATTGGAACTGAGCTGACCGTACACACCAACAACGTCAAAAATGGCCTGGAGTTCAAGAGATGCTATCCGCCCGTTTCTCTTCGTTGTCCGACTGTTCGCATGGCTGAGCGCCATCATTGTCATGGGCGTCACTGCTTGGGCCGTGACCAAGACGGATGGCTACCGAGTGGTCTATCCGTTGGTGATCGTACGTCTATTGCGCCTAGATGATGGGAAAGCGCGTTTCTGACTCTGACAGGCTGTTCTATCAACCGCGTTCTACATTCCCGCGATGGTAGTGTCAACTATGAAGCGTAATCGCGGCTATATGCTGCCCTTGGACATTGTCTTTTCCTACCTGTAGCTTACCCACTCTCCGTGTTTCTCGAGATGTCAGTACTAAACGAGTGATGAATAGGTGGCTTGCAGCATTCATCTTCCTTGCCCAGCACATTGGACAGGAGAACTGTCGATGGTTCTATTGGGGTGTTTCAACCGCTTGTGCCCGGAAGAGAACCGCTGAAGCCTTCTCCTTCTTGGCTTTGTAAGTTGATAGCTGGTGTGTGGATTGCACTCGAGTGTGCTAACTCAGTGTGCAGCTTCTGGACTCTCTGTGCCATGTGCTTTGAGATCTTCAATTTCTATTATAGTGGAAAAGAGAGACCCGAGGGAATGCATCCACATGGTGAGAAACGTCTCCATCCCGAGGCTGGCCGTGCTCCTTTGGATGCACCAGCGGATGTTGCGCAACCGGCTGCTTAGATGAGAGACGGCTTGCGCACCTTAATTATTGACACTTCAGCTTAATTTGTCCTTGCCATACTGCTCTACTTAAGGCCTTGAAATCTGGACTCGTGGCTTTGATTAATTGTGCTTGTACTAGTGGAGATTCTTTGTCCAGGTTGAGCACGAAAAGTGATGATCTTCATCCGCTAGGATAAGGCCCATTGATATTTAATTTGGCTACTGCCGCATCTCAGATTATGTCTATAGCAAACAGCTTCTTTCACTTCGATCCTAGATATTACTATGTACGTCCAACCTCCTTCAAGGATGTAGATACGAGAGTGATCAACCAAGCATGAAGATCTCTGCCCACTCTAATCAATGAACAAGCCCCCGGATGCAACCAGATGCGCACCATTGATCCATCGCGCGCGTTCCTCGCACAAAAAGGCCACAGCGTAGGCAATCTCGTCCGGCTGAGCCATCCGTGGCCCAACAGGAGTCTGATCGATGATCGGTTGCAGGATCTTCATCTGCTCCTCGCCGGCAGCAGCAAAACCCTCGGTCATTGTTGGACCAGGACTGACGGCATTGACGGTACAGCCATACTTGGGAGGGAGTTCTTTGGCCCTGCACGGTATGCTCAGTATTCATACAAGAACCACGGAAGAATGGCAGCACAACTCACCAGCACTTGGTAAACGAGTCGACCATCCCCTTGGTCCCCGCGTAGATTGTCTGGTTCGGCGGAGGCCCTCGCGCAGAAATACTTGCGATGTTGACTATCCGACCGGATCCTTTGGTCAGATGCTTTAGGCTCGCCTGCGTCAGGAGAAATGTGCCCCGTCCGTTGATGTTCACCAGCAAATCCCAGTCTTCCAGCGTCTGCTCTTCGAATGGCTTGTTGACTGCCAGCGCAACGCAGTTGACGACGATATCGATCCGACCCCATTGAGAGACGGCCGCGTCGACTAGCTTCTGAGGAGCATCCGCGCGGGACATGTCTGCCTCTACAGCAATTGCGGGCGAAGGAAGAGAGGCCACCAATGTGTCTGCTTCGGCTTGAAGACTGGGGAAGGGATAGTTGACCACCGTCTTGGCCCCGCGAGAGGACAGCTCGCGCACAATAGCAGCGCCGATGCCAGAGGAGGAACCGCTTACTATGGCTACTTTGTCTCGTAGCGACGTCTCCATTGTGCTGGGCAAGGGCGTGTTGATTGAACCGAAACGACAATGGAAAAAGGTATTGATACTCAATTGATATGTATGAGCTATCAATTGACCGCTTCATAAATATACCAGGATTATTTTAGTCTGTGAAGCGAGTGTCCAGACCGGAGTACTCTCCACGTCCCCGCGCGGGACGGGCTGATATCCCGACATCTCCCCCACCTGCCCGATGACCCCTCTTGGTGGCTTGATGGCCAGAAAGTCTATGATTAGGAAGTACTGGAATTCGCCTAAGAAAGAACATCAAATCCGCAAGAAATAAGACAGTCTGACCTCTTGAACCTTGAGAGCAAGAGGAGAATGTGTGCAGTGTGTTTATGGATTAGAGGTTTAGGTGTAGTCCCGAACTAAAGTGATACAGGATAAATGAACTATGGACTTATCTATAATAAAGGACACATCTATCAAATGCATCTGGAAGATGGAAACGTACTATAGCTGAGCAGGCACCGTCTCCCATTCATGGACATTATCCAACCCCCTAGTCCCCGAGACATCTCCCTTGTCCAGATATCCGCAGATCCTGCCGGTAGGATCCCATTTCCTGCGAATATCCATCAGTCGACGCCCATTGCTCTCGGCCCAGTATCTGGTCTGCCGTTCCTGGAAATCTGAATCCCCTAGATACGCTCCAACCGAATGCCGCTGGACTCGCTCCATCACGTTCTTCACCCACGCCTGGCACCGTGCATCGTCCCTCTCGTCCTCCCACACCGTATACAGCGCAAAGTAGTGATCTGATTGCATGCTGAGCGCCATACTCGGCAGGTCGCGGCGGCTACAAGGGTTCATCGCGTACCACAGGGCAAAGGCCTTGCGATGGGGCAAAGTGGTGAACGCCTCCTCGAGTACTTTGGGGACGTCCGCGTCATTGTGCAGGTAGGCGTTCTCAGCACAGTAGCGATGGCCTTCCGGGTTTGCCTTGCCCTGGTTGACGTATTGGTTCTCCAGGCTGTCCTCTCGGCAGAACCATTCTTCGATGGTGCCAGCAGGGCGGGACTGCTGGGCTGGAGTGAGGGCTGCTTCTGCCTCCTCAGGAGTGTGTTTCAGAGTCACGAAGAGAATGAAGAGGCAGATCTCATTGCTGTCTTCGGGATACATGCTCACGACGGCGATTTCAGTGTCGCGGTCAAAATCCGGAGTGATGGCGACTATCCAGCTGAAGGCTTCATGGTATTTGCTGATGGGGTAGACGTACCCAGAAGACCGAAACCCGCGTTTGGGATACGGGACGAGCTCAAGGTGGAATTGTGTGATCACCCCAGGGAAGCCTGCCAGTAGGATGGATCGTAAATCAGCCATGATCAATTGATGATAGGGCAAAGGCCTTACCTGGACCGGCACCTCGAGCAGCCCAGTAGAGCTCTTCGTTTTGCGTCTCGTCGCAGTGCAGCAGTTCTCCTTCTGCCGTCACCACATCAACGGCCTTGACTCTCTCGCACGCCCAACCCCAGCCCTTGATAAAAGTCAGTTAACCATGATAATCTAGGATTTCGAGTCATACCCGGCAGTTCCACCCCATTCCTCCCTGTAGGAGAAATCCCCCTAGTCCAACATCCGGACAATGACCCCCGGGGAACATCAACCCATACTCCTTGACCAGCTTTCCGTTGATCTCCTTCCCCGTCATACTGGGTGATGCTCGCGCAATGCGCTTCTCTGCATCCACTTCCAGGTGTTTGTAGTTGCCCAAGTCTATGAGAATGGACTCATCACGCACACTCCAAGCAGCCCATGAATGTCCCCCGGAGCGCACAGCGACGCGGCAATTCTTCTCCTTTGCCAACTTGACTGCCGACACGATATCGTCTGGGCAAATAGCCTTGACAACTGCCAGGGGGTATCGTCGCGGACGACGGTGGTTAAAGACCCGACCCACGCGGGCTTCTTCGTAGACGGCTGGATCGGCCGAGTCGCGCCAGATAATATGCATTGTACGGGGAGGTGAGATAGCTGGAAAGAAGATAAGGCTTTGTGTTTATCTGAAATATCGGGAATATACTTGAGATGTACAGTTGAATGTAGTTATAAAGGTCCGTCTTCTACTCTGTTCTGCATACGCCCCGATCCTCCCTCGGCCATCCGACCCCGCATTCTGGATTATCGAGTGGAGCCGAAATGTGGAGAGCAGAGCAAAAGCAGGATGATTGCTCTAGCAGAGTAGAAAGGGGCTTTGAACTCTAAGATCATACTCCCACAGTCTATGAGTGATCATGCCATATGAGGGCGTTCCGGTCCAAAGTCCACCGTACTGTATGGGTAAAGGTAGCTATGAGAAGTCTGAAATCGGTCAACACCAGTGTCCAGATCCTGTCGCCAACTCAACGGGTCGGGCAGACTCAAAATAAATCCAACAAGCCAATATAATCAGTCGTTCTGAAATCCAGGCATGAGAGACGGTTGACCTGCGTGGAAAAATGCGTTAAGCAACGAATTCCACTGATGAACTGCGCCACTACCATGGATGAGCCACACTTGGTTCTGTTTATACCACGAGTTCCCAGCGAAGAAATATTATGTATTTATTTATCCTATGGCACACTCCTAATCCTGAGAGTGAGAGTGACAGTCTGAGCATCTCCGGTGAGTGCGTAATGCGCTGACGATTTTGGTCAGGCAAATCGGCCATGTGGACCACAGAAAAAGGTCTGGATTCGGAAGTCCAGACCACAGTGGATACTGAAGCCAATTGGGCTGCATTATTGGCCGACATTCTTAAGAACAGCCTAGTGCTGTGTCAGCCTCTGCATAAGCCGCGGCATTGGATTGGCTGTGTTTATGCGGATAATATCTTCAGGTCCTGAACAGTATCAGACTTGGTAATGTCTAGATGCCGTTTACAGAACATTGAACAAATCTCCACTACTGACCAGAAATGGACCTGGATGATGGATCAATGAGAACAGGGCTGAAACAGCCTCAACATGTTTGACCTGACCGTTTTGATCAAGTGTTCGCGATATCCCTACTCCACCATGGGATATAAATATAGCAGAGGCGTGCCCCGACCCCTTTGACTTCATCCGAGTCCTTACAACTTCGCTCATTTCATAGATTCTTTCCTTAGACGAGGTCGATCCTCACACTCTCCTTTCTACCATCAATTGACGTTTTGTCCCTGTCTCTCTTTGAATCCTAAGACTCCTTTACCTCGGTCACTCGCAATGTTCTTTTCCAAAGTCCTTCTCCCAGCAGTCTTTGCGCTGGCTGCCTCGGCCCTCCCGCAATTCTACCCCGGTGGCAGCATGGCCTGGACTGCTCCAACTACCACCTCCAGCGCGAGCTTCAGCACCACCACTACTTCCACCAGCACCAGCACCAGTGCCAGCGCTAGCGCCAGCGCCAGTATCACCAGCAGCAGCAGCAGCAGCGTCCAGATTGTGAACAACCTCGACACTACTGTCTACCTATGGTCCACCTCCGATACCTCCAGCGCCGTGCAAACCATCGCCTCCGGTGAGACCTACTCCGAGATCTACCAGATCAACTCCAACGGCGGCGGAATCTCCATCAAGATGGCCACCACCGAGAGCGAGGCCAGCGTCCTCCAGTTCGAGTATACCAAGGACAGCGACACACTCTACTGGGACCTGTCAGCAATTGATCTGGGCTCGGATTCGGAATTCATCACAGCGGGATTCTCGGCGACACCTAGTGACTCGAGTTGCTCATCCGTGACTTGTGCGGCGGGGGACAGTGACTGCAGCGAGGTGTATCAGGAGTCGGATGATGTTGCTACGCAGAGCTGCTCGGCTACTGCGGGAATTACGGTCACATTGGGCTGATACAATTAGACTGGCTTGTATTTGGTGACATTCATTTCTTCGATGGATGTGCCCATCGAGAAGGGGATAGAGAAGAGTAAGCTGGTCTTGCTCGATTATAGTGAAAAGTTTTACTGGTATAGAAGGTATTTCTAGACGGTGGATTTCTGCTTCATCCGTTCGTTCGTTACATTGCAGGGTAGACAGATTCAAATGAATCGAAATTGGTCTTGAAAGAGTGTTCTCCTTATGGTAGCTGTTATATCTACAAATGAAAACGTCCCAGAAACAGTCATTGTGCGATCAGAGCTCCATGAACGATAGAATATTCCATCAAATTATTATCCAATCATCAATTTCCCACCATTGGCTTGAAATTAATAAATTCCACAGATTGAATCCTCACGAATCGCAGCTGTCTCTGTTTCGACTACTCTCCCACCTCACGATCATCCTTCCAGAATACAAACTGAACAAACGACCACTTCATAGCAGCCTGTCGGATAGACTTGCCCCAGAAAAACAGGGGGATGAAGAAGAGCAGACAGCCGCCGGAGATACCCGCCATGGCGCCATAGGCAGCAATATAGCCGGACTCATTGATCCACGGATTGGTATAGAAGGAAAGCAGGAATCCAAAGCAAGCTGCGGCTGTTAGCGGAGTCAGACCCCGACGGAGGTAAGAGAACTCACATTTAAAAGCAAGCTGGGTGACCGTCACTTCGCCCGCGACTGGCCGGAAGGAGTCAATACAGTAGACGAAGGAGACATTCGTGCCCTGGGTGATGGCGAACGATACTGCATAACGATGCGTCAGCTGAAAGTTCCAATCAGAGGGAAAACAGGATAACATACACAGTCCTAGGCCAACGGTAGGTACCATCCAGTGCCAGCCATTGGCGATACCACATCCATATAGCACCAGCGAAAGCGGCGCGGCGATCACGCTGGGGATAATCGCGGGCAACCGCATCTCAGGCTCACGGATTCCTCCATTGCGCTTGGTAAAGTAATCCGCCACCCAGTCGGAAAACGGACCACCGGCGAATGTACCCAGGAAACAACCCAACATGCCGGCGATGAAACATAGACCGGATTGCCAGGCCTCAAAGCCGTAGGTTGTACTGAACGCGGAGGCGAAATTGGAGACAACAGCCACCAAGAACCCGATGGTCACCGACATGACGATTGTCGCCCAGAAGATGGGTGGGATGAGGATCAGCCCGAAGGGACGCACGAACATCCGCCAGAAGGACTCGTCGGTATATGTCTCACCGGACCAGAAGCGCAGACTACGCAGGTAGCTCATCTTGGAAGGAATGGAAGGGATCGAGGCCGATTCCAAGTTGTTGCTGTCCGACTGTTTCTGGATCTCAGCGGAGCGTTCCACGAGGGGGTTGCCAACGCGTCGGTAGGCAGTTTCTGGGAAGAAGAAGATGACGACTAGGATCAGAGCACCGACCAGAGCGCAGCCCACCCAGTAGATGGTGCGCCAGTCGTGCTTGATCGTGACGAGTCCCGAGATGATGATACCGAAGGCGACGCCTGCACTCAAGGCGGCGTTGTAAATGCTATTCGAAGGGACCGTCAGCTTCTCTGAGCGTTGAATCAACAGCTGAACGAAGACACTCACGCCATGCCATAACCCCGCTGGTGAAGGTAGAACACATCAGCAATGGTGACAGGAGCCAGGCACTCGCCGGCACCCGCCCCGATCCCCAGGATGGTCCGGGTGGTAATCTCGCCCGCATACGTCTTCGCCAAACCCGCTCCAAGAATCATGAAGAAGTACAGAATGAAAGCAGAGATGTAGATGGGCCGCCGACCGTATTTGTTAAGCAGCGGCACCCAGAACAGACATGAGACGCCTTGCATCAGAGCGCTGTTGTTGAAAAAGTATGCGGCCCGACTGATCCAGTCATTCATCGTTGTGTTTCCCCCTTCTTTGAAATCCGTCGCAATTTCCACCATTGCGACAGTAGGACCGGCGGCCATGAAATTACACATGACCATGGCCAGGGAGACAAGAATGGCGATATAGACCTTGTAGGCGGTGGACCAGCGAAGAGGATCATTGGGGTCCAGTGACGGAGCTGGAGTCAAGATAACCTCGTTGGTGTGCTCATGGCGCAGACGAACATGGCCAAGGTTGTGTAGATGGAAGCGGCCACGAGACCGACTGTCCTCGACATGCTCGACCGTCTCCATCGTCTTGAGGATTGTATCTGCCATGGCAAATAGTGATATAGACAAGAAGAAGGATAACTGACGAGGAGAGAACCTGGGGGTGCAAGGAGGTTAATATCAGTCCTGGGATTTTCAGAGCAAGCAATTAATCAATGAAGAGACATGCACCGTCCCAAGCCATTCTGATCGGGCTGTCGACGGTTGTCGGCCCCCCTCAGGATCTTCAAAGCTGAGAGGTCAACGTAAGCAAACAGCGTTAGCTTGCAGCGGTAGTGGATTCTTCCTGCGAACAAAGTTTAGCGTGTGCAGACGCGGGGGAG